AAAGTAATTTTTTTTATTTATTGCTTAGATGGTTGGACGAGCTCACAGCCCACCTGGTGTTAAGTGGTTACTGGAGCCCATAGACATCTACAATGTAAATGCGCCACCCACCTTGATATATGAGTTCTAAGGTCTCAGTATAGTTACAACGGCTAACCCCCCCCCCCCCCTTCAAACCGAAACGCATTACTGCTTCACGGCAGAAATAGGCGGGGTGGTGGTACCTACCCGTGCGGACTCACAAGGGGTCCTACCACCAGTGATTACGCTAATTATAATTTTGCGGGTTTGATTTTTATTACACGATGTTATTCCTTCACCGTGGAAGTCAATATAAGTGTTTAGTAATTAAAGTAAATATATAGGAAGTAACTGCTTCTGGTCGTTCATGTTACAATGTCAATTTGATCTATGTATACTCAGATAGAAAATACCTACTCATGAGTTTCTTTAATATGTCAAATTTATAATCGTGCTTTATATAAAATTTGATATCAGGACTCGGTTAAGAAAATCTTTGACTGAGCCTGACCTCGAGACTGACATGTGGTGTTAAGAATTCATAAATAACACAATCAAAGCGAAAAAGGTTCTTTGTTCAAGTATGCATTCACATGCCTTTTTAAATCGTCATGACTTTACCACTGATTCTGAATGCAGTTTCACAAGTTTGAAGACTCGTCAAAAAATTAAGCGCTTGCTCTCCTCCATCGAATATGTGTATACCATACAAAATTTACAAGAATATAATTAAATCAGTACATCTTGACTACGTACACTTGACCTAAAGGAAACAGCACTGCGTTAGCGAGCATTGGACAAGGATCTATTCGTACATCGTGCGTTCGTACTGTTGCTATGTGCCACAACGTGATTGCCGTTGTATCCATTTTAAGATATCCTCTTCATAATACGACAGTCCTGAGCTGCGTAGTTCACTTTAATATAATAGGATATGTACTTAAGATAAAGCAGATGGTCCATCCGTGCAGTTACTTCAATTTATTGTGACGTGTGCTTAGACAATTGTATCATCAATTAGGTAATAATAAAAACAAACCCTGGAGCGAAAAGCTCAGTTTAATTTGTGAGCGCTCGTTTTGTTTAGGTACTCAAGAAAGACTCAAACTCTCAATGCCTACGCTATTTCCGATCTTTAATTTTTGTAGTGTTAACTGTTACAAAATAGAACATTCGAATAGAATAGAGGCACATCTTCCTCTCCCTTTTTTTCCGGATTGTCGCTATGTTCAAAATTTCACATGGATTTAATTATTACATCACTTCTGATTATTTCCCGGTGGCCCGAAGAGATACTGTTACCCATTCGTCATCTGATATTTATTTGGCGATAGATGCTTTTACATTATATTTAATATGATATACGCCCGGACGTCTGATATGAGCCTCCGTGCAATTTGATGTTTGGTCTACTGAAGCTTAAAAATACACAACGAAGTAAAATTTTTTGCAACTTAAGAAAAAAATAGAGATAAGAATGAATGTAACAGAAATTATACTAAAATATAGTTTTCAGTTCTCGTGAGATCTGTAGAGCCAACTTAGCTGAAATACCTCTCATCTATCTCTATTAAAGACTCATTCGGAACCTTGCCAGAAGTTCGTGCTGGTGATATCATTGACACGTTAATATAGCCTCTGAATTTTAAAATTAAAAAATACCTAGGTTTTGGTTTTTTTGTATAAGTATTGTTTACTAAGGCGAGGAGTTGAGGGCGGGAAGAAAGGGAATGAGATAAAGGATTCTGAGGATCGATATGGCAGGCTTTTCTTTGCCCAAATCCAAGATAAGAAAAGATATATTGTATTATTACAAGTATTACAGGTATTATTGCTTATTTTAAACAGCTATTGATTGGTATTTTAGTTAACATCTGTTTATTAATGAAATTACTTGACATTTGTTTGGTAGGAGGCTTGCCAACTGAAACTAATAATACCATTTGGTAATTCCTGCACTTCCAGACTGAGCAAATTACTATTTTTAATTGCGTTAGATGTGCAGACAAGCTTAGACGCCATATGGCTATAAAGCAGTTAAACGTTCTCAAAAATAAAGATAGGTGATTCCTAATTCGATAACGTTATTTAGCTATTTTATAGCTATGTATTATTTTATATAACACAATTTGTAATTAGTTGATTTGTTGAACTTGGTAACTTCGCGGATGTGGATTTTTTCTTTTGATTAGTAGACGTGCTCAGGCCTCACCTGGTGTTAAATTTACGGATAGACAAACGTAAACGGCGCAACCTATATTTGGATATGGGATCAAAATTTTAATTTTGTATTTCAATTCCATATTATTAAACGGCTGTTTCACCTTTCCGGAACCGGAACAAATTACTGCTTCACGGCAGAAATAGGCAGAATAGTCCAACTCTGCATACTCATAACACCTGCAACTACAAGTAGCATTTTGAATAAATACGCATTTATTGCTCGGTTACAATATATCTGGACCTCGCTGGAATGTGAATACCCTCCCCGCTTTCCTTTTGCCAGAGAATGTAACCGGGTTCTACATATCCCTTCAATTTCAACCAGGATGTAAGTGTTGATGATTGAATTGACCTCGGGTTAATGAAAATTAGCTTTCTCGCAAAACATAAACAAGTGACAAATGGCATTAGGTAAGCAAGTGAACAAGATAATAAATCTGTATATGTTGCGAATGTATCTTTTGACCTTATTTATATTAGTTGGAAATTTCCTCAAGTGCATCTTAATTTAGATAATTAGATAAACTTTGTTTATGGAATTCTTTCATTGATATGGTTTGTGACAGTTTTTAAACGGTGCCCTTAAGGGCATCGATTCTATTTCTGTATTGCTATCATAATGTAGTTAACAATTTCCTCGTATGAAATTAGATTATTTATCTGAAGGGGTTATGAAATCAAATTCAATAAAGTACCGCCAAAAAGTGTTGTTTGAACAACAAAATGATATAAAACATAATAAATTATAATGATTTTACATTTACTATACATTATAAATTCAAGGGCGGATCCGGCTTTGGCGCCAGGAGGGGGTCACATAGTCAAATTTTCGATGCGCTCGTTCCCAAACGCTTGCCATCATACAAAGTTATTATATTATATTAAATTAATTAAATATTGAAGGTATGTAGTTACATAAAATCTGTATTGTGACAAAATATATAAATAAAATCATTATGTTCAATTAGTGGTTCACCTAAGTCCTGGAACCAGTTCAGGGGGGGTCATGACCCCATGACCCCCCCCCCCCTGGATCCGCCGTTGTATAAATTTCTTGTATTACAAAAACAGTTCTTTATATTATGAAAATCAAAACATTAAAGTCTAGGAAAAACAATGTTAAGACTACGTATATATAACATTTGATAAACGTTACTTTTTTATGTCTGAAATGTGTGATAAATTCGTATGTGAAACGATTCGGCTTGGGTGACATGCGGCATTAATTTCTAACGATAACAAAGTCAAAGATACCCGGAAGCGGTAACTTGATTCACAACCAATAGATTCACTTAAACCTCCTTTTGAAAAACAGTACTGAGTTCTATTCGAAGCTCTGGGGCCGCTCGAGCCAAGCACGATTGGCAAACAAAACAAAACTTAAAACTCATGTCTCAAGGTATGTAGCGACATTAAGTGGTTGATGTCTATGGGCTCTGACGAGCACTTAACGCCAGGTCGATCGCAAGATCGTTCACCGTTGCAAATTCAGGACAAACAATATATAAATGGAAACCAAATTTCACAGTAGGCTAATGAGCAAGACACATGGTGAGATTCGACAATGCCCAGAGCTCAAATTTTCTGGTTAGGTACTACGAGTAATAGCTTCTAATAGAGATGTTTCTGTCTTCCCATCGCTGGAGCAGAGTTCTTCAATACTACCAATGGGTTCCACCATAGTGGGCTTCAAGAGACCATGCTTACGAAATTTGAGGCATCTGTTTATGTTCATGAGCGACAGTGGCCATTCACCATTCACCGTTGCTCTGCATACTTCGTGTGACTACGAAGGCTACCCCATCACGAAGGTCACCGTCCTCGCCGAACCCGTCGCTTGCGACGAAGGGCTCGACGAGTAAATTAGCCCATAGACACAGCCCACTGAGTTTCTCGCCGGATCTTCTCAGTGGGTCGCGTTTCCAATCCGGTGGTAGATTATGCGAAGCACTGTTCTTGCTAGGGCCAGTGTTAGCGACACTTCCGGTTTGAGCCCCGTGAGCTCACCTACACCTTAAGGCGAAGTTGAAATAGCCTCAAAAAAAAGGCTACAAAAGTTTTTCAATAAAACTTTCACTGATTTTCATGAAATAGGAGCAAGCTAGCAAGAAAAAAAATGCGAGTTGAAAAACAAGTTACCGGTTGTTTTATTTTACTGAAATAAAGGAATAATTGACTAACTGTCTTTTGGTGTTAGGTAGATACCGGAGAAAATAATAATAACACGAATGCCGCCACGCACATGAAATATGAGCTGCAAATTCCATAAATACCTATGCGATTTTTGTTGTTCTAAATTTAAGTTGAATTTTGTAGGTTATTTCCGATTTTCTTAAGTAAACTAGGCAGAGTTTCCACTGTTATTTTTTATTTGCTGAGGCAGGTAGACCTGCAAGCTGTGTAAATGCAACTATTACCCACCTCATTATTAATTTAAATATATAAAAAATGATGAGCAATCCCGAGCATATTTCTCTTTCTTCACTTTATACACTTCAGGTATCATCTTTTGAAAAAAAAAATACGTTAAATATCGTACCGTACTCGTATAATAGTTAATATCAGGTATGAAAAGTAATTGGGACAATTCTCCAGGTGGTTGGTGCGATTTATTAGCGCTGTGATAGACGACGTGCGCTTCTGAACATGTAGGCCCTGAGCTTATGAGATCCTCACTCAGTAACTCATCTGTCGGAACTACTATAAAATCAAACCACCAACATAGTCTTTTATCATTTCTACATATATGTGGGTAAAATACTCAAAAAAAAACAATAAAGCACGAGTATTACAACAATATGATAAAATTTGCAATTATAATTATATCAAATTATGTTTCTTATTCATTTATAACTAAGTCAAGCAGCATTAGTAAGTGTTGGCGTTATTTCCTCTCATGGCAACGCTCATTCTTCTGACTAGTGGAGGGAATGGTCGGGTCGGACGGGGATGTCGAGGTCTTGCTGGCCGCGGTGGCAGTCTAGAGTCTGTGCTTGCACGAGCTCTGAATTCTTCTAAGCAGTCTGATTGGCCCGATGACGAAGTTGAGTTACTACGTACCACTGTAGCTTCCTCTTCTTCGTCCAATTCCATCGCTGTCCATTGCCGATCTGAAATCAAATGTTAAATATATTTATAGAAAAAGAATAGTATTTGCTGTGGTTTTTCAGACAGAGTCTTTACAGATGTTCGTGACCACGACACTTGGAATGTATTCAAAAGATCAGATACTATAAAATTAAATAAACTTAAGATCAAACGGTAAAATTAGATTTATTAACATGCCATTTTGAAATACTGATTTTTTTTAATACTGTAGCTACTGCTTCGGCGTTTTTTTTTTCATATTAAATAAATGAAGCTCACAATCCAGCTTGTGTTAAATGATTACCTTATCAAGTTTTGAGTATCGAATTTTTTTAAATTCAATTGTATTACCGCTAATTCGATCTTCGCACCGGAACACATGACTGCATTGCGGCATAAATAGGCAAGATAGTGGTTACCGGTGCTACGATTAGTAATAATGTAAATGAAGTTTCAGTCAGTCTTCGAAGACAAAGCGAATCGACTCGATGGTCCGGTCGTAGCTTTAAACTTAGCCAAAAAAGAAACGATCATTTATTACGTTATTATAAACGTAATTACGTGGCTTTTTGCAAACACATACATACGTATACTACATATAGAGCGTTTATGAGCATCTCGTTTATCCCTCCAGTGTGCACGCTACATTACACAAACGATACTCGTAATCCCGCCCATCAGAGTACTCTGAAAGTGCCGTGTTTTGTGAGTCGCGGACTATTGCGTGTTTCAGATTGTTGAAGATGTTTTAACAGGCTAAGGACCGAGATTTCTTTGCGGCTTTCGCCAAAATTAATTAAATACGTATGGATAAAGAATTGCTCAAATAAGCTATACCTAATTTTAGTTTTTTGATTATGCAATTATATTGTCGAATAGAAAGTTTTTTTTGGTAGCGGTCGGACCGCTATTTTCTAAGTTTGGCATTTAAATCAAAAACAACGTTAGCGGTCCCAATACGGCGATTCTCAGAAATGGCGGGAAAACAAAAGCTGTAGTCCCTTCCTTGTGCTATTTCGTACTAGATGCTTGTTGGACGAAATATAGCTAGATATGAATAATAATACGAAAATATAGCTGCAACTAGAAGACAACGAAAACATAAACTGGGTAAAAAAGACGACCTGCCCATAAAGTGAGGAAACACCTATTGTAAAGGTTGTTACCAAAAGAAACAAAGTAAAATAATACCTAAAAACAATGTGAAGAAAGTGGTAGCTTATTGCCTTACATGTGAAGGGCAACCTCATTTTTGTCTGGATTGTTTCAACGAACACCATTAAATTTTTATGACTCTCAGTTAAATTTTGATCTTTTTTTGACAAAAAAACTAATTGTTTTTACTAAAACGTGATTTAATAAATAGGTACGACTTATTTTATATGGATAGCATTTAAGTTGTGATCCTTTTTTATGTTATAAAACGAATTATTTGTAATAAAAATTTGATTTAAAACTAAATTGACTTTCATATTTATTGTAACTACTTTAAAGTTTCATATAATAAATACATATTTTTTTTAGAATTACCAAGTCCCCTTTCGACATGCTCTCTCTAGTTATAGCTGCTAGTCTAGATGAGCCGTGGCGACCCGCTTTTCTTACATATTGAATATAAAACTTACGAATTATTCTGGGCAGGTATGTTGCGGCGGTCCCAGGGGACCGCTTATTTTGTTTTGGCAAAATAATAGCATCCACCCACAGGGACCACTCCGGTCCTTAACATGTTAAAAGGAATTGACTTTCAATCAGCGAAAGTGATTTTAAAATGGTACCGATTTAATTATGTCTAACTATCTAATACCTATATGTTTCGTAATGTAGCGAAGTTAGGGTGTCTTTTTGTAACGTGCATAATTTACACACGATACATATTTAACTATGATATTTTGATATTTAAGAAGCACGTGTCTTGTACGGTTCTTGAAAAACTTTAATTAATCTCCAAATAATTTTAAGGCCTATCGAACGATAATCTTATACTCGTATTATCAAGTTACTAGATCGGAATTTGGTTTTACTTTAATTTTATACGGTTTTATACTTACAGAAAGGTGGATTGACATTTGTTTCAGGTGTTGTATCAGAGGATGCTCTAGCGAGTGGTCTACTCAACGCTGTTGTATGAACGTCGGTGTCGCCACGTGGTCGAAACCATTTGTTGCTAACTCTCCAGAACCTTCTTGCGTCACGGAAAACGCTCCACACCTGAAATGTAAGTATCATTTTTATATAAATTTTAAGGGTAATTTTAAGGGTAATTTAAAGGGTAATAAACAATTAAAAATATTTGGAATTAAATTAATGAATAAAAAAAAAAAATTATGTTATGAATGAAAATTAATGAATTAAAAAAAAAGTATTTGTAGGCAAAAATGCGTATGCCCCCCCGTAATGGTGAATGGAAACTGTCGTTCATGGACATCAGCAAGGCCAGGGTACAGCTAAGTCTTTGCCTACCGCTGAGTACTCTTTGCAAGCCTCACTTGAAGTAGGACAAGTCATAAAGGTCGGGAAACACCGTGGGGTTTGAGGTTATTGCATTGCAGCTGAACGGTACCTGGTATTTTTTTTAAGAAGAATCTCACTCTCGATGACAGCCAGAAATATAACTATGACTTTAACAGCTTCCCTCTGATACAAATTTATTCGCCCAATTAAAAAGTTTGCAGATTTTATGAATTCTTAGATAGATATTTTTTTATTCATTTATTCAATCAAGTGTGAGCCTCTGAATACTTAAATAATTTTTGTTGTGTACGATAGATACAATTGTTCTATTGCGGCTATGCGATTGACAGAAATATTGAGCATATGTTCCCAATAATCCATTAAGACGCTCGTAGTCGCGCAAGCGGTAGGTACCCTGCTTTCTTTTCAAGAAAGAGCTCACATATCCAAAGCAGGGTCTTTATCGGCATGTTTTTACTTTGTTTAAAGTCACATGAAGAGTTCACCGCTATGTGTGTTTCTCTATTCTATTCTATCAGCCCATGGACGTCCCCTGCTGGACATAGGCCTCCCCCAAGCCTCGCCACAAAGACCGGTCCTGCGCTGCCTGCATCCAGCGGATTCCCGCGAACCTCAATAGGTCGTCAGCCCACCTTGTGGGAGGCCTACCCACGCTACGTCTTCCAGTACGCGGTCGCCACTCAAGAACCTTCTGGCCCCAACGGCCATCCGTTCCCCGAGCAATGTGTTCTGCCCACTGCCACTTTAGTGTCGCAATCCTTTGGGCTATGTCGGTTACCATGGTTTTCCTGCGAATCTCCTCATTTCTGATTTGATCTCGCAGGGAAACTCCGAGCATAGCCCTCTCCATTGCTCTTTGGGTGACCTTGAGCCTTCTCATAAGGCCCACTGTGAGCGACCACGTCTCAGTCTCTTTATGTGTGTATGAATGTATAATTTCGAGACTGTGAGCAATGTAAGAACATTGTAGTAGACCCGATAAAGTGTTCTTGTAGGAAAGAGATTTCCGTATACGTGTCACTGCCATAAGCTCGTCGAAAATCAAGACTATTATAAAGTTAAATTAATGTTTGAAGCAAGTTTCAATTAATTAAATTGAAAGCCGCGATCTCGTCAGTTTCAAAGTTGGTCATGTAAATGTTAGCATGTACGCATAGCGTGTCGCTGTGGTTCAGATGGGTCTTACTGTATTCTTCTATTATAAATATGTATAGCTATAAATTTTAGTACTGTGGTGTGAGCATGGAAGCCTTCTTATATAATACTGATGTGGAAACCATGTATTATACTTAACTAACTGATAAAAAAACCAATTAATAACGAGGTTGCAACGTCATTATTTAAAAATAAGGCCATAATGTTCTAAACTTAAACTGCATTTTTCACAGTTCTACTCATATTCTTTTAAATTCATAATGTTTAAATCGGAGTGTACTACTTGAAATGGGAACTATTTTCAGTTGGATTCAATTGCTTGTGAAAAATGGGTTACTCGGGACTTCGTTGAATCGTGATAATATGTGCCAGTTTTTACACTATCAGTCATACTCTAAGTTTTTTTATACAAAAAGATTCACCAAATTCAGTTCTGTAGTCGAATTGTAACTTAATTCTAAATATTTGTTGAGTTCAATTTTTTTTATTGCTTAGATGGGTGTACGAGCTCACAGTCCACCTGGTGTTAAGTGGTTACTGGAGCCCATAGACATCTACAATGTAAATGCGCCACCCACCTTGAGATATAAGTTCTAAGGTCTCAAGTATAGTTACAACGGCTGCCCCACCCTTCAAACCGAAACGCATTACTGCTTTATGGCAGAAATAGGCAGGGTGGTGGACCTACCTACCTGCGCGGACTCACAAGAGGTCCTACCACCAGTAATTACACTGATCATCGTTCACACTGTCCGATCCTGAAAGAAAAGATCTGATTTCAAAGGCGGCTTCTTAAAAAATACCTGATCAATACTTTCTCGAACAGAAATCTCATGAAAGCACACGCATCCAATTTCTTTACTACGGCGCTGTCCTTCTTCGGTTGAAATCATTCGATCACCGAGTTGATCAATCTTGTTCCCAACCAAAACAACGGGCGTCTCTAGAGCGGTGTCCTGAAAATTTAAAAGAGTGATTTATCATCCGGAAATATACGAGGTAATGTTGTTTTATAATCAGGTAAGGCGTCGTCAACGTTTCTAAGACTTTTTGAACGTTTTGATTTTATATCATCGTCGTGATGTTTTTTTTATTGCCCTTGTAGGCAGATGAGCGTACGACCAATTTGATGGTGAGTGGTTACCGACGCTCATGGACGTCATCAATGCCAGGGGTAGAGCCAAGGCGCTATCTACCAAATGTAATGTCAAATCAAGTCTGAAGATTAAAGAAAAAAAAATATTTCATTCTTTAAGCGCCCCTTTTCAATTTACAGTGCCGCTTATTGACATTGTTACCGGAGACCACTTTACGCGGTTACGACAAAGCAAAGTGATCCACATAAATACATTGATGTTGGTTAACGCCAGATCCATTACTGCGGCTCTGGCCTTTTCTCGAGCGTTTTTCATTTCTTTTATTTCAAGACTGTGAGCTCCAGGAGAGCTTTAACGATTCTTGAAATCAAAATTAACGAGCAAACTTGTCGTTAAAGCTGTAAACTTTTTATTACTTTCGTCTGACTTGAGAAACAAAATTATATTAATTATTAGGTAAAAATCTTATGAAAATTTTGAGGTTTTATTCTAAATAATAAAAACGATGGTATAATAATTCTCAAGCATTGATTGATATGGAAAGTAAATATTATAAACTTGAGTGATTTGAATAAATGTGTACAATTGTATTTTAGAAATACCGAGATGAGAGCCCGAAAGCTAAGTCTCTACCGGGTCATTTTTTTAATATTATTTGTGTATTAATATAATGAATGTAAAACAGATAGAGCAAGTCTTAAAAACAACATAGTTTTTTAGTAAATCGTAGCCTGAAAAAATTATAAAAGTAAAAAATAAAAATTACAAATACGTGAAATTTTAATTCTTGTTAGTGCAGATATTAGAGTCCATAGAAACTACAGCTCGAATGCCGCCCTCACGTGAGACATGAGGTCGATCGCTCAGTTATATTATTTAACAGTCATCCAATTCTACAAGCCGGAACGCCTGACTGCTTCACACTTCGATCAACAATAGTAACGCTTCACATCAGAAATAGGCTGTATGGATCCCAAGCGGAAGTACAATACCAGCAGAAGTTAGTTTTTTTTTAACGGTTTAATTTGTATTACCCTATATTATTCCTTCATGGAAATAATCCGTCAACAGGTGCTAGCTTCGTAATTTCTTACAAAAAATGATACGGATTTGCAGCACTGGAATAGTTACATTAGTTAAATAATTACGAGCACATCGGCTGTCAGAATTCCGAAGACGGCTGTCTTGTATAGTTTAACACGGTATACAATTAGGTCATTCTGGCACTCGTGCTTGGCCTTAAATATAAATACATGTACGATTTCACACAATGTCTATTTTCGGTTATCTTTTGTGGACTAAAAATAGATTGTTGTTTACGAACAGACCTTAATAGACGAAGCTAGACGTCGTCGTCTTTTGTTGTAGTTAATAAGGAATTTGAGTCGGTGACACTCGTCGAACGAACATTTGTCCGTAACTGAATACATCAGAATAAACGCTTCGGCCCATCTGATATTGCTCTCCAAATTCGCATATTCCCCGTCCTGCTAACAAAACAATAAATATATATAAACTATGGTGAACGGTCGAATACCACTTGAACGGTCGAAGTATCAGTTGAACGGTCGTTTGTTTTATTGTCGTCTTATATGAGAACGGTCAATTCGTTCTTTTTCGTCTTTTTGTGTCTATCTTTAAGGACGCCAAAAAATGTACTGCCTCGCTAGTTACATACGCCTTCGTTCCATTTCTTTTCGAATTCTTGTCAAGTCTCTGTCTTAGTCTGTCTATGTCTATTGTCTAGTCATTATAGGTCTTATGTCCTGTCAAAGAGGTTGCACGCCACGACATATGGGCTACATATCTCACATATACATATGACAAAAAGACAAAAATAATGCTTAATGAACTCACATCCGAGTCTCCGGCAGAGTCCAATATTTCGAAATAAACCATCTCGTTATCAATGACGGTTTGGAAAGCATAAATCTTTTCCAAATTCGAGTCGTATTCCCCGATGAATCGGCGTGTTATAAATCTTACAACCAGAGCTAAAAACAGATAAACAATTACCTATATATCCGACAATTCGTACATGTCGTGTGAAAATTTTGTTATTTCAATCGAAATTGGATCAATTTTGGAACTATTTCTTAAACTTGCGATATTATTTCTTTATTTTGAACTTTTATTTTAAATTGCAATAGTAGTCAGTACAATTAAATTGCACGTTTACGGTGAAAATAGTAGTGGAATAAGATCATCGTGTAATCACTTGATGAAGTCTGCAACTCGTGAAAACTTAAGAAACTATCAGAAGTTTCTAGCATGAAAACCGTGTAAAAAGCGACATCAAGAAACTGGATTTAGGGTAACCGTTTTAAAATTAGGTTACGTACAATTTACTTTAAATCATTTGTTACCATTCTACAATGTAGTCAAATAATGCTGTAATAATTATACAATGAAAACAAAACGAAAACGTAGCGAAATAGTTGCCAGTTCCAATTAAATTTGAAATTCGACAAAACCAGAATTATTAGGAAAGCAGCAGTGTTGTTATATGCAGATGACTTATGCGTTACGGCAAACCAATATGAATTTTTACATGTATATAGCTCGGAAGGAATGATGATGAATGATGAAGGATGAATAATGAGCTCGCTGATCATCTTAATCAATATAAAGCAGAGATTACGATGAATGAAGTCACCCTCTTTGTGATATTTGGTCAAAATTTCGTAATATTCCATAAGTACTGTCTACAGCCTAAGACGCAGAACTATCAGCTTGACTCGTTTCGTTGTAAAAACAGGCGACTAACAACACACCTCAATTATAATCAACAAAACAAATATCATAATATCATAATAAAATCAACAGCAAACACTTCAACCGGTCACCGTCCTCGACCGGTCACCGTCCTCGTCGAACCCGTCGCTTGCGATGAAGGGCTCGACGAGCGAACTAACCCATAGACACAGCCCACTGAGTTTCTCGCCGGATCTTCTCAGTGGGTCGCGTTTCCGATCCGGTGGTAGATTCTGCGAAGCACTGCTCTTGCTAGGGTCAGTGTTAGCAACTCTCCGGTTGAGCCCCGCGAGCTCACCTACTAACGTTAGGGCGAAGCTGAAATAGCCTCTCAAGGCTATCANTATGAGTGATAAGAAGTATTGAATTGTGTTCTTATTTTAAGAAATAATATACATAACATTTGGAATAATTTTTACATTGAAAAGTACTAAATATTGATTTAATTGGTTAAATTAGTCAGGGTTTATTTATGTTAGCAAGAACCCTCTCAATGAAAGGTGAAGGCCTCCTCCAGAGATGACCAGTACTCTCTATTCTCTGCCGAACTGCTAGAACTATGTCGACGTATTACAAGTAATTACAGAATAAATTGTTTGTAATTAAATGATTTAGTGACTTAGTAAGCTTACCTGATTTTCCGACACCAGATTGACCCAATATCGCAATCTTGAACGCTTTTGGTTTAGGATATAGCACCAGCTTCGCCAGAGAACTCTTAGGTGATGTACTAGTACTGACAGCCATGTCTGAAGCCATTACAACTTTTATGTTTTTAAGTCGAACATTACCTGATTTATTTTGAAATTTCTGAAACAAATAATGATTTTACGTCGAAGGCATAATCGCATACTATTTATAATAACTAATACGATCAGAAATTACATCCACAACATTCAACTTGAAGGTAAATTTAGTTTTGATAATTTTTCATTAATTCTACCATACAGTGCTACGTGCAAGGGAAATTAGTGCAGCCAAGTATTTAGGTATATATTTTTTTAATTATATTGTGTCTATTTCCTTGGGATGGTAAGGACCTGTGATGAGACAAATTGAAAGGAGTGATAACTATGAATATGGAAGGATATAAAGGAATGGGTAGACCTAAGAAGAAATGGATGGATTGCGTGAAAGACGATATATGTAAGAGGGGAGTGAGCGAAGATATGGTATATGATAGAGGAGTATGGAAGGAGAAAACTTGTTGCGCCGACCCCAGGTGACTGAGAGAAGGGCAGGAGAATGATATGTGTTTATTTCCTTACTTCCCTAGAGCATGAAGAAACTAGCTTAAGACTTACTACTGATAATTACCCGAACTCATAGACGTCGCGTTGGGACTGCCACTGCCCAAATTTACATATAAGTAATATGGAAATTTCAATAACAAAATTGGAATAACATTGGGACTTCAAACCCAAACTGATTGATTCGTGACAAAAATTATCAAATACAGCGGTACAACATACTCGTCCGCTGACGCCCTATTCCTACCACAAGCTACATTAATATTTTATACCCAAAATGAATTATTGTAAAGTTGTTATTTAGTTTTCCAATTTTCTCGGGTATTTAAAGCGATCGAGAGTTTGAAGTATGCCAATAATCTTATATTAAGCACTTCGCTTATTAAAAGGACTATACCATTTCTCAATTAAAATTGCCCAGGGGTTTCAAAAAAGTTCTCAATTTAATAAGATTGTGTAACTCTTAACTTGAAACAACTTAATTTAACAGGAACTCCTTCCCTTGAGATTAATTTACCTATGCCCATCGTGGTTGCGTGCGACCTACATTTTTAGTGTACTCTCACACTCATTTAGCTAACATGACCCTTGCTAATTGTTTTCCAGTGTCATAAAACGATGTACTGTTAAATTGTCACCGGAGCTATGAATACATTACGAGACCCATAATTGCTTTGTCGTCGATACAATTTTCATATACCAAGTCTTGCCATAAATACTGAGACAAAGGAAAAAAAAATTCTATTGCAAATAACATTTATTACTTTTACAGTGTGTTAGTTTAATACATAAATATAAAACAATTTTATATATAAAAAGCTTATTCAAAGTGGTCTCCATTGGCTGCAATGCAGTCCTTTAAATGTTGAGTCTAGCTATCAATAGAAGCACGCACTCTTTCCATGGGAAAATTTTTCACTGCCAATCGTACGGATTGTTTTAGGGACTCCAAATTATCATGGCGTTTAGAGCAAGCCGTACTCTCTACAACTGACCATAAATCATAATCCGGCGGATTAAGATTGGGAGTAGACGACGGCCAGTCTTCAGCTCTGATGAAGTCCGAAACGTTCGTTCCCAACCAAGACTCCGTAGACCGAACTGTATGACCTGGCGCCGAGTCTTGCTGGAAGGACCATTCTTGATTATTGAACATGGTGTTGTTAAGGGGCTTCACTACCTTCTCAAGAATGGTATCTTGATACACTTGTGCCGATGTTTTGATACCTTTTTCACAAAAGTATGGCTCAGTCACTCCTTCATAGTTAATACCCCACCAAACAATCTCTGAAGTCGGATAGTGGCCACGTTGCACTCTGTCGACTAATTGGGAAGCTTCCTTAGAGCTTTGAGCATAAATATGGTCATTTTGTTGCTCAATTGTAAAAAAATTCTCATCCGTAAACAAAATCTTTCTATAACCTCCCTTTGCGTACCGCTTCAGTGGTTGTTTCGATTTTACCACCCTATTCTCTTTTAAATTATCAGTTAAGAAATGACCAGTACGTCTCTTATAGACTGCAAGTCCTAAGTCATCTTTTAAAATACGTGACATGGTTCTAGGTGCTATCTTCATCTCCCGAGATAAAATCTTTTGCTTTCGGACAGGATTTCTTCGAATTCTTTCCCTTACTGCTTTGACCACTTTTTTCGTACGAACACTACGTGGACGGCCAGATCTTTCTCTGTCACAAACAGAGGAGGTCTCATTGCACCTATTAATTATAGCCCGGTACACAAATATTTTACTAATACCAAGCGTATGGAGAGTTTTAAAAATTGCATTTGGCTCCATACCTACTTTGTGTAAAGTAATCACAGCGATTCGGTTCTCTTTATCACCCCACTTCATTTTAATATCGCAAAATATTGTACAACTAGCGACCCGCCCTCGCTTCGCTTCGGAAACATTAAAACACACATGAAACCAAAAAAAATAAATAAAAAAAAATGAAAAAAAAGTAGCCTATGTTCATCAGGGACAATGTCGGCTTCTAATGGAAAAAGAATTTTTCTAATCGGTCCAGTAGTTTCGGAGCCTATTCGAAACAAACAAACAAACAAATCTTTCCTCTTTATAATATTAGTATAGATGTATTGGCGCCAAAATGAGAAAACTCAATGAGCAATTATATAAAAATGACAGATTCCAAATTCAAATGTAATATTTTGTTTATTTTTAATTGTAACAGTATTTATGGCCAGTCTAAGTATTTATGTGTCATACGGCACTGAATTTTGTTTAACAAAACAAACAAACATTTCAAATCTTAAATAAAAGATAAAACATAAAAGCGATAGTTCGTAAATGGTTACTTACAAATAAGATTTATGGTGAATAATACCTGTTCAATATTATTTTTAGAATTATCTAACTCTAGGGGCTTAAGTCCAACTAGCGTAAACATACTTCAATAAGCGAAATACTTTTACGTAGTATGTTATGTTATGTAGGCAGTATGCATGTTTTTAGTAGTATGCGGTATTGTACGAACTTCGTGTTTTCCGTTTTTCTAGCATTTTTCTCATCTATATATATAAAAATGAATTGCTGTTCGTTAGTCTCGCTAAAACTCGAGAACGGCTGGACCGATTTGGCTAATTTTGGTCTTGAATTATTTGTGAAAGTCCAAAGAAGGTTTAAAAAGTAGATAAATATGAAAATGCTTGGAATGAAATAAAAATAACAATTTTGTTTTTCCTTTGATGTGTCCCCTGTCAGACGGATTCCTTTTGTTTGTTTTAAGTTTATTTTATACAAAAGCTTAGATCTTTTATTTATCGATTGAGGCACTACGAAGTCTGCCGGGTCAGCTAGTTTGAAATAAAATCATTTCATACACGTTTTAGGATAAAATAACGTAAATTTCATCAGCTTTAAGACGTCCGCTTAACTTTAAAATTTGTACACGTATTACGAGCCGGTGGCTTTAGCATAATTATAATAATTTGACCTAATATACGGACTAGGAACATAAAAGAAGATTTTTTGATTCGGCTTGTTTCTAAAACGTGCTTTTTGAAAAAATGCTCGAATAAAATTGGAATTGAACACGCCGATTGTGATAAAAGGACTCTGCATTTTAAAGGTGAGCTTGGAAGAATGGAGTATTAATCCCCAGGAATGACTCCGATTGAAAATTAAAAACAATTTATTAATCTCATAGAATTTATTAATTCTTTCTATTATATTCTACGAGTATGTTAACCGATTTTCCTATATTCCTTAGTAGCTATTGAAGACGAGCTTTAGCGTAATCAATATTATTTGAGTAATACTCAAATACTAATATAATAGTAATACTCAAATAATATTTATTATTAAATAATATTAGCTAGATAGATGGTGCGATGACCTCCACACGGTGGCCGGCAAGAAGTGGATGAGGAGAGCCGCAGACCGGGCTCAGTGGTGTGGATTGGGAGAGGCCTATGTCCTGCAGTGGACGACTGTGGGCTGTTGATGATGATGATGAATACTCGGTTATTTTTTTTGTTAATGTCAAAAAGGAAACGGAAGAGAAAATGTAATAATTAAAATGAATCTAAATCTTGAGGTGTCAATATACATATAAAAGCAGATTCATTGATAGACAAACACCATACCGATTTTCTTCAAATCCGATATTGAATGATTTTAGGACAAACAAATGTTAGAGAATTTTGATTAAAGCTTGCGCAAACTGTAGCCGCGCACTATGTAAGTACGTCAACTATGATGAATATTTTGATTTGCTTTGAAAACTCAAACGCTCGCAGAGGGATTATTATTAATCTTTATGATTGACTCTTACGATGGGTGCAATATCGTAAAATGGTAGTTTACACAAATAGGCAGCAATTAAACTTGGCTTGGGAAGCGGGTGCCTCTGGCATTGCTGATGTCCATGAGCTTTGGAGAATACCAACTCGACCGTGAGAAAACCTGTCGGAAGACAAACATGAAACTGAAGTTTTTCCTTTTCCTTTGTTTAAGCGGATTCAAACTTTTTGCTTGCAATAAATAAATACTGTACAAAAAAAAAACATAAACCTTTTGTATATTACGTTAATTTTGCACACATAAATAATTTTGGGCATTTAATAAAGTTTTCTTTAAAAATACAGGTTTTTTTTCTCAGACAACTCGAAGAGTCTTATGGTCCGTTTTGCTTTCAAACAAAGTAATATCTAATTAAACTACTCGATCTAGAGTGCAAATATTCGAATCACAATTTGTTGAGTCTTTCAAATTCAGTACGCCCGTACTTACTTGTAGTACTAGTATTAATCGATAAATAATAATATAAATAAAATAAAAAATATTTCCTTAATTATTATTTTTGAGCTATTTTTGATATTGATGATTTGAGAAACATCCCTGAAACGCATCATTCAAACGAAGTCAATTTATACTATGCAAATAACGGCTCCCAATATTGCTGCACACGGTGTATTTCGTTAAAACTGGATGAACGAGTGGTTAGGAAAATTAAATCTTAAATCTAATAAAATGTAATATAAATAATTGAGATTTCGACAAATTTCTCAAGGCGTACAAACAATAACTTGGTCTTATTGTGGGTGGGAGCACTTAAGTTGTGACGTTTGCCTTTAATGCTGTGTAGGGGCTCTGGTAACAGCTTAATATTATCTGGTTATAAGCTGCCAGCCCATCTGCACTACTACATAAAAAAAAGTAATAGTAAATTTCTCACTTACAGTATAGGTGTTCAGGTACGCTCTCTTATTCAAGCACCTATTTGTGTTATTAATAAATTTAACACACGCACAAAACTATTCATAGTAGACTTATTACGAATATTTCCTGAAATAAATACTTTGCTTCGGAATTTTAATGGAATGCTTGATTTTCGTATAAAATAAATATGTATGTTATTATGTAAAGAATAGGAGAATTAAAGTACGCTCACGCACGCGGCCGTGTTCGACAGCGGCTCAAACACGAGTGAACGATGTTATTACTGCGATTGCTTCCTCCCTTTCTTCAATAAACGGCTTAACATCATATACAGACGTACACAAAACAAATCCGTTTCAGAGTAATACGATTTTTATATGTGTAATTCGATGTATTGTTTGCATGTAGAGCAAGAATAGTGGATAGCAATTTAAACCATCAATACTATTCTAGAGCTGGGTTGCTTATGATCAGTGAGCTTAATGCGAGTTTTCTAACGCTCTCGATAGCGTTAAAGTTAACTCAATTTTTTACGCAGTTGGAACGTATGGTTACGTTTGTCATTAGGGGCGCTGTTTCAACTGCATACAAATTTTACTTAACTTATTGAGAATCGAGTTTGTGCTTAGATTCTGATGGATGACGCCTGCAATAATCAGCACCAAATTAAAGTGTAAAAGATTTAAACCGGATCGGTTCCCCCATGATAACGTCGCGAAAGTTACAAATATACTTGTAGCAAAATGAGACTAAAGTATTGCTCAAATTTTAATTTAAGGGGCACCAGATAAATCGCTTTCTGTCACTGGCGGGACCTTTTTCAACGTAGTTAAAGATGTGTAGCGCTGCGGAAAGGCTAACGAGGTAAGCTTCATTTGCAGTCAAAGGTAAATGAGATAAAATGATCTATGGATCCAGTGATATATTATAGTAATTTGTGCATGTCCGGAAAACATTTTTAATCGAAGTATTCGCCCCATAACTTGAGGTAATAATTAGAGCAAAGACAATAGTCACCTCTAGCCGATATTCCCTTAACTGATCAACACCATTAGCAAATTCCTGACCTCTTTTACATTCGTTCTCTCAAAATCTTTCTAAGATCTCCCCTAAAAATGTATGGTTTATTTATTTATTTTTTATTGCCTTTAAAAGCGGGTGAGCATACGTCCCACGTGGCTACCGTCACTAGCATTGTCACATTGCTACCTAGAACCGAAAACCCACATGGGAAATTCTACCTACATCTATTTTTACCGCAAAACTTTTGTGTGTTTCCTCTTTTGTCTTCTAGCACCGCATTACAATAATATGACAATTTCAGAATTCGTTTTAAGGTAGGCGGCGGTGGTTTTATTATGCTCCTTAGCTTCAGCAATTGTTTACCATTAGGTGGATTGTGAACATAGTCAGGCTATTAAAAAAGTAAAAGGTGTAGTAGGTAGTAAGGTACTCCTATATATTTAAACCTTACCTTTGAATCTTAAAAAATAATAATAATAATACTAACACATATATTATGCCATTGGTCCATTACAATTTACATTCGTTTTATCAGCTTCAAAGCAGTACCGTGCTTAGAATTTCGAAATTACATGTAGGTATTACGATTAAATGAATTCACAACATTAAAAATTGAATATACAAATTTTTAAATAAATAAAAAACATATGCAAATATGAACAAAAAACAAACCAATACTTTCTTATGTTTATTTTACTGAGCAAATTACATGTGGGTATATTACGTGTCTCTGAGTTTAAATAAAACGAAAATCAAATATTTTTCGAATCAATTTGTGGTTCGTCGTATCAAAGGCACTCGATGTTATCAATATGAAAGGAAAAATTGTAATAACGGCAACATATGCGAAAAATCTCATAGCGATTATTATAGAAGGAAGGACGCGCTTATTGTATGTTTTCATTGAACTATATAATATTGTACATGCGCTTGTAAATTACAGACAATATTATTTACATTTGTGATCATATTATTGAAAACATACACATTTATATATATATTTAATTTTTTTTATTGCCTAGATGTGTGTGCGAGCTCACAGCCCACCTGGTTTACGTGGTTACTGGAACCCATAGACATCTACAACGTAAATACGCCACACACCTTGAGATATAAGTTCTAAGGTCTCAGTATAGTTACAACGGCTGCCCCACCCTTCAAACCGAAACGCATTACTGCTTCACGGCAGAAATAGGCGGTGGTATCTACCCGTGCGGACTCAAAAGAGGTCCTACCACCAGTAATTACGCAAATTATAATTTTCCGGATTTGATTTTTATTACATGGTGTTATTCCTTCACCGTGGAAGTTAATTAATAAATATATATTATATTGTTCAATACTAGTGGTCTTTTGGTGTTAGGGTGTAGGTACTATGATGAATTTCAGCTGTCATCGTATTGCCTATTCTTAAGACGGAAGAAAACTGAGTACCAGAAACAATATTTATACAAAACAATTGTGACTTAAATGCCATGTCTCAAGTTGGGTGGTGAGGTTTATGTTCTGATCTAACTACATAAAACCTGGTGAATGCTTAACGTCTGCCAATATAACAACTAAAACGATCATCCAATCCCTATCACTGAATCACTAAAACATTTGTATTGAAATAAATCAAATGTAATTATTTTAACAATTTTTAGCATTTAGCACAACGTATGACGTCATACGTGTTAATCGTTGTATATAATCCGTGGTGACGTTGTCGTCTATTTTAGGCCACAAATAACATCGCGTGAGACGTTGAAGTTACAACAAGCCGAATTATATTTGTTGAAAAGAAGTTTGAAAAAAGAAACGATTAAAAAAAAACAGAGTCCCCCGGTTCTCTTTCTAGGTTATTTCCAAAAAGGAATAATGTCAGGTATTCTTCGTAAACCTGTAAATAAAAATAGTTTAATCAATCTACAAAAAGAATTCAATATATGCTAACGTTGCCACCCCGCCTATTTATAATAGGACGAGTACATTTTATTTTATTTATTGCTTCGGTGGGTGAACCAGCTCACGGCCCAACTGATGTTAAGTGGTTACCTGACCCCGTAAACATCGACAACGTAAATGCCGCCACCTAACTTGAAATAATAGTTCGAAGGTCTCTGTCTTTACAGTACAACGGCTTCACCAGCCTTCAAACCGAAACGCATTACTGCTTTACGGCAGAAATAGTCAGGGTGGTGGTATCTGGCAGCAGTTCCACGGAGCCATTGTATGGGAGCAACCGGGTGTCGGTGTATCACGTTCCGACCTGGCAGGCTGGTTCTGGTCCAGTGGGGTATTCCGCAACACCAGCGCCACCGCCTGGGGCGGCCCGTCGGGCTGCCGTATCGAAACAGCCGATACAGGGTTGTCGACTATCGCCTCGACGACCCGTCGGTCGGGCGTCCGGGGGGTGGCGCCGCGAGTCTGGTAGTAGTGTTGTGTAGTGCTGACCGCGGGAATCCCCTCTACTCTGACTGCATTCTGACCCCAGGTGGAGATCGGACCTCGGATGAGAGAGTGATAGGGCAGTCGTTTGGTAGGTAGGGCCTTTAAACATCCTTGGACCCGTGATCTGCTCTCAGCATCTGCAGACCGTCAACTCCCACTTACCCCGCGGGTTCGGCCCAATGTCCGAAAAAAAAAAGAAAAAAAAGTGTGGTGGTACCTAACCGTGCGGACTCAAAAACATGTCCTACCACCAGTAAAGAAGGTGGCTTCTAATATCAAACATTTTCGACTGGCTTAATTAGGGAAGAATCTCTTTGCTACAAAACACTTATAAAGTTAGAGTTAAGAACTTCTACGCCGATTTGCGAGGGTTGGGATCGCGGTAACGGGATTATGTTACTGATCTGTAACTACGGCTTGATGTCATTCGATCTTGTGGCGGTAATGATTTCGCTAGATGACCATTATGTTATTTGTTACCTCAGAAGGACCTTCTGGCTATTATCAGATAACATTTGTATTTGAAAGGTCATGACTATACTCATGCCATTGGTTTTAAACAACGATTGACGATAATTTTTTATTGCTTTGTATATGTTTAAACATAAGCTTCATTTGGTTTTGATTATGCCTGTATTTCATAGGAAACAAACACGAACAACGTACTCTTAACTTCCTTAATTATAATGGTAGCCCATAATCATAATAATTTGTTTGGAAACTGTCACTTCGTTGCACACTGTAGATTTTCGAATCAATGAGCCGTCAGGAAGCAGATCATAAAGGAATAATTGGGATGTAAATCATCATATCTACATAATAATATGTAGATATATATATTTTTTTTATTTATTGCTTACATGGGTGGACGAGCTCACAGCCCACAGTTAAGTGGTTACCGGAGCCCATAGACATCCACAACGTAAATGCGCCACCCACCTTGAGATATAAGCTCTAAGGTTTCAAGTAAGTTACAACGGCTTCCCCACCCTTCAAACCGAAACGCATTACTGCTTCACGGCAGAAATAGGCAGGGTGGTGGTACCTACCCGCGCGGACTCACAAGAGGTCCTACCACCAGTAATTACGCAAACTATAATTTTTGCGGGTTTTGACTTTTATTACACGATGTTATTCCTTCACCGTGGAAATCAATCGTGAACATTTGTTGAGTACGTATTTCATTAGAAAAATTGGTACCCGCCTGAGATTCGAACACCGGGTGCATCGCTCAACACGAATGCACCGGACGTCTTATCCCTTAGGCCACGACGACTTCAATATATTATATTCTATATTTAAAGTTGCTTTCTTAACTTACATTGATGGCTGATACTGATAGTGAAGGGACTAGCTAAGGCGTATGACTGGTTAAATTTAAATCTATCAAAGCTTCATATTTGTAAAATATTTTTCGCACCTTACGTTATTTTACAACTAAATAGCAACTTTATAATCAAAACATATAGTGGTACTTGTGTTCGGATAGCTAATTTACCTAATTTATCCAGCTGATTAGCGCCTAAGCTGGCATATCTCTTAAGAGTTTAATAATTATCAATAAATTTTTTATATGGTTGAGACATCTTATGGGTTATCACATTTTAAACGAAATATAGGTATGTAGCTGTGGCTCAAACTGCGATCACATACTGTATACTCGTTTGGGGTATAGCTGATAGGAATCGCTTTATGGGTTTGGAACGAGCGCAAGGATACCTCATTATGGTTATGTATTCAATATCGTATCGTTTTTGTATGAACGCAAACAAAGCCACTAAGTATAAGCTAGAAAACAAAATATCTTAAATCTAATTTTACTTTAATCACAGCCTAATGTCGTTTTAAGATCGAACGCGAAACGGAAGAAGGAGGGATATTGTGGGTAGTCCTCTTCAAGTTCGTACTAAGTTTACTCAAAGCAGTACAGTCTCCATTTATTTACAGCTTAATATATCTCATTCTCAACCTATACACAGTACAACGATATATGAACCTACAAAGATACTTTAGCTAAATGGCTTGGTGCACAATCTTAAAAGCAGGTAGTTTTTTATGAGAATTTCTTGACAGTATCGCGAACAAACTTATGATCCGATCTAAAGGAACTTTGTTTCCATAGAGCGTTCTGTTAGATTTCTTACTTTTATATTTTATTGTATACACAGAATTGTAAATTGTGTGGTGAAGGAAAGTAGCGAGTCATTCCCAACAATACCAACATAAGTATCTATCAGATTATATTTACTGGGAAGATTCTACAAACCATCTCTGCAACATTAATTTGGAAATAAAGACTTTTTTTTAAAAAAAACGTTGCCTACATTAGCTTTTTGCCAGTTTAAACAAGATGTATGAAATCACTAGTCGAAGCCTTAAATAAATATTGAAAGCCATAAAGTTTATGAAACACGGGTCATCTATGGTAAGTACCTAACCGACACATTCCGCTGCCTACCACCAAAAAACTATACTAGAAGAGAAGCATATCGTTGCGCTCATGAAACAAATTTAAACTCGCAGAGTAATGGGCAGCAGAGTTCACTGAGTTCTCTCCAGAACAATGCGATCGCCAGTTGTGTTTTACCGGGATTAAGTGAAATTGTAAGGAGGTCATCCATTCGAAATTCATTGTTAGCACTAGGTTCTATTCTATTTTATCAGCCCACAGACGTTCGCTGCTGCACTATGTTTTTTTTCCACTTTTTATAGCTTTTCTGAAATACCAAACATCCGTACCTACAATGTAAATATTTTCACGAAAATTATTGATATAATTATCTTACTATTGTGACACGTCACATATTTGGTATTACTCTCTTCTATTATTTAAACGACCCATTCTGATTTTACGGTTTCGAATACCAAACGACAATATAGTTCAACACACCCATTTTGAATGATTTTTATGGCGTTGGTAATGGGTTTGGTTCCATTAGTTAAGTAGATCGTTAAGTTGAAGGTTCATCTATTTATTATATTAGATTTACCACGATGATGACGTTAGATTATAAAAAGAAAATATTTTAAATTAGTATGTCCTGGGTACTGAAGTAAAATCTGGTTAATTGCGTAGGGGATATAGCCTACGACTTTGAGGATTGCCTCGAAAGTAGTACGCAATAGCTTGGCGGTGTCTGAGGTATTGCTGAGAGGCTTATTACACCTGGATGAATTTAATCGACTGTATTCAGTCGCTACTGAATTCAGTGAAGTGTAATAGCATTAAGTAAGTTAGTCTACTGAATTCAGTAGCAAGGATGGTTTCTGACTGACTCAATCATTTAGAAGGCTAATTAGAAACGCATTTAGGAAGGTGTAATCGCATTTAGTTACTTAATGGTTTCAGTCGTCCCATAGCTCTCCGTGCGTAAGGACGTTTTAGTTTGTTTTTTACTTCCGAATAAAAAGTACTTATTTCTGTCACCTTTATTGAATGTGCCAGACATTTAATTTTATAAATAGCCCGACATGTTTCAGGGGTAATTTTTGTCATCAGGGATTGGGATATTGAAGAAATAAATTTTAAATCTTGATACGAATTTCCTGTTTCAAGACATCTTAATGTTACAACCAATCTTTATTTTGGACTTATACTATCGTAGGATTAGATATGTAATAGTTATATAATAGATATATAATAGAATATCGTAGGATAGTATCCTGCTTTTGAAAATCAATTTATAGATAATTTCTAAAGTCTGCTGGTTCTAAATCACTTATAATGTTCATATTTGCTATCTTTCCGCGGAGCAATAAATATTTCTTCACCAGTATTTTTTTTTTCAATTAATCCGACAGCGACGGCTACGCCAAGACCAATTTTTTGTTGTCTAGACAATACTGGGGCCATCCTCGTACACACACGACACGTCCAAATTCGTCGCGCTTAAACTGACAATTTATTCAGCAACTGAGCCTAAAACAGTGTAATCAGAAGCTTCTAAATTTGCTTCTGAATTCAGTTGACTAAATTTAGCCAAGTGTAATAAGCCTTTAATCTGTATGAGCGGCTAAATTTAAGTAATGAGTTACTACCATACATTCCGGTTCGGTACGAAGTCCAGTCTTAATTTTTCCGGTCATATTTCAATACCATTGGAATTCTCACTTCATGTCTCGAGGTGAGAATTTGCGATGTCAATATAACTACCAAAACGCCAGGTAGGTCGTAAGTAATTTAGCTCAATAATGCAATAAAAATCATAATAAAAGTTTAATAAGTAAAAAGTAATGCAATAGAAAGTTGACGTTTACAGAAATAAATTAAAATGCTCCACCCGAACAGAGAGATAATCGCATACACCCCAGGTACAAATATCGCGTCTAGTTACATTGGATGGTTTTAATTTTTTTTGGTAATTACTGTACTATTAATTATGAATATTATATCTACCATTGTATGCTAATTTTTTGTAAAAGAATATTCTTGAGCACCTATGAGATAAAAACTTATGTTCGCTGAAAATATAACATTGGCAATGTTTATAGTTCTTACACCGTCAGACGTCACACTGACGTAGACGTTTGGCAATTTGGCACTTTTGGCAGTTGTTGATGTGGTTTTCGAACATATGGTTACCTATCGCAATTCGCAAATATAGTTATTTATAAATTAAAATAAAACCCAATAAAAATAGGAATAATTATGACACCTGAAGAAATAGTTGAACGATTTAAATTCCTTGGTTTAAACGAGCAAAAAGCCAAGGAAACACTGAAAAATGCGAATGTTACCAAAGTATTGCTTGCGGCGTTAGATGAGGTTAGTAATCCCAGTAATCTGAAGAATATAATTAATAGTAACAAAAATATTATTCATAAAGGTAGATTATGAGAATTTTCCTATCTTCTAGGTGCAATTGCAGTCGCTTCCACTTGGTGCAGGCATTTTGATTTACCATTTAGCTACCAAAATCAAACCTCAAACTATGAGCAAGTTAAACTTTATTTGCCAATATATTGCATCAGGAAAACTGGATTCAACGTTGCGAGTAGACGCAGCATTGGACTACCTTCTTGGCAATATTAATGAAGCTAATGTAAATATTGAAGAATTTGAAAAAGCCTGTGGTGTTGGTGTTATTGTAACACCCGAACAAGTAGAGCAAGCAGTAGAAAAACATATGGTAAAATACAAGCAGGAACTATTAGAAAAGAGATACAGGTTCAACTCTGGTATAATCATGCAGGCTGTCAGGGCTGATCTAACTTGGGCAGATGGTAAAGCTATAAAAAGTGAAGTGGATGTACAGGTATGAGACCTATTTTGAAATTTGTTCATTATAATATTAAATTCATTACAAAAATACATTCCCATATTTAGATGTACTAGAATAAGCAAAGCGAAAAAATAATAGATTATGGATTTATAGAATTTATTTTCTATATTTTAAAAGGTATTTTGGCTGTATAATAGAATTTTAGAAAAATGATTACTGAACATATTATGAACTTAAAACTAATATGGAACAAAACTTTTTAACTACAGACTAGCAAAATGTATTCATATAGATATGTATTTATAAATATTATAGATACATGATATAATAGGTTTAATAGGCTATAAAGGCATGGTATAATAGGGTATACTTTAATAGGTTTTTATAAAATTTGGCTAGGCAAAGAGAGGAATGATGACAATGGAGTTGAATGTAATGCGCATTGACAGGGGCCTGTTAAACTTACAGCAGAATTGCATTTCCTTTCTCAGCAACACAACGGATTTAGTACACACACACAGTGAATCCATAGATTCCTAAAATATTTGTCTTATCAATAGAATTGTAATATTAGGTTCTTCCTGAAATTCATTTAGTAGTTTTAAATTTAAAATTATTTGTAGATCTTCGATTTATTGGGACCTAAGACTGAGGCTGATCTGGCTCCAGTTCCTAAAGCCAAGAAAGAAGCAAAGGCTGGTGATACAACAAAAAAATCAAAAAAGGAAGAAACAAAAGGTGATCTTTTGATTTAAGCTAATCGGATAGAATAGGATCTGTTTATCTTTATAATGATAACATCCATTTTGATTGCTGTTGTAGGCACATGGCTCACTGTTCCTCAATGCTCAATGTTGAGTGGTTGGGTACCATCGCTCATGGACAGCAGCAATTATAGGGGCGCAGCTAAGTCACTACCTGCTTTTTTACCCAGTAATAAATTCTGAGAAACTAAGTAAGAAATTTAGAAAAGTAGACAGCTGTCATTTTATTTCAATAGAACTTTGACATCGTGTTCAATTAAGAGGTAGCATTCACATCATGTTACTTACTCCTTTAGCCTATAATGTGATCATACAGTGCCATCTGACTCCCCTTGTTGATGTTTTATTCCCACTGCCATATATCGCTATTTACTTATTGATTGTTAAATAAGATCAGTGTTTAAAAAAACATTAACAAACGAAGTCAATAATTTTGTTCTTAATTTGAATTTGAATTTGTTTTCATATTTTGAAAAAGTGTTTGATTTTGGAGTATTTGCCAATAATTAAATTTTTCAAATTTGTAATTTCAGTCTCAAAACAAGCAAATGTTGAATCTTCAGAAGATATTGGTGGAGCAACCAGTATATCAGAACTAATGAAGAAGCTCCCCTTTCATGCACCAGGGGAGAATTATAAGAGTGATGGCTATGTGGTCACACCCGATACAAAACGATTGCTTGAAGAACATCTAAAGATAACTGGAGGAAAAGTTAGAACAAGATTTCCCCCTGAACCTAATGGAATTTTACACATTGGACATGCTAAGGCAATTAATATAAACTTTGGATATGCTGCAGCTCATGACGGTGTATGTTTCTTAAGATATGATGACACAAATCCTGAAAAAGAGGAGGAGAAGTTTTTTATTGGTATCAAAGACATGGTGGAATGGCTGGGTAAGTAAGTTCACAGTAAACAAGTCAAAGATTTTTTTTATTATTGGAGGTACAATAATATAACATTTTCAGGGTATAAGCCATACAAAATTACACATTCATCTGATTATTTTGATCAGCTTTATGAATGGGCCATTCAGTTGATAAAAAAGGACTTGGCCTATGTGTGCCATCAGAAGTCTGAAGATATAAAAGGATTCAATCCACCTCCGTCACCGTGGAGAAACAGGCCAGTTGAAGAAAGTTTGCAGTTGTTTGAGGTGTGTTAATTGTGAGAAGATTCAAAACTATTGATATAACAATAAATGCAATTATGTCTGAAATGGTTTAATATATCATACTGTAAAATTTTCATTTCACCACCTTTGTGTAATAAAACCTCACTTATGTATATTTTTAATTCTATTTGTTTTTTAAGGATATGAAAAATGGTAAAATTGATGAAGGGGATGCAACTTTAAGAATGAAAATCACACTAGAAGAAGGGAAGCAGGATCCTGTAGCCTACAGAATAAGATTTAAACCACATCATCGCACTGGAAATAAATGGTGCATCTACCCTACATATGATTATACCCACTGCCTATGTGACAGCATAGAACATATCACACACTCTCTTTGTACTAAGGAATTTCAATCACGAAGGTACTCAAAATATAATTTTTCATTTATTATATAGGTACTTGTTCATATCATATAACATTTTATATTTTATATGAACTTTATTTTAACAGATCTTCATACTACTGGTTGTGCAATGCGCTTGGTATTTACTGTCCAGTACAATGGGAATATGGCAGACTAAATGTGAATTACACTGTCGTTTCCAAAAGAAAAATAGCGAAACTCATAGAAGAGGGTATTGTTAATGGTAAATTTAATTTGTGATTTCTTTGTTACAATAATGTTTTCCGTTATTCTACCGAGCAATAACACTACCTCGGTGGAAGATCTTCCCTTTGCCGTATACCTACCCAGGGAGCGTTAAGTGGCGTGTGGACTAGATCAGTTAATCTAGAATAACCCCTCGAGGCTACTTAGAATAGGTAAGAAAAACTACGGTTTTTTCTACCTAAGCTGATGGCTTAGAGAGACCATGCCAGCGTCACCGGGCTAGTAGGTGAGCTCACGGGGTTCCAACCTGATGATGTTGGTAACACGAACCCTAGCAAGAGCTGTGCTTCGCAGAGTCTACCACCGGATCGGAAACGTGACCCACTGAGAAGATCCGGCGAGAAACTCTGCAGTGTGTCTGTGGGTTAATTTACTCGCCGAACCCATCGTCGCAAGCGACGGATTCGACGAGAACCATGTCCGGTGCTTGGGGTACCTAAATGTACCGTTAGTGGATCGGGAGTATCCGAGATGACGTGTTTTGGGGCGACATCGACTGTTTACCATTTGGGCCGCAGGATCGGCAATGTAGTTACCGGCGGCCACGATGAGAGAGTTCTCGTGTCGTGCCGCTTTATCGAAGCGGGGTTAAGTGGCGTGTGGCCCTGCACTTTTATATCCGACGTCCGATCTCTGCCGGGGTCAGAGCCCGGTCAGAGTAGGGGGGGGATTCCCGCGGTCAACACTACAACCAGACATGGTGCCACCTCGAGGACGCCCGACCGACGGGTCGTCGAGTCGATAACCCCTCCAGGTTACTAGAAGAGGTAGGAAAGACTACGCCGACGTTTAACAGTAGTAACAAATGGCGTGTGTTGCTGTTGCTGTAGACTGGGACGACCCGCGCCTGTACACGCTGAGCGCGTTGCGGCGCGGCGGCGTGCCGGCGGCGGCGGTGAACGCGTTCTGCGCGGCGCTGGGCGTGACGGGCGCGCTCGGCGCCGTGGACCCCGCGCTGCTGCACGCCGCCGTGCGCGACCACCTCAACGTCACCGCGCCCAGGTCAGAGACAACCCTTGTGTCACTGAGCTTCTAGATAAAATAAATAATAGTTTAAAAAAATTAAAAAACACGCTTTATATAAAATTCAACTACAAAATAATTTTTAAGAAATTTAAGTTGAAAATAGTGTAAAAAAATATATATTTTATTGTAAAAAAAGCGTATTTTGTTAGTTTTTAAAACTATTATTTATTTTTCAGTTATAGTTGAATTTCAATTTTTTCAATATTTAATTTTTTTTTATATTGAATTGTCAGCGGTCCTCGATAAATCTACAAAGTTTGAATGAAATCTGGCCGTTTAAAGTGGGTCAAAATCGCATCTAAAGGAGTCAGTTACAAACATACATACAAGTGAAGCTAATATAAAGCGTGTAATAAAAAAAAATGCACTGCTTTCTATATAAATCTACAGTACCAGGCAATAAATATTGCATATCGATATTTAGAAAGAAACAGCCGTCTAATTTGATTTTGTTGTCGAGTGTTACCTGTGTGCGACGAAACAGTAACGATTCGGTATCTATGGAGACTAAATGTCAATTAGGTAATGTGCGACAGATATAACGCCCTACGAAGCAAAAATTAACCGTCTTATTTCCCACGATCGGTGTGCAATATTTATCGCCGGGTACTGTATTAAGAATTTTCACCGAGCTACTAATGATTTTAACGCTCATATCACTGGGTTTCTAGATAAAATAAAAACAAATGCACTGTTTTTTATAGAAATGTACTAAGAATTCTCACCGACCTACTAATTATTCTACTATTCGTATCAGCCCAATATTCAACACTATAGTGACTCGCGTTTTAATTTTACTTCGACTCGTAATTTGATCGCATCGTAGTCGAAAGTCAGACCATTGTTTTCAGCCTTTGGTAACTTATGTATAAATAATATGTATTTATACGCAACCCACTCTTAGGAACGGAATAGAACCTTCCCGAACTTTCCGATAAAACTTTTTTCTCGAAACACGATAATAATATGATTTCGTTCATCTACTCTCTACTAGATTAAAGCTGTAATTAATTGAGTAAGTTGTCAGTAAATAGTTTCAGTAATTTGAGAATTGTGAAACGAAATGTACTGTAATCAATTAGTATGTTTTATTTGTAATGGAAAAAGGTAAGCACTGCTTGTGCTCTTTGTTTTATTTCTTAACCGACCAACCTGAAAGTAGAAGGTACTAACTTTTAAAGCTGTAACTCGTAAACTAAACGATTGCCTGACATTAAACTTTAATGTTATCGAGATTGTTTTGACTATTAACCATTAATTGAAGTCCCCCGATTGGTACTATAAATAATGTGTGCCAAATAGCGTCTGCTGATATCCAATTGATCAGATCACAAAAATACCATATTTTTTTTATTGCTTAGATGAGTGGACGAGCTCACAGCCCACCTGGTGTTAAGTGGTTACTGGAGCCCATAGACATCTACGACGTAAATGCGCCACCCACCTTAAGATATAGATCTCAGTATATGTAGTTACAACGGCTGCCCCACCCTTCAAACCGAAACGCATTATTGCTTCACGGCAGAAATAGGCAGGGTGGTGGTACCTACCCGCGCGGACTCACAAGAGGTCCTACCACCAGTAAAAAAATACATTACCTAAGTAATAATATGGTATAAAAAAACTTCACAAAAAAGAACCAATTCAATTGATATTTAAAATTTTCAAATTATCATATTTTTCAATTGTACAATATCACTAATCTACAAATGCTTTTTTTTGTTGATTTTAATATGTACATACAGTCGTGGTCAACTAATTAGGGACATTCAAGATAGTGAAGGGCTATAACCGGTTATGTACATTTAAATATAAAACCCTATTGATTTCTCAGCACCTATTATTTGCATAATGTGGTCCGATTATTATACTATAAATGGCTGTAAATAAAAGATTTAATAAATAGAAAAAGTATTTAATATCAAAGATTAAACATGTATTAAATATTAAGGTACAATTCTGTAGTGGACATTTAATTAAGGACAGTAAAGTATAATGAAAAATACAGTTACACAAAACTTATAATCTTCAGTGTTATAATATCTTTAAAGCTCCATTTTATTACGTGTAAAATCAGTACCCAGTAGCAAAACCTTTGTTAGTAATTACCGCTTGACACAGATGTGGCATAGACATTATCAGTTTCTGACATGTTTCGACAGGAATGTTTGCCCATGCCTCACAAACAGCTTCATGAAGCTCATCCAAATTTGTATTACGATAAGTAGCAACTTTTTTCTTGATTTCGTGCCAAAGGTGCTCAATTGGGTTGAGGTCCGGGCTATTTGCTGGCCAATCTAGCACCGATACAAACTGACTGGTAAGAAACGACTTGACTGAATGGGCGGTATGGTTCGGGTCGTTATCCTGCTGAAACGTCCATATAATAGGCAGATGCTCCTCAGCATAGGGAAGCATAGTTTCTTCCAATATTGCCTTGTATTGATGTTGGTCTAAGTTACCCTGAACTTTCCTCACAGGTCCCACTCCACGTCCAGAAAATGAACCCCATATGTTAATGTTTTCACCGCCATGTTTCACCTGTTTTTTTGTGAATCTTGGATTCATTTCCACTTTTACAGGACGCCGTACATATTGCCTTCCATATGAAGAAATCAAATTAACCTTGGTCTCGTCAGAGAAAAGTACATCTTGCCCTTGGGCGTAGGTTCAATGTCAAACGAGCATTTCTATGTTCTTTCTTCAACAACGGTACTTTGCGAGCCACTCTTCCGAACAACCCTGCTTCTACCAAACGTCGTCAAACGGTCCTCGCAGATACACAGGCTCTTTCGTTTGCCCCAAACGCTTCTTGTTTAATTAAAATAGAGCCTAGAAACGGATCTTTCTTAGCTAACCTGGTTATCATTCTATCTTCTTGCGGAGTCGTTTTTCTCGATCTTTTTGTTCTGGACACATTTAAAGCGGTGTTATAGCGCTTGAAATGTTGCACTGCATTGCATACCATAGTTTTTGAACAATTTAAATGTTGTGCTATCCTTCGGTATGACCAACCACGCTCGACAAACTTCATGATAATTTTTCGTAGTGTTGGATCGCAACTTTTATTTTTGCCCATTTTTCTTCAAAATAATACTCAAAACTTAAAATAAAAAATCTGGATTGCCGCCAAAACGACCACTAAACAATAAGAAAAGAAACAAAAAAGTATTAAAATTCCAATTATGAAATTAGAACGCAATACCTCAGTGTCCCTAATTAAATAGCCAGCCAGCATTCTTTGAACCAATAGCACTATGATATTGTATCAGCTATACTGTAAAGAGGCTTAATGTTTAAGAAGTTGTTATTGTTTGTATAATCGCGCACATAAATGACTAATTACACTTACATGTAAAAGATATGGAATATTGCTAAGACTCGTTGGAAAATAAAAAAAATATTCACAATTTGGCTTAACTAGAGATTGTCCCTAATTAGTTAACCACGACTGTATATATAATAATCATAACCTAAAAAAAATTCTTTCCCACAGAGCTATGGTAGTACTGGAACCATTAAAGATAAGAATAGTGAATTTCCCAAGCGAACAACCTATATCGATACAAGTACCCGATTTTCCCAGTGAACCAGAAAGAGGTTCGCACTCAGTTACATTCGATAAGGTTATTTATATTGAAGCGACGGACTTCAAGGAAGAAATGGAGAAGGGTTACCGCCGATTGACACCCACACAGTCGGTCGGTTTGAGGCACGCCGGCTACGTAATTAAGGTACGCAACGTTTAAAGAATACATCTACCAAAGAACCACGCTGTATATTTACTGACCCTTATATACAGGCTGTTACTATTTCGCTCAGTGTAAGTTATAGTAAAATTAAATTACATTTTTTTTTTATTCCTTAGGTGGGTGGACGAGCTCACAGCCCACCTGGTGTTAAGTGGTTACTGGAGCCCATAGACATCCACGACGTAAATGCGTCACTCACCTTGAGATATAAGTTCTAAGGTCTCAGGTATAGTTACAACGGCTACCCCACCCTTCAAACCGAAACGCATTACTGTTTCACGGCAGAAATAGGTAGGGTGGTGGTACCCACCCGTGCGGACTCACAAGAGGTCCTACCACCAGTAATAGATGAGTTATGTCAATTTATATACGGGATTTGAGTGGTATTTTGATGCAATTCGTTTTTATAACAGGTATCTAAAGTCATAAAAGATCCGAGCGGTAAAGTATTGGAGCTGGAATGCACGGCCGAATCGACGGATTCGTCAGAGAAACCTAAAGCATTTATTCATTGGGTCTCCGAACCAATATCAATCGAGGTCAGGCTGTACGAACCACTGTAAGTTTTTGCTTCACACAAAACTGGTTTTATGTAAATTTTCTTATTCGTGTTACGTCCTTACGGATCCATCAGATCCAATAACCTTTGTATTAGACGCCTTCAGCTCTAACGGCCTGGCCACGGGGATCGGCGGCGCGAACAGCGAAGCGGTGGGCGAGGCGACCATTCGCGCAGCACCGTTTGCAGGCCACGGGTACTCACGTTCGCCGCCGCGACTAGTAAGGAAGTCCGACAGCGAAATGTCTATATCGAAATTATCTCGATATTGCTTACAAATTAATAGTTTTTTGGTTCAGGACCTATTATTTGGAAAAGATTGTGAAGTACATGATTTGAATAAGAATCGGAGTATACCTATAGATGGAGAATTCCACAAGAAGTACGAGAAATACTTTGGGTGGCTAGACTTCCAAATAGCTGGTCTAGCTAGTATTTCAGCTATTTTATTTTTTTATTGCTTAGATGGGTGGACGAGCTCACAGCCCACCTTGTGTTAAGTGGTTACTGGAGCCCATAGACATCCACAACGTAAATGCGCCACCCACCTTGAGATATAAGTTCTAAGGTCTCAAGTATAGTTATAATGGCTGCCTCACCCTTCAAACCGAAACGCATTACTACTTCACGGCAGAAATAGGCAGGGTGGTAGTACCCACCCGTGTAGACTCACAAGAGGTCCTACCACCAGTAATTACGCAAATTATTATTTTGAAGATTTCATTTTTATCACACGATGTTATTCCTTCACCGTGGAAATCAATCGTGAACGTTGAGTGTTGTTGAGTACGTATTTCATTACAAAAATTGGTACCCGCCTGATATTCGAACACCGGTGCATCGCTCAACACGATTGCACCGGACGTCCGTTAGGCCACGACGACTTTAAAAATATAAAATAAAAAATAAATAAAAAATATAAAAATTTCGGCGTTAATTTTTCGCGGCGAAAACAACTAAACTCATTTAATCACTGCACTATTCGCCGCGACTACCGCTCGACTCCGTGGCTCGCGCCGTCCGTATTCATGCATTTGTTTTGTTCGCCCGCCGCATCGCGCGATTCGCTCGGTACATTTCGCCGGTCGCTTCGCCGGTCGCCGGTGCGCGTGGCTTGTTAGGTACATTTCTATGCGCTTGTTTTAGTCGCTAGACGCTTCGCCGTTCGCACCGCGCGAATATTCGCATCGGCGAATGTCCCGTGGCCAGGCTGTAACACTAGGAGCAGGCTTAGTGACCCCGGTAACCGTACTCGTCGAACTCGACAAAGAGCTCGACGTGGAACCTAACCCATGAATCAGTTCGCTGAGTTTCTCGCCGGATCTTCTCAGCGGGTCGCGATTCGGATCCGGTAGTAGATTCATTCGCGAAGCAGCTGCTCTTGAGCTGTTAGGTCTCCTACGGAGGCGCTCGGGCAGCTGTTAGCAAATCCCACCCCTCCTGGCTGAGCTTTTGCTCGCCCACCCGTCCTGGTGAACTGGAAAGGCCTCCGGGCCACCTCAATCATAAAAAAAATTGTATTGCTGTATTTATTTACAAGTATCTTTAATTATCACAGATAATGTAATTAGCTACCTGTAAACGTGTCTTTAGATATTATGGTAACTTCACGACGACAAGTATAAACATATTATTAAAGTTTTCGTGAAAATTTCGCCAAGAATTTTGATCACCTGTTCACTTAACTATAATGGAGGCAGACTGAACGTGAAATGAATACAAAATGGAACGCGATATGTTAATGAAAAGAAATGTCAACGTTTTAGACTATTTTTAGTTAAGTGCTTTTTTGTGGGACTGTTTTTCTTTCGTCATTAAAATCAAAAAGTAATTGACATTTTGATTGTGTTTTTTTACATTCTACGTCTAAATAAGTATTTTATTTTTGTGTTGAAACTGAGGAATGTTTTGAACAGATTTAAACACAAGAACCCAGAGGATCCCAACGAGGTTCCAGGTGGTTTCCTTTCCGACTGTCGTGACGACACCCTGAAGGTAATGGAAGCTTACGCCGACTCTTCGATCAAGGGTGCCAAAGTCTACGACAAGTTCCAGTTCGAGAGGATAGGATTTTTCTCCGTGGACCCAGACTCGAGTCAAACACACGTATGTACTAAATTTTTTATACGAATTCACGGCCCTCCTTGTTTTAAGTAGTTTCCGAGTCCATAGACTTCGTTATGTGAAAGTCGCTATCCACTTTAAGACATGAGGCCGCAGTCTTAACTGTATATGCTGTCCAACCCTTCAACTGGTGGTTGGACCTCGCGTGAGTCCGCGCGGGTAGGTGCCACCGCCCCGCCTATTTCTGCCGTGAAGCAGTAATTCGTTTCGGTTTGAAGGGTGGGGTAGTAGTTGTAACTATACTGAGACCTTAGAACTTATGTCCAAGGTGGGTGGCGCATTTATGTCGTAGATGTCTATGGGCTCCAGTAACCACTTAACACCAGGTGGGCTGTGAGCTCGTCCACCTATCTAAGCAAATAAAAAAAAAGACTGGGAACATACCAGTGTTTCGCGACAGATATAGACAGGACGATGCTACTTATTCATGCAAGCTTATAGTAGGGAGCATTATAAGCTCGCATGAATATCAACTATCAGTAAATATGTAAATTAAAAATTAAAATAGAATGTAATTAATGATTTTGGTTTTTGTTACACGATGTCATTCATCCCTTCATCCCTTCATCGTATATATCGTTTGTGAACACATATTAAGTAGGTACGCATTTCTTGAGAAAAAAATACATAGTATCTGTTTGCTGAATTTAAATACTGGCATCGTCGCATCTTTCGACACAAGTACGACGTTTTATCTTTTAGGCCACGATTCTATTTTCACATTTTTTTTTATTGGATAGATGGGTGGACGAGCTCACAGCCCACCTGGTGTTAAGTGGCTACTGGAGCCCATAGACATCTACAACGTAAATGCGCCACTCACGTTGAGATATAAGCTCTAAGGTCTCAGTATAGTTACAACCGTTGCCCCACCCTTCAAACCGAAACGCATTTCTGCTTTACGGCAGAAATTCATTGAAGAATGAGATCAAAAATATTAGGCATTTAATGAAACTAACTGACAGAACGCTTCTTTGTGTATCATTCATATAATCATTAAAATAAGAATAGTTGAGAGGAAATGATTAAAATGAAATACTTGAAAAATATTGTTTATTATATACATCTGAAGTTTTCTGAAACATTTTCGTGTAGTTCACAATTATCATTTATTAACAGTCGAGATATAAACAAAATATATACTGGAAATTAATTATGTACTGTCGTTGTGTCCCGCCATAGGCTTTTTCATTGCTATTCTAGGGAAACGCGTATACGGCCCACCTGACGGTAAGTGGTTACCGCCGCTCATTGACATCACCAATCCCACGGACACACCCTACTCGCTGTCCATCGCGGGTATTTGTATGTAATTTGTTAAGATGATTTTGTCATTTGTTACAGATGGTTTTCAACAGAACGGTCTCTCTGAAGGAAGACACCGGGAAATAACCTTTTTTCAACATTATTAAAATTATTCATTAAGTACTATTGTTTTGTAATCCTTGTCAATAAAGAGTTTTATTAACAAAATTTCTTGTTAATTTTTCAGATTACTTAAATATTCCCTTTTATATAATACATTTACATTGTACATACATTTTCTTGGAGAATTAGACACCTAATCACGCGGACGAATCGGGTAAGTTTGTGGGGAAACGAAATTAATTAAATCGTCCTTTATTGTGTTGGAAAAGTGGGTGAACTGGCGTGGGGGATCGCGCACGTTGAGGCCAATGTTGCCAGGTTCGGAAATTTACTGCCAATTGAGCTATTTACGTAATTATGTACAGTGGTAAAATTTAGAGTCAGCAGTGTTAAACAGTTCGGGCTACTAAGTATTTTACATGACATTTTTTTATAATTGCCTTAAAATTTATAATATCAAAAGCTATTACAATACAAATATGTTAACCTACTGTATAACTGTTCGTCTGCCAGACTCCACAGGGTGCTTTAGCTTAGAATTCCGATAGGATTTTTATGCTTGGATTCAATAACCAATGTTGTTTTCGATTATATTCAACAGTTATTTTATTTTATTTTTCGCTACTTACGACTTATGAAATAGGTTATTGAACTTTAACGTAAATCAAACAGCAACATAGTAGTAGGTAGTATGCTCAAGTCGTGGGATAGTGGGTTAGCGAGTCCAGAACGTAGGATTCTAAATGTATGTTTGATAAATCACGATTTAATCTTTTCAAATGAAGAAATAAAAGTGTGATTGTTTCTGCTATGTTCTATATAAATAATAATAAAATATATTTCACTAAAATGGATCTGGATGTATGCTTGTCATGTCGCTAGCATATTATTCGAGTCCGAGCTCGGGAACGGTTGCCTTAGTAGCAATCTTTTTTTGTGATTGCGATAAATATAATTTAATTGATTGAAGTTAGATTATTTTTAAAATGTGGAAGTTCATCGGCGGTATTCGAAATTATATATCTGGTAACACTGGTGGGGAGTAGGGTGGGGTTCGTTATCGAGCGTGGGCGGCCGCGCATGCCACACGGTCACTAGTAGCCGCCATCCCGCGATATGCACCGCTACACGACTACGTCTGCTACGACATTCCGATTCGTACGATATCTCACCGGTCGCTGCGTATCTACGATGTAGACCTTGCGCTCTCTCTTTTGATTGAGGTGAGAATATATCCTTATTAAGTATTCACAAGCTTTAGAAAAAACTAGGCTTTTTAGACCTTTATTACTATCATACGATGAATATGGTTCGAGTGCGTCACATCGACGTGTACCTGACGTAATTGTAAAATCTTAACAATTTACATAATCTTGGCCTTTACGGCAATCAATTTTCATAAAAATCTGTATATTTAATTACGTTACCTATATTTAACAAAGAGTAGAACTACACATGTACAACATAGTACGAAGCAATCGTATAGGCGTACTTTTGGGGTCGTCCTTGAAATCTTGTACTGTTGTTTTAGTCGAAATAGATCGACTTGTCAGTTCTGTTTTAGCGTTTGTGCTGCCAGAATTTTAATATTATCATAATAAATAATTTATCAAATAATAAATACATTTTTTCATATAATACTATATAACATATAATGTAATATAATCTATATTACAAAATAATACGAAAATAAACGCGAAATTGAGTTGGTTTGCTACGCTTTCACGTTTAAACTGCTCAAACAATCGTCGTGAAAATTTTCATACACATTATTAAGAAGTACAGATAGGACTTTTTTTTATTCTCGAGAATAGCACTTTTTTTTTAATGAAAAATCAGTCCCTTATGGTATTTTCGTCGTTAACGGAATTGAAACTCCGGGCTAAATCCAGTAACTACATCAGAACAGAAATAGAACAGAAGTAGAACAGTAACCAGTTAATATATTGCAAAAAAATATCTAGGTCGGAAAGTAAGTAGGTCACAATTATTAAGGAAAAATAACTTATTTTCTAAAATCCGTACTAACTAAAAAACAGTTTCACGACTGGTCGCACGTTTCCACTCTATTAAGCAATTTTCCTTACCAAATTCAATTATAATTCGTTAAAGTCCTAAAATAGATTAAGTGCCATAGAATAACATGATATATATGATTATTCACGATTTCTTATTAAATTAGCTACTCTTATTTCGTATTGTCACTCTTGAATGTACAATAAAGTCTAGTCTTGTAAAATCCAAAATCCATTGTAAATAGGGAAACGTAGGAAAATACATTTAAAATTATTTACAACTTCCAGAGTCGAAAATAATTAGTAGTAATCATAAAGTGAAAAGCATGTATCAGACGCAGTTTCATTGTTTTGTTCAAGCAATCGTGTGTTCCTATTAGAAGAAGGGTAGAGAAGCAGTTAGTTTAAAACAATTAAATCTTCGACCTCGCATCTCAAGTAGTCGTCCAGATTCATATTTCAGTATCTATGTTCTTTATATTTGCTTAAGACTAGGTGAACCAGGGGCTTGTCTGCCCATAGATGTCAATTAAAAAAACTACTAAATAGGTAGTATAAATACGCAAATTTCGTGCAATTAACTCTCACGCACGTATGTGTATATATATTATATCTTTAAACGAGCAATTCTTTATATTATATAATCTGAATTTCGGAAACGGCTCCAACGATTTTTGTAAAATTTAGTATACAGGGGATTTCGGGGGCGATAAATCGATCTAGCTACGATTTATTATATTTTCAGAAAATTTTGTTTTATTCGTGTTTTCAATAATCAACTTGATCGATAATCAACTTAAACATAAACTAATTTTTTTTGTATTGAAAGAAAATAACAAATAATATAAAATAATATCAATATGTAATTCGTATTTAAATATAACTTCTAAAAAACACAATATATCAAAATAAAAAATACCGAGCAAAGCTTGGTCGTCCTCTAGTTTGTATACGAGTTTAACTGATTAGTATTAATCAGTTATAACAACTGACTTTTTACTGTCAAAAAAAAAAACATGACTGTAGCCGATCAACAACACCGAAATTATATCATTTTAGAAAGTGTTAATTTCATAGCAGATAGGGAAAATTGGATACAAATGTATGATATACGAAAACCCAAGCTATTTATTGTTCAAATATCTTTAAATATACTTACTAAGAACTAATACATTCTATTCGGTTTCTATCAACTAAAGGTATACGAAATTTTGTGGCGAACTTGTAGGTACAGAGCAATCAACTCTTGTGAGTCCGCACGGGTAGGTACCACCGCCCCGCCTATTTCTGCCGTGAAGCAGTAATGCGCTTCGCTTTGAAGGGTGGGGCAGTCGTTGTAACTATACTGAGACCTTAGAACTTATATCTCAAGGTGTGTGGCGCATTTACGTTGTAGATGTCTATGGGTAGTAACCAGGCCAGTAACCACTTAACACCAGGTGGGCTGTGAGATCGTCCACACATCTAGACAAAGAAAAAAAAACTTAATAATAATTGTAAAAAATCAAGATATTCTTTCTAACTGTAGTATTATACAAAAGCACGGGTTTTTATTTAGCAAGCTCTTCAACTATTATATAAATTGTAATTAATAAAAACACATATTTACAAAACTTATTTATAAAAGTGATGTGAACACTCTCGGCTTTCGGCTTTCTGTCTGCTATATAACAATTGAATAATCTAATTTCTGTGAGTTTTTAGAAAATATGTAAGTTTTCATTTTAAAAAAATTGTCAAGGTTGCAAAATACTGTATGTTGTAAATTTGTAGGCGTTCTTATCACGCTTTATCTAATGCGTGTAACGGCAGTAACTTCTACACCAATGCTGGTGCGATTATTTAAACGGAACACGATTTGCATGTTTTATCTACCATGCAATATATGTACATACATCCATACCACTTATCTTCGCCCACCAGCAAATTAGTGTTCCAACACATTCAAAGGGGAAAATTCTCGCTCGCTTTTGTATATTGTATTGTATATCAACTAGAATTTGAAGTAAAAAGTTTGAGGTAAAATTTTCATCGCTTGTATTAATGTAGGCTAAACACAAACCAAATGCGCAAAATTATTGATTATATCATGTACTCTTCGTTACTTTCCGTGCTCCTTTGACCAACTTTAGTTGTTTTGAGATGCTTCGTTTAGCAATTAGTATAAGATTACTTGCTCAATTAAAAAAAATAATGACAATTTTTAAATTCCACTATTTTCTTAGCATCACTGTTACAGCATATTGTGTGTGAATATCGTACAAGGTGCTGCGAGCCCCAAGAATATTTTCGAAATTTTTGTTTTTGTTTTTTGCCTACGGTTTTTTTTTATTGCTTATATGGATGGACGAGCTCACAGCCCACCTGATGTTAAGTGGTTACTGGAGCCCATGGACATCCACAACGTAAATGCGCCACCCACCTTGAGATATAAGTTCTAAGGTCTCAAGTATAGTTACAACGGCTGCCCCACCCTTCAAACCGAAACGCATTACTGCTTCACGGCACAAATAGGCAGGGTGGTGGTACCCAACCGCGCGGACTCACAAGAGGTCCTACCACCAGTAACAAAACGGTTGAATTTAAATAAGTATAAAAAAATATTACGACTGAAATTCATAATTAAATAAAAAAGTAAGAGATAATTAAATAGAGAAAAAAGTTAATTCAGGTTAAAAAAGATTACAATATCAGAAACGTTTGTTGAAACGATTAGATCTTAATTTTTGGATACTGATTAATGTGTTTAAGGCATTTTTTTGTAACATTTTGCAATATTAACGTTAAAATTGTGAATACTGATTGTGAATACTTTTTGAACTCGTCGTGGCCTAAAGGATAAGACGTCCGTTGCATTCGTATCTAGCGATGCACCGGTGTTCGAATCCCGCAGGCGGGTACCAATTTTTCTAATGAAATACGTACTTAACGAATGTTCACGATTGACTTCCACGGTGAAGGAATAACATCGTGTAATAAAAATCAAACCCGCAAGATTATAATTTGCGTAATTACTGGTGGTAGGACCTCTTGTGAGTCCACACGGGTAGGTACCACTGCCCCACCTATTTCTGCCGTGAAGCAGTAATGCGTTTCGGTTGGAAAGGTGGGGCAGCCGTTGTAGCTTACTGAGACCTTAGAACTTACATCTCAAGGTGTGTGGCGCATTTACGTTGTAGATGTCTATGGGCTCCAGTAACCACTTAACACCAGGTGGGCTGTGAGCTCGTCCACACATGTAAGCAATAAATAAAAAAAAAAACTGGTTATGGTTATTGTGGCTTATAAAAACTTCCATTAGCCTTAAACCAATTACGTCACAGCAGTAGCTATCCGAGTTGCAATTACGGACACGGGCGGTCCTTCAACGAAATATCCGGCACTTTATTTACTTTCATCAGCGCTTCTGGATAAACCTATTAATTTCATTTTTGGAGTAACAAGATCCGAAAATTTTCCTTTGAGAATCTCATAAAAGTGATGTGTTTTCTGACTTACCAAACAATTGATATAACGGAGTTTGATTGGCTATTTAGTTGTTGCTTGTTTGAGAAAATATGTCTAAATCGATATTATTAACACTTTTTATTAGCTTGGTTTCTGTCTTTTATGTTTGTATGTAATGTTGAATGTCATTTTCACCGACTTCAAAAAGGTAATCGGAATTGGCATAGATATCAAGGATCCATGACAATACAATCGTTTTATAACTTTGCTCTAATGTCATGACCTTATTTACATTATTACATACATGATTAACGGGATATAAAAGAAGAAATTAATTGTTTGTTCGATTGCTATTTAAGCGTTTTTTTAACTACATATATTTGAAATATGTGAGTTATCTGTATAAGAACTACATATATACATATTATGCATGATCAATTTATGAAACAACTTCATTTGTATAATTGCTATCTTCAATGCGTGTTTTACTTTATCGATATGTGTTACTGTTGATCAAAAATTTTAACATCTACTATGTACCTACCCGTGCGGACAAATTATAATGTTTGCGGGTATGATTTTTATTACATGTTGTTATTCCTTCACTGTAGAAATTACTCTTGAACATTTGTTAAGTACGTAGATCGTAGATAGGTATGTACTATTAGAAAAATGGTCTTTGTCTGGATTCGAATACCGGTACAATCGCATCGCTCGATACGAATGCACCGGGCGTCATATCCTTTAGGCCACGATGACTTCCAATATGCGTTATTACCACCAGTAAATAATTTATGCTTTTCTATTTCTTTAAAACGTTCTATAGTCCAAACGATTTTATAAATGTTAAAATTTATCCAACGACACCAAAGTTGTACATCCTTAGTCGGGAAATTATTTGCTGGAAAAAAGAGTTTGTATGCGGAATTCATCTTCATTTATTTAAAACACATATTACAGATACAAAAAAAAATGCGAGTCTTGCTTAGGCCGGTTAAGATTTATTTAATATATAAAAACGGCCTCCACGGTTGTGATTTTGTATTCCTTTGAATGTTGACTTTTCATGCATTGAAATTGCTTCACTGCGAGAGCCACGCATAGTAAATAATGTTTTAGGAGTGCCTCTCGATTAGCGACATGTAATACATATCGACGCTTGAAAGGTAAACGTGACTAAGCTACAATAACAGCCTTATACATAAATGATAGGCAATAACCATATTCGATGCGCAAACAAAAATATATTACTAGGTCTATTAAAACCATTTCAATCCTACAGCTAGATTCGTTAAAATAGAATTTTTTTCAGGTATTTCAACTTTAAATTAGTCTACTGTAAAGTTCACGCATTTTCGCTTAGTCACGTTTGCCTTTCAAGCGTCCATATGTATTTGTGCAACTGCCTATTTCAACCACGATGCAGTCAGACTTCGACTCAAGTCTCAAGGTTCGCGACGTCGTATGTCGTCGACGATCGTAATGTCCATATGCACTCTTAGCAATAAAAATAGAACACATTTGTGTTACGTATTGTTATAATGTAATGCGTCACAAGCCTATCGAACCAGTATTGGATATAATTACTATGTTTTCTATACATTTGTCAGATCGCGTCATTTCACTTGAGCGTATGGGATCGATAGACTTGTTTACCAATGCCTTTGACGCATAATTATCACAACATGTCAATCAAATCTATTTCTAGCTTAATGCACTGTTAATTACAAAATTAAGTTGGTCGCTAAAAGCATGTATTTACAAATATATTACAAGTAAATACTCGTAAATTTCATAGTATGTACACATACTTTTAAAGTGAAATTTTAGCAACATTTTATTATTATGATATTATGTCGTAATGATGATACAGTTTTGACCTGGAAAATTTATGTTGTGAGTTAATAGGAAGTATTCATGACGGTGGTTTTATAGACGATTAAGCTTCTAAGATCGGCTCCCGGCATAGGGTGGCTGGGAGACGAGCCGGCGCCCCTGGGGAAATGTGTCAAGGCAATAAATAGGTCAAGGGGCCCACACGAACTGTTATACGCGCTGTAGATTACTTAAAACAGAAACCGCACAACTTGTTGATGTTTCAATTTACTAAGTTAATTAATTTCGAGAAACCTCGAGCTCTTATACATTTGTATGAATTAAAACAATATTTAAATTACAATGATTATGTACGTGTCAGGGAAAAACTTTTTTTTAATGCTGAAGTTAGAGAGACGGGATCTCGACACACTTTGTGAAGCGATAAGCGGACTTCCTAAATGTTTTTATAACTATTGTTCGTTTATTTCGTTGACGTGTTAACGTGCTCACGGGTCACCAGCTGTACCGGGATCCATAGATATCACGCCGTGAAGCCACAACCCACGTTAAGGCATGAGGTCGTGGTCTCAGTTGTATTGTATAAAGGCTTCCCATTTTAAAACGATATCGACCGCTTCGTGAGTGAAAAAGGTAGGATGGTGTTACTTATGTGTGCGGGCTGACTATCCAATTTACGAAATTTACTAAATTTAACTGGTTAGGTTGGTATTACAGGATGTTTCTCTTTAATCGCGATAAGTAGGTATATATTTCTTTCCTATTACCCTCTGCTGGAGTGTAGGGCTCGAATCAAATCCTTCAATTTACATCGGTCTTGGGCAGTCTGTTCTAGATCCTCTTACGTCATGCCCAAGACGCTGACGTAAGAAAGTTTCTGGCAAAAAGAAGTATGTATATAGGTATGTTATTTATTTTGAAAATAAGAGAAGTCCCTAACGGCATAATCGTCGATCGATAGTAGGAAAAAGTACTTGAATATCTAAATATCTGTTCATTTGCGTTTTGTGAAGGTAACGACATGAAACAAAATGTTTGGTTTCAGATAAAAGTGATAGTTATGAAAAGCAATATTTTAGTAAGATATCATGGATTTTTGGATTTGTATATTCAGAGAATCAAGAATTTTGAGTAAGTTAGAAATATGGATGTTCAAAAACAACAATTATGTCCACGGTTGGTGGATTATTTAACTATTGTCGGAGCGAAACCTTATACTACCGGAAAGGGACTGGCACCGGTTCAAGTAAGTTTTGTTTATCTTTATGATTTTTTTCTAAGCTTAGAGAATGTGTTAAAAATAAATAAAAATATTTAATGAGCAAAAATGTATTAGAACTTCCTTTTTGTTAACCATAATATGAACGAATGCTCTGAGACTAGTGTTCAATTTGATCGTATAGGCACCCGAACTCCTTCGCCGATATCCGCTTACGAATCACGATGATTTTCCTCTGCCACTGGACATGGTGTACTTCTGTCAGCCAGAAGGATGCGTTTCAGTAGGACCTCGACGTGCTCCCGGACCATTCGCATCAAGAGATACAACTTCATTTGTTTTTACACTGACTGATAAAGATTCAGGTACGATATCTGAAAATATTGATAATGAATCCTTTTTGAAATAAGTTATATAAATATGTCATACGTAACAACTAATCCAAAAAAATAATTAAGAATAAATTAAATTAAATTAAATTAAGAAAGTTAATCGTCGTATCGTATTACCGATTTTTGCACAGTAAACAAAAGGCTAACAAACATTGGAACAAATTTCACAAGCTATAATAAGCAAGGTAGATATATTATAACTCATTCAATAAGGTTAGGACTGACATATCGCTTATAGCAATCACTTCTAGAATATGTTGTACGGCTATATCTTTTTAACAGAGTTTAGTTAAATAATCGTAAATAATGAAACATTTGGTTTTTTTCTTCTTATGTCAGAATAAAAAAAATATCCTAAAGGCCCAACAAAGTTATACAATTCAAATGCATTTTTATATACATACTAGCTGACCCGGCAGACTTCGTATTGCCTCAATCGATAATTATTAGACCTAAACTTTTGTATAAAATAAACTTAAAACAAACAAAAGAAATCCGTCCGACGGGGGGGGACACATCAAAGGAAAAACAATATGTATTGTTGTTTTTATTTAATTCCAAGGATTTTCATATTTATCTACCTTTTAAACCTTCTCTGGACTTCCACAAATAATTCAAGACCAAAATTATCCAAATCGGTCCAGCCGTTCTCGAGTTTTAGCGAGACTAACGAACAGCAATTCATTTTTATATATACAGATTTCTAATCTCAAGCTTAGATTGCATTGCAGGTCTGTGATATGCAGTCTGCTGAAAAATGGAAAATAGAACGAGGAGCATTTTAAATAGCTTTATTATTATCTGTAGGTAAAACCCGTTACGGTATTTGCGTCAACTTCTACCGGGCAGTAGAGCGAGCTACGGGCGCGGGTCCCCGTGACCGCGGAGTGCTACGCCGCGATTCCTGGCGCAAGTCCATAGAGAAGAGTTCCGATTCTGCTTTCTCGAGGTGCACGCTCATTACTTCTATTATATCAACAATATAATGTAAAAATTAATATAATAATAATAATAATAATAAAATCATTTATGGCCTTTCACATTAATTAAATTAAAAAGAAAAAAAAGAAAAAAAAGAGAAAAAGGCAAAAGGAGGTAGCTCAGCGAATGCTGTTCAAGGTCGATAAATCGAACAGCGCTGATTTTCAGTTATGTTATAATAATATGTTAAAGTTCAATTTTTTTAAAATAACAGTTTGCCCTTTGATATCACAACCTGAAAGCCCAAGCCCATCGTGAGACATGGGTGGTAACACTTTTATAACGACTTTCCTATCATTAAAATCGGAATAGCTTCGCGACACAAATAGGCGGTATCGGGGGTGCCCACTCGTGCGAACTTATTATACAATCCACCCTACAACCAATATCTTGGCTTGAGAAGTATCGTTTGAGAAGACCAGCGCCTTAGCTGTGCTCCTGACACTGTTCATGTTTAGCAGAGATCAGGTGATCCGTATGTTCGTCTTCTTTCCAATGCAATTCATAACATCGATATATTGATTCCGTCAGAAAACTAAGGATGAATAATCCTTGTGCACCAAACCAACCAACTTTGGATTGATACTAAAATTGGATATTCAATATTTGGGACAAAAACATATTTGTATATCCATCCCCTAGTACTTAAGTTATCTCTTTGCAACAAATTCATCTCATATCGATGCTCTATTGCTGCGTGAATGATGGACAAAACAAAATATATAATACCCATAATATTAATGTTACTAAAATAACGTTTGCGGCTTGAGGAAATATAGCTTCAACACTGCAACTAATATCTAGGAATTGTTTCAGTGACTATAGGAGCAGCAATGTGGCGCAGAGTGACTCGGAACGCGATTGTCGGCCAGCGCCGGATTCAGAGAGCGGTGGTGAACATGATGCCCCTGGACCACGGGCAGCACGACGGAGACAGGTATACAATCCGTATTATACCAATGTGATAAATATCACGTAACCCGTTTATGAACACTGTAACTGTACTGAGACCTTACAACTTATATCTCAAGGTGGTTGGCGCATTTAATTTGTAGATGTGTATGGGCTCTAGTAACCACTTGGCTGTGAGCTCGTTCACCCATTTAAGCAAAAAAAAGCAATGGCAATGCCATAGACACAGCCAAGCGTCTGTTTCACTGACACTCTGACACTTTCTTCAAGCTTCATCTGAAGAGGAACATGTCATCTAGTTGAGGAATCACCGTTTAGCTCACTCCATATCTGGTCTAGGGACTAATAGCTGACTAGTATATCACTAGCTCTGAACTTGAATGCCGGTCATAGTTAGCGCCTTTGTTAAAGATTACAAACACTGTTCTTGTCTTTGTCCCTAATGTGTCCCCGGGACTATTAACACGCTAAACAATACTGATGAGGGACAGTTGAAAATATTAATTTTGAATGCACATAACGTTCAACAGCAGCTTGTTTTCTTCCACCTATAAATGCCAGATATGTGAAGTGACTTGTTAGAATAAGAAACGGAATGTGCTTTCTAATATTTAAAATGATTAAAAAGTGTGATGTGTTAATTGTCGTAAAGTTCGTTAATCAATTAGGACAATAATCGAATGAATCAAACTATTTTGTATCATTTGATATGAATATTAATTGTTTCAGCGCATCCGTAATCACTCCCTAACGTCTTTATGCCTTTTATCACATCATCCATTCTTTTCAACATTCCGAGAGTGCCTATTTATCCTAAAGAAATTAATTGATGCGTGCAACGAGTCTTCCAGTCCACGACGTGTTGGTGCGTCCAGGCAATTATTTAGGTGAGTATCTACATTAAAACTGAGTCATCTACATATTAGGCTATACCAAGTTCATCGAGCGTGTTAGCGAGCTCACGAGGCTCAGCCTGGCGAATTTGCTAACACTAACCCTCGCAAGGACAGCTGAATCTACAACTGAGAAGATCCGACGAGAAACTCAATGGGCTGTGTCTGTGTGTTAATTTTTAAGACGAACCCTTCATCGAATACAACATATTGCCAAATACGCTAGTGCTCTTAAAATCTTTTCATACTGAAGTTACGTGTGAATTTTCTGTCTGTTTCTTCATGACGTCACTCAGTCGAGAAATACCGTTTGTTTCGTTTAAAACAGGGACACGGTGTGGTCGGTGCTGACAGGCCAAGCCTACGATAACACGCCCACAATCGTACTTCACGACGTCAAAGAAATAGAAACATGGATTTTACGTTTGTTGTCGGCCCCCGTACCTGTGCCGGGGAAGACTCGACTTGAACTGGAAGTACTTTCGCCGACAGCTCATTCGCCGCTTCTGTTCGCTTTACCTGACCATACGCGTTTCACTTTAGTCGACTTCCCTCTCCATTTACCATTGGAACTTCTAGGTAAGTAGTACATTAGATTAATCTGTATTTAATCTGCTCTCGCCATCGGAGCAGAGTTCATTCATATTATCTGGAAGCACTGCGTTCATGGACAGCGTGTTTCCCAAGGTCTTTTCTGCCACGTACCACCCGAATTTGGAATTAACACCCCTTCACGGTGTTTCCCGAGCGCTATGACATGTCCTTCTTCAAACGAGGCTAGCGGAGAGTACTTAATGGTAAGCAGCGGCTTGGCTCTGCCCCTGGCATTGCTGACGTCCATGAGCGACGGTAACCATTCACCACCAGGTGAGCCGTGTGTCGTAAAAGACGATTAGTTGTCTTTTACGAAACGTACGGGAAAAGATGCTATTTTAAGGTTCCGTTGCAGACACCAAACCGTCAAAAAGTCTTGGTTTAAAAAAATGTTTTCATCGATATGTACTGGCAACACTAAAGGTATTCTTTTTATTTGGGTACTTTTATTATGCTTATTATTTTATTATAATCCAAGGGAAAGTTATTAAAGGAGGCACGATCCTGAGCATTGAGGATTATCGACACAAGGAGGGATTATGTTAGGCTAATAGTCTTTCATTTTACAATCTACAAATTTTGTCTAGGTGTGGACACGTGTCTGAAAGTCCTAACACTTATCATACTGGAGAACAAAATAGTGGTACAGTCTCGGGACTATAACGCGTTGTCGATGTCGGTGATGGCACTGGTCGCGATGCTGTACCCCCTTGAGTACATGTTCCCGGCCATTCCGCTGCTACCGAGCTGTATGAGCTGCGCTGAACAACTGCTTCTAGCACCTACACCATTCCTTATCGGGATACCGGCCACGTTTCTCACATATAAAAAACATTTTAAGTAAGTAAAGTCAATGTTTTCGTTATTTCCAGTTATTCTTGTCGTCTTGTCGTAGAATTATTTGATCAATAATTAATGAAAAATTAGAAGATTTATGTTTATTAATCCATTNCCGAGCTGTATGAGCTGCGCTGAACAACTGCTTCTAGCACCTACACCATTCCTTATCGGGATACCGGCCACGTTTCTCACATATAAAAAACATTTTAAGTAAGTAAAGTCAATGTTTTCGTTATTTCCAGTTATTCTTGTCGTCTTGTCGTAGAATTATTTGATCAATAATTAATGAAAAATTAGAAGATTTATGTTTATTAATCCATTTAAATCATCAGATTGCCAGATGATATCTGGTTGGTAGACCTGGACGCGACGAAGCTTATATCTCCTACTGGAAATGATCAGGACCTTCCACCACTTCCCGAACCAGAAGGATCCGTGCTGAAAAGTCATCTAAAACAGGTAAAATTAATGTAAATTTTTAAGAATGATAATATACGTGTCTGTATTCTTTCATCTATCACCACTTTATTTCTCTCAAAACTTGCACAGTTGAACGTATTCCTATCGATGTTGCTGAGCTATTGGAACAAGTAATTTGTCTTATATAAGTATCAAATATTACAGAAATGTACACAAAAAACATCTTATAAAAAAAAGGATATTGACGTAGACTTATAACGAATTATTTGAGATCTTGTTTTTTTACCGTACCTATTCGCTGGTAGTCTAAGGGGCAATTGTAGCTTTACGCAGACGAAAGATCTCAATCGTCTCTAAGAATTCGAATAAGTTTTCTCAAAGGACCTTTCTAATCTAATTTAGGGATTAGGAAAAATATTCCGTAAATATAGTGGTATATTTCTATTGAGAAAGCCAAGTGTTGAAGTTTATAGAAACGAAGGAGTATTGTGAAGCTATTTTTTTCTTCATAAAACACAGTTTCATCAAAGTAACTCCTACAATCGGTAAATTCTTCTAAAACTACTGTTGTGTACATTTCGGTAGAGTTCGGTAGAACAATTATGTTTTTTTGGCCACGATTTTAATTTTTTAAATTTGTCTACGTCAATATACTTTGTTATAATTTACTAACACAATACAAATTCACTAACGTACTCCATCACTTCTCGTTGCAAGGCTATGCATCTCATGGGCAGTGCCGGATCTGGTGTAAATATCTATTTCTTTGATATATCTTATTCATATATGCACACTTTGGATTTTCCTTTACACTAAACACGTGTATTATTAGATCTTCACCTATGCAGTTGCCGTTTAGTATACAGAAAGTTACAAGTCGTTTTTTTTTGTATATTTTTTAAATTTTTTTCAATAAAAATTATATCGTATGATGATATCGACCCATGATATTGTAGCATATCTGCTAGCGCAGTGGTAATTTTTCTATGTCCTTTTTGAAGAAGTCAGGTGTATAGAAACCAACAAACTCTCCAAAGGTATTTTTGTAGTGTCTCTCGGGTAATAATATTTTCCCCGTCAAGAAGTTTTCCAAACTTTAGAAAAAGTAGAAGTCTTTCGGCGTAAGGTCTCGCGAGTATGGTGGATTACGCAAAACTACCAACCCTAGCTTCTGCAGCTTAGAGACCGTACTGTGGTGCTGTATGTATGCGAGCCTTGTCGTGTAGGAGCAGCGGGTATAAGCAATTAACCAAGGCTGGCTGGAGATTTGCCAGTTTCTCCGTCATTATATCCAGTCCTTTACAGTACACATTCGCAGTGATGCTGGTGCCATTTGGTATGATGAATTATACGAACACTAAGCCACCAAATAGTGACAATTACTTTTTTAGGGGTAAGTTTTGTTTGGGGCCATGCCTAGGCGTTGAACCAGAGTCTAATCTACATGAAGACCGCTTACGATTATCGGTTCAAAATTCTTTCGTTTCTGTTTCTGTTAAGCAACGCAAAGCATATTATCTTAACAATAAACTTAATAAATAAACAAATGACTGAATTAGAAAATGCCATTCCATATTTTCTAAATAAAGTTCATTTGAATTTTGAATTTATTGCCAGCTATATACAAATTACGTTATATATAAATTACATTTAAAATTGTCAGTATTGTAAAACGGCGACTGCATAGGAGAAGACCTATTACGTTATAAGCGTATGAAATGTAGTTAGATAATATGGTTTGTATTCCCGCAACTTGACCAAACTGTTTCTGTACTTGTACAAAAAAAAAACATTTATACAGCCCAGAAAATATATTGCTACAATATATGACTTATTTTCTGAGCTTACGCTGGCGGACGAGAACGCTTTCGTTTCTAAAGCCTAAACAATAAGCACATTTTGCATTATCTGAGTAAATATGATTGTAAAAAAAAACAAATCATATTTATATCTCCCAAGCCATGCAACTATATGCAAAATATCGTCGACATACGTGCGAAGCCTTAGACATAACAAAAACGCAACGACAAATAGATTAAAATCACATTTATTTAAAATAAACGGAAAGTTCTCGTTGAGAAACAAACAATTAGTATGCAGAAAAACCTTCTACGCCCACAGCCATGAAAAGTTGATTCAGCTATTCAATTCAGCCTCTCCTAGAGAGCAGCAGAGTTCACAAATATTTTGGTTTTGTTGCATCGTCTACAACTTATCTCTGTCTACTTTATACGGCTTTTAATTTCTTGCCGTCATAATTTGGCCTAGTTGATAAGTTGATGACGTTACGAATATTAATACCTATGTAATTATTTTAATGCATACAATAAAATTTTTGTCAGCAGTAGTTTACTTTTTACCGTGAATTTAATTGGAATCCAAAGTTACGTTTTGGATAAATTTTAACAGTGAACTGATTTAAGTTTCAACTTTGTAATTTGTATATGAAGGAACCAGTTGTTTAAATCAATGCCAACCTTTGGAAACTGCTGTGACAAAACTTTATTTAATAAAAAATTAATGTGTGTCACTTGCAGCATGGTTTTTCTGTGGTTGTGGCTGAAAGTTTAATGCTTATTAACTCTAACAACAAGAGTAAACTTAACCATAAAATTTTGTGAGTGAACAAGATGTATTAAAATAATGCAGGTCACGTATACGTCACGATATTGTAATAATGAAGACGTTTTTTCCTCGTGCCTAAATCTAATTGAATAATTAATTATAAAATAATATGCTAGATATGAAAATATTCGTTCTAAAAGCATTATTTGCACAATGCTACACTGTAAGTTAGTAATATTGAAAAATCATCAGCTGTTGGTATTGCAATTTGACAGCTTTAATAAAAATCATTTATAATGTCTTAAATTTTCAGGCATTAAATAGTTTGACGAATACCACAGCTGAACAAGCCTCGGCTTTATTGATGCCGTCCAGAAGGGACAGCGTCGGGGGAGCTACACTCAAGTGAGTTAAAGTTAATGCAAGTAATCTGTGTGCTTAGTGCGAGTTTCTTAACGTTTTCGATAACGTAAAAGTTTTGACAATTTTGTATGCAATTAGAACAACGCCCCTAGTGGCAAACGTACGAAAGCGATCCCATTCCATACAAATATGAGCTAACTTTTACGCTATCGAGAACGTTAAAAAACTCGCACTAAGCCTAAGCACACTGAATGAAAGAAACCATCAAGAGTTGTTTTACTCGATTAAGGTTCTAAGGTTACAACGGCTGCCCCACCCTTCAAACCGAAACGCATTACTGCTTCACGGCAGAAATAGGCAGGGTGGTGGTACCAACCCGCGCGAATTCACAAGAGGTCCTACCAGCAGTAAGATTGGGACCGCCTGGGATTCGAACACCGGTGCATCGCTCAACACGAATGCACCGGACGTCTTATCCTTTAGGCCACGACGACTTCAAACTAGAGCGGTGGTAGCTACCCGTGCGGACTCGCAGGACGTCCTACCACGAGTCCTACCGTCTGTGTACGTTAAGTAAATCGTGTTTTGTAATAGAGTGCAGCCGACGTGGTACAAGGATGGTGCAGAGTCGGCACCGCACAGTGTCTACCACTAGCCTTACCGTCTGTCTACGTTAAGTAAATCGTGTTTTGTAATAGAGTGCAGCCGACGTGGTACAAGGGCGGTGCAGAGTCGGCACCGCACAGTGTCTACCACCAGTCTTACCGTCTGTCTACGTTAAATAAATCGTGTCTTGTAATAGAGTGCAGCCGACGTGGTACAAGGGCGGTGCAGAGTCGGCGCCGCACAGTGCGGCCGAGAGTCGTCGCGTGTCGGTGACGGGCACGGCAAGCGCCGGGCACACGCCGCAGCGACACTCGCTCGCATCACCGCACGGCGCCGCTCAGCCTTTCAATCCTCTCATATACGGGAACGATGTTGACTCGGTCGACGTAGCCACGCGGGTCGCTATGGTGAGACTATAACCACGAGTATTATCGTAGATAAGTTTTTGTTAAAAGGGGTGAACGACATTTTTGACGAGAATACAATTAAAGCTTTATTAAGCTAATTTAAGCTTTAGTAATTTACGGCAAAAATACTATCCTTCATGACTACTGGTTTTAACAAAATTGTACAGAAGGAGCACTATGATATGGTTTGTTGTTACGTAGGTAACGTTATGTAAGAAGAACAGAGGGAGATGGGCAGTCTATCCCTTTGTTACGATTCGTTTGAAAACTATTTTAATATTTCGTGATGTGCGCAAGTTTCTTTCCAAAAAAAATTTGATGATATCAAATAGCTCAAAATGCTTTAATTTGATATCATATCTTTTTTTATAATATCAAATACAGATAGAATAGATTTTCAAATACAAATAGTCATTTAATGGATGTAAAAAAAGCGTTTTGATATTTCCGCAGGTTCGTTTTTTTAACTCGCAAAATATACTGGCAAATTTTATGGAGCACACGCGCACTCTTCGGCTGTACCCCCGCCCCGTAGTCGCGTTCCAAATAAACAGCTTTTTACGATCGCGGCCGAAAACTACTCACTTTTTAAATAAATTCGCCAGGACCCAGGTATGACCTTTATTATTAATCACTTTCTACAGAGTGTATCGAGACCGTTACCGAAAGATAGATTAGGTTGATGTTTTCAAACATGAAAGCACGGAAAATAACGATAACATTTTACTTTCTAATGTAGATTTGGCTCNGTTCCAAATAAACAGCTTTTTACGATCGCGGCCGAAAACTACTCACTTTTTAAATAAATTCGCCAGGACCCAGGTATGACCTTTATTATTAATCACTTTCTACAGAGTGTATCGAGACCGTTACCGAAAGATAGATTAGGTTGATGTTTTCAAACATGAAAGCACGGAAAATAACGATAACATTTTACTTTCTAATGTAGATTTGGCTCATAATGAAAGACAAAGAACCAATGCGCGAAATCTATCGGTGGAAATGCGGAATCATATCTCACATCTCTTCATCTACCGATTTTCTTATTAGAATTCCTAATCTAAATGCATATTTTTCCGTTATTTTACGTACGTAGTAATGTATTCATTTCCTTATTGGAAACGGCCTTATTACACTCTGTACGATGTTGATAATAATCCTTGGGTTTTGAGTCTACATATTTCCTTTTGATCGATAGGCAGTGGAATTTCTCGCGGAGTGGTCCTTGACGCCCTGCAATGTTGCTTTCCTACGCGTACAGACTGGTGTGTTCGACCCTCGTCAGATCGGAGACAAACCAAAATGGTTTGCGGATCAACTCCAACCGATACGTTTTGCTGTGTGGGATGACGGTAGTTCGCTAAACGGAGCACTCAGGCAGCTGCAAAGACAAGACAACCAGCCCACTGGTATGTATTACGAAAAAATTTATGTTAATGTTGACACGGTTATAATTTGTCCGCTTATTATTTTCCTTAAGACAGCCTTTTTATTCGTGCCGGGTGCCGCACCGGTGATATCAGATACCGCTGGCGGCTACCATTTTTATCCAATGAAGTACGTACCCAACTTACGGATGTTCAAAAACAACTAGCACGACGATGAAATAATATTGTGTAATAAAAAACACGTGTCGTACTCGGAGACTGCCGCAGTAAAGCATTTTTTTATCAACTTAGGCAATTATAATTAGACAATAATAATTTAATATTAAAACAATAATAAAATAAGACCACGCTATATTTATAAACACAAAAGCAAAACATTGACTGTCCCCTTCACACTCATAAGCTAGACCGCGCGAGAGCGAGATGGGCAGACTTTTCATGATGCGCATGCAGTGTGACGTCACGCCGCGCGCCTATTCACAAGCACTACACAAGCGCAACGTGTTAAACGCGAGCTACATGGTAGGCGGAGTGGGCATGTTAGGTTTTATTTTCGTTACGGAATTTATTGATTCGGTCGCCGCGATCAAATCTCAAAAAAAAGCTATGCAATAGCTTAAACACCATTCGCAAAATTTATAAATCTGTAAAATGACTACTGCTTGGGCGTGTGCTCGGACACGGACCCAATATTATTGGAGCTTCAGGTTCGTCAGGTAGACTCATGTGCTCAGTATTTTTTTACCGGTCTCAATATCTCAGGGTAGTGTTGGTAGGGCGTTTGTGCTACCATTCTGTGGTTTCCTTCTGTTGTGATATTAATTTTTTTGTTGATGCAGAAATTATTGTTTTTTTTCTGTAGATGAAAGCGGATCGGATTCGGATGCCGCGGAAAGCACAAGTTCGTCGTATTCATCCCTCAGCGATTTCGTTTCAGAAATGGCCTCGTCTGACTTATCACCGGGTATGATGAATGTTAAGCTTTGATGTTAACTTTGAAACAATTTTCTGAGATTATATTACTTAAACCGTTTCTTTCTTTCTTTCCTTAAAAGGTGGTAACGCACACCAACATGTTATTGGTGAAACTTACAATGCTGTAGTACAAGTGCCAATGACGTTATCATCTTCGTTGGATCCTAAAACGGTTAGTAATTTCTAATGAGGAAGGACTTCTCTTGCTTCCATCATATTCTGAAAGCATTTGCACATGTATTTGTTTATTTTTCACTTCTTTTATTCAGATACAATCTGAGGAGGATCTTATTTAACAGTCAAGTTACCTAATTTTATTTGTGATTTATATTGAAATATTCTTAGTGAGATTATCAAAACAACAGGTATACAGTCCTCCATCGTCGCTTATATTCGGTGACGACGAACAAGGCGGTGGAGAAGAAAGCCGCGAATCGACCTCTCCCTCTCCATCTGGATCCAGCTCCGACCACAGCGACCTCTCTGACGACGACGCTCCTGCTAATGTCCAACGACCTGAAGTAGTCGATGCACATCCACAGCCTGTTAAGAAAAGCGTAAGTTATTAAATCTATTAGTAATAACTTATTCAGTGTAGAGGATGTCCTGATGACGATAATTATCGCAGCTTTGAGTCCACATGATATTAATAATCAGGAAGTAATTTATATAGTGTTTGCTATAATTTCGATGCGGTGGTAGATTCTGCGAAGCACGGCTCTTGCTAGGGTTCGTGTTAGCAACGTCGTCAGGTTTGAGCCCCGTGAGCTCACCTACTAGTTAAGGTTCCGCTAATATAGCCCCTCAAGGCTGTCAGCTTAGGTAGAAAAAAAAAAAAAAAACGATTCATTAAATTGGCACGTTGAAATGCGTCCCGCGCACGTACACGCTCGAGTCGGCGCAGGACACGGACAGCGGCAGTTTCGGTCGCGAGTCGGACTCTAATTCGACGACGACCCCGAGGACGGTGGTGAGCCGCCGCCGCGGGGACAGCGCCAGCACCAGCGACTCCGAGCCCGCACGAGCGCTCACACCCGCCGCCGTCACCGCTCGCTCTCTGCCGTCACACTCTCCCCACTCTCCCCACTCCGCACACCTCAAGGTACGCACCTCGCACTGCCGCACTACTCCCCACTAGCTTGACTGTGTGACGTATTTTCAAAGGAAGGTCGAAAAACCTTGTAGTAACAGTACTATCATGTAGACAAAGGCGTGGTTGTGACCATGGTCCTAAGGGATGAACCACTTTTACCAAGATTGCCGTAGGTGCATACTGAGTAATTTTAAAACGCTCCTTATATTACTTCGAATTGAGTTAAATACGTACCTAATTATTAGTCTAAGAAACGTCACAGATGCCACACCGCTACCTTAGCGCTCTCCTTGAGATACGAAATCGAAGTACCGTCAGCAAAACTGTTCTATTGTTCAAAACGATACTATAATAGAATACTGAAATATATAAGTAGGACGTATTTTGAGTCCACACGGATATTCACAGCCATCCTGCTTGTTTCTGCACCAAAGCAGTAGTACATTCTGCTTCAAAGGATGGGACAGCCGATATTCTATAAGATGGGACTTAGATCTCAGTCTTGTTAGCTATGTAACACCAGGTAGGCCGTGAGTTCGTTCATACAATATATGTACATACAATACCGAGAGTCAGTCAGAGCCGATACAATCGTACGTACATTTCGACATAATTGTTTGACACTTGATTCATTGATTAATTGTGAAAATTTGTTGCAGAGTAATACTAGTGGAGTATCACGGCAGGCGTCTCAAACATCCCTACTGGAACAATTCGCTGCCCAAGCTAAAGAATTGGTACGTGAAACCACTCGACAAAGCAGCCAAGAGGGATTGCTAGCGCAAATGGATAAGGTGAATTAAATTAATAATAACTATTGCGGTTTATATTAAAAACTTTTGTTTGCCTGTGAAACAATAAATTTTAATTTGTTATTGCGTGTTCTTAATATAAAACGAAGAAAGGAAAAGTGACTGAGGGAGAAGAAAAGAACATTTTTGCGCCTTTCGGACAGGTATACCTATGCACAGAGCCAACACTTAGCAAACACCATTGAATACAATAGAATTGCGATATGCAAAATTAATTAATCTTGTTCTAGTGAGAGATATAAGTAAAATGAATAAAAACAATTCTAATCTGAATTATAATACTGCAAAAAAGAACACTAAAACATTAGTCACAGTTCCACATAAGCTTAGAATTTCGAGCACTTCCAAACCGCATTTGATTATAGTTTTAAGCTCTATATTGTGCTAATTCACACATGTGTAATATATACCAAAATTTAACATTCGAAATTGTAACATATTTTAATAGCTTAACACTAGCTAACACACACCTATAGCTAATCATGCTTCTCGTAAAAACACACACAATATGCTATTTTTGTCCAGATGTGGGGTGATTTTTGTACTTTCGTGGGTTTGATGTTATGTTAATCGACAAATCAGTCGATTGCTTATTGTGTTGTTTATTTTGTATTTGCGTATCATGACTTGATTTTAAATAACGCTCATAATTTTGGTAACATATCACGTTTTAGTTGACGCTCCAAGCTAAGAAGGCTGCTGAGGAAGCTTCAAAAAGCGTCCAAGAAGCTTCCAAGAGTGCGCTGGAGGCAAGCAAAACAGCAACAGCCGTTAGTAAAAATACTTTGGAAGACTTAACTTACGTCGGCAAATCGACCTTTGGTGATTTTACAAAAAGCGCCAAAGAGGTCGTCGCAAAGAAAGGGTTGCTTATCAAGGTGAGTCCGAAACAGACTTACTACTGTTTACTACCCAGATTAGTATACTTGAAACTTGAAGAGGATTGACAAGAAACTACACTTGAAGAATCTCAGTAGTTCCTGGTGACTTTTTGTATTCCAATAATAGATTTAACATTTGGAACATAGGCCTCGGTGGTATAGCATAAGCCATACCTAGGTCATAAGACAATAAATTAATACAAAGCGAAAGAAATATGCATGAAGCACTAATAGAACCCTCAACGATAATTACTGGTGGTAGGACCTCTTGTGAGTTCGCACGGGTAGGTACCACCGCCCTGCCTATTTCTGCCGTGAAGCAGTAATGCGTTTCAGTTTGAAGGGTGGGGCAGCCGTTGTAACTATACTTGAGACCTTAGAACTTTTATATCAAGGTGATTGGCGCATTTACGTTGTAGATGTCCATGGGTTCCAGTAACCACTTAACACCAGGTGGGCTGTGAGCTCGTCCACCCATCTAAGCAATAAAAAAAACCCGTTCGTTTCTTGTTGCGTTGGTCCTTCATTGGTGTCGAAGAACTCAACTATCCACTATGTGATATCGTCTCCATTTAATAAACAATGACTTAGTATTATATTAGCAACTGAGGCAACGGTAGCAACTAAGAGGGTTAATTGGAAACAAATGATTAGTAGTAGATGGTTGACTTTGTAAACGTACAAAATTTTGTGAACTTTTAAATTAAAGCCTTAAGGGTGAGGTAAGGGAGCATTTTTCGCGCTAATGCGTTCAAATAGGGGCTTAACAGCTTTAGAGGGGTAAGTGTAAGCTAATAATTGATATAATTTTATCATCACAGGGCGACAGTCAGGAATCACCTAACAACGGCGCTCGTCGCGATTCGACTGCTTTACAAACGACCAATTTGCTAACTGCGACTCACAGAGACTTCTTCTCAAACATCAGCTCCGATCTTAACGGCTTAGCCGCTTCCACCTCGAGCATGTTTAGTGACTTCTTCGGTAGTAAAGGTGAGATTCATAAAACTTGTTTCGTATTGCTGGATACGCAGGCTAACTAACTAGACTAGACTAGACTAACTAACAGGTAGTAGTTACCGTCTTTATTGGACATTAACAATGTTAGGTGCACAGCCAAGCCTTTGCATACCTTTTTTTTCATTAATAAGAAATAATGATATTAATTCGTTAAGTTGCTAACTCATAACCAGTGGTCGGAGTAGGTAGATTGATTTTGTATACTTGTATCAAGATATTATAATATGGAAATACCATTTTATACATAATGATTATTTTTTTAAATTGAAAAAATATATTTTTAAGCCTGATCGGATACAATTTCTATATTTATGAGATAAATTAACAAAAAGCCCTGTATAAGTTTTGTCTCATACTGACAAGCGTCATTTCTTATTCAACAGAAAGGGACAAAATACGGTGTAACTATTCCAAGGTGTTTTTGTATAAAATAAAATACTGATTTTTTCACCATTAGCTAGCACTGGTAGCGTAGATTAATATTATTAATAAGTTTTTCACCTTAAACACAAATTCATGCTAATTTCTAAATTCCGGAACAAATATCACAATAAATATTAAGTTCCTGTATTTTGGAGGCATATCCATATTATCCTCTACATTTGACGTCTACGACCTTAAATCAATCTACCTACTCTCCGGCCTCTACTCATAGCCTATGAAATTATTCACGTCTAGTGTGGAACTAAGATTTAAAAAAAATCTGTCATTGTCCTTCCAGGAAAACAAGCGAAACCAACGGAGGGTTCGTACGGAGGGTCCACGGCGACTTTCGGTCCGTTCTCGCAGGGCGGGCGCGGCCTTGTGCAGCGCTCGCCGCTCATACGTCACGCGCCGCCCTCTGCACCACCCGCACCCACGCTCGCACGCCACACGCCCAATACCGAGAACCAAGCCTTCCTTAATGATGTGAGATATACTGACTAATTAAGGTCTAGACGCCACGTCACCGCAAGGGCAGTGGACGACTTTACATGAAGAGCATGCTAGATACGGGCCCCTTGTGGAAATCTACGAGGAAAACCTATGATCAGCAGTGGGCGTTAAAAGACTAATGCAATAAAATAACAATTTAATCAATGAAAATACGTAACACTTGCCGCTCTGCAATTAAACGTCTAGAGACAAAAAATAATCTTGATATTTTCCGGTAGAATATTCTAATTTACATACTGGCAACATCGAACTTTGTAGGGTCATATTTATTCTTCCTTAAAATGTTACGAAATTATTGCATGTCGGTACCATCTCAGTAAGAATAGATGTAGAGTAAAATATTCCAGACTTACGTAATATCAAAACAGTAAAACGAGGCAGCTAATATTAAACTGAAATAATGCTCACGTCAGTTTCGATATCGACCGATAATCGCCTTGTCGATCTAGTTGATAAGATGATTTTATAATTATACTTTGTTCTTGCCTATGTATAATCCTATGTATAAATCCAGTAAGAAAATCTTACCATTGCACTCGAAATGTTTAAATGTCTCTAAAGCACACCCCAAAGCTATAATTATATGATTGATTTTGGACTTTATACAGATGTCGTTTTCAGCTTATACAACACGTGCTGGAAGGCGAAGGCGTAGGTTGGTTGAAATTAAATCGACTAAAGAAGCTAATGGAAGATGAATCATACAGAAACATGGTGCTCAGCAAACTGAACAGAAACTTCAACAGAAAATCTACGCCTTGTGATAAAGTCGATGATGTGGTGAGCAATCACTTTTTTGTACCTTAAAATTTTTTTTAATGAATATTTTGTTTATGAGTTTTACAGTCATATAAACAGTTACAATTTTTAGTTTTTAACGGTGACGTGGAATGATTGCATGTGAATAAATAATATCAATTTGATAAGTGCGAGAAATTACCGTCGCCATATCCTACTAAGCCTATATGACTTAATTAATCTTTCCTATGAAGGACTGTTCTCTCACATTATTATAGGATATTATATTAAACGTCCCTATCAGTTGTAAAAAATAAGGTATTTTTACTAATATAAAAAAATTTATAACAGTTCATTAGCAAGCCCGTGTGGAAAGGGATGTTGAAAGTTCTTCAAGCCGTCGTTCACGGTCTGGAGTACACGTATTCTAACTTTGGCCTCGGCGGCATGGCGTCCGTGTTCCAACTGGCTGAGATGGCGCACACGCACTACTGGAGCCGCGAGCTGGCGGGGCTCGAGCACGGCGGAATGGCCGGCTCCGCGCTCTCCGAACATTACCCGCGACACGATCTTGACACTCCTTCCTCGCAACCTTCTTCCAGAAAGAGCTCGCAGACAGGTAATCCTCGGGATATTCGAAAACACTACTTGGGCGAAATTGTGAAATTGGACAAATCAAATCAAATAAAAAAAAATTGTTCAACATAAATGAAAGTACATATATACTTGTTGAACGTCAAAAAGAACTACCGCCTATTCACAAAAACTAGCCTCCGTCCTGAGAAGAACTGGCAAGAAACTCAGCGGGCATGTCTTTTTTTTATCATTAGTTTTTTTTTTTGTATTTTTTTTTTAAATATTCATTTTTACATTGAGTATTACATTGACAACTTAGATTGGCAACACAGCTAAAATTGGGGAACTTATAATTTAACGCCTTTTTGGATGTCGTACGAGTCTGGGCCACAATTATACATTTCACACTGTGGGCCGAGAAATCATAAGATTACCACACCTAGTGTTCGCCCTGTGGTCTAAATTCTATTTTAATCTCGGATTTTAATTCATTTTACATACTACAGTTTTCGTAGGTATTAGGGTTACCTAAATTGTGTTCCTGTAAATCTGAGGGAAAATGTTTGGAAAGTTTATTGAAAATATGTATATTCGTTCAAGAAGAAAAATCGTTTTGTCACTGCCTATTTTGATATCTTTAATCAATATTATAACATATTATGCCTTAGAAATTGCAGAAACTTTTTCGCTTGAAAAAATATATGTAAATCAGTGTTGTAGCAGTATTGTTAATAAAGGTGTCGGTATTTGGATCGTATCGATCGTATCCTTTACCACCACCTGTACTACATTATATCCATTTTATTATGTCTATAATACCGTTTTGTTGTACAGAGGTTCCTGTTGTGAACTATCCAGAAGTAGACTCATCAGAGGCGCAAAGCACCACAGAAATGTTCAAAGATATGTTGAATCAAAAACGAAATCTACTTTTCAGTAAACTCACTTCATTCGATTCTGATGTAAGTTTATTAATCGTTTGCCAATTAAATCATACTATTAATGTTGTAGGATCGTGCATGGTGATGGCCTAATATATATATTAAATGTGTAATTAAATATCACTGTCAGTATAAGTACAAGTATACCTAACTATATAATGTATAAATGAATTCTTCTTGAGCATGATAACGCAGTGATTGATTATTTAAAGTGTGTTTTAAGGCTATGTACCTCTCAAATTGTAGAATTGTTGTCGTGTTACTCGTAACTCAGTATTATCTTATTGGTCTGCTTATTCAAAACCTTATCAAAAAAGACTAAACTAAATTTGTGTTATTACTTGTGGAATTAAAAGTCAAAAATCTACGCACACGAATGAAGCCATTGCCCAGTTGATGTTGTCAATTGTTTTTATTTACTTATTAGTACACTAAGAAGTTTCAGCATGTTGGGTCGTGTAACTTATTGATACGTAACATAAGCTATTAAAATATTGATAATTTACGATTAGTATTTACTATAAATTTTCATAGCATCACAGTTAACACAATATAGTTAAGAAGCAAAAAAAATAATGCAAAACTTAACTTTTACTTTAGAGGCTTATTTAAATTATTCATTGTTTTGAAATCGGGTAAACTGTACAATGATTGGCGCTCTAACGCAATAGTATATATATCATTATATCATAACAACATTACTTACATCATAAGCTGATTTTTCTCGTCTCCTTTATCCGGCCTGTTTCATCGTAATGAGAAATGATCTACTCTAGTTGATGGTTGATTAATGCTTTGTTTATTGAAAGCAAAACCTATGGACGTGTAAACAAATGAAAGCCACGTGTTAAAGTAGGTAATTCTTTAAATCGGTTACGAAAATTCTGAGATGTTAGCGTTCAAAGTTATTCGACGAGTTTTTCTGCGTCTATTCTCACAGACCGAGTGGAGAATTTGTATGGGGCAATGGAAAATTGACTTCATTATTAATTAAAAGGTGGTCTTTGCTTAACAGGAAATTAAAACGCTTTGTAGCCAGATTTTAAATATTTTGTCGTTGATAAGCTGTTTTTTAGTTAGCTTCTTGAGGAGGCAATAAAAATAATTATACGGATTGACCCTTTCGTTTTCATATAATTTGATACTTATCATCAACACCATTTCACCCAAAGAAATTCGGAATGAATTGTGTTTTTAAGCATGAGAACGAATTAACGAATTTTTATTAAAAGCTTGATGTCGTCTATTTTAATATAATATATTATGTTAATATATTTTACCACCCACAATATAATTAAATTCTTCAATCTTAGAATCGTAAGAGTGCCAATTATAGTATTCTTTACCCTACTTTAAATAAATATGACCGAAGATAATGTAGTTAAAGTGATGATTACGAGGGGTATAGGCGGTTGTTTGTGTGCGTGGCAGGCGGCGCCTTCCTCGGAGTGCTCCGCCGATGAGAGTGGCTCGATCACAACCAACCGAGCCAATCTCTTCGATCATCGCGCCTCCTTTAAGTCCAACCTATCTGACACTGACGTCATGCTCCTCGATGTAAGTCCTCGTGCCTGTAGCTGGCTTGCGTAGCTTGCTGTGCGCTTGATCTGCTTTATTAACTTAACCCACATCGTGGCTTGATTATTCACTATGAATATTATATTTGTTCTGGTCTCGTACAATACGTGTGTGCGTTTGTTTTCCTTACGTATTCGCTGGTAGCCTAAGGGCCTATCCCAGCTTCTCGCGTAGGTGAGCTCTTTATTTTTTTTTATTGTATAGATGGGTGGACGAGCTCACAGCCCACCTGGTGTTAAGTGGTTACTGGAGCCCATTACGAAGTAAGAGTATCAGTTCTAAGGTCTCAGTATAGTTACAACGGCTGCACCGCCCTTCAAACCGAAACGCATTGCTGCTCGGGCTCAACCTGAGAGAATTTGCTAACACTAGCTCTAGCAAGAGCAGTGCTTCACAGAATCTACCACCGGATCGGAATCGCGACCCGCTGAGGACATCCGGCCCAAAACTTAGTGGGTTACAATATTATAATTAGCGAACACCATCCATAGTTTATGAGACTCCAATAATATAACATAATTAGGTTTTACAATTGGAAGAATGTTCTTGTTAGCTTCTTGAATAAATTTTGCTAATAACAATAATAACAATCTTTGCTTTAACGAATATACCTAATTTGATGTCAACTTTATTTTGACAGACTAATAGGATACGAGTATAGATTTGTTGTAATCTAAACAATATTTTTTTACCACTGAAGTATGAAACCTAGGTTTATGTTTTTTACTTGAAATTTTCAAGCTACGATGTTTGTCACCTTTCATAGCATGTTAAGCTTTACATGTCAATTTTTAATTAGATTTAAAAACACCAAATCGAAACGGACCAGCACATTTCAGTAGTATAACCTTAATTCAAATATGTTCAAGTTTAAATATTTATAGCTATTATAGTAACATCTTTGAAATTCTTTATTACTATCATCTCTTAGTGGCGTATCAAGGAAATGCCCATATCATATTAGTAATCCAATAGAAATTAGAAAAACTAAAATATTACATGCTGTCTTTGTTAAGAACGTGCGGAAAGATAAGCCAAATAATAAATAGCATTGAAAGTGAAATGAATCTCGTGAACAGGCCGGGCGTGGGGCTGCTGCTAATAGCAAGCCTCGTGCTGCAAGTGTCTTTTCATCGAAGTCTTCACTGAGCGGGTATCGACCTCCCGTAGGCGTCCCCGTAACTTCACCGCTCACTTCGCCTGACACAGCCCGGACATATCTTTACCAAGGATTAATTGGTATAGTTATCGTTCATCTTTATTTTACAAATCGCGAAGATTCAAAGTACAATTGATGCATTGTTGGTTTTTTTTTAAGGTAAAGAGAGATCTAATCTCTGGGATCAAATGCAATTCTGGGAAGACGCTTTCTTAGATGCCGTAAGCCAAGAACGCGACATGATCGGAATGGATCAAGGTGCAAATGAAATGATGGAGCGATATAAGTGCTTAAGCGAAACGGAACGAAAACGCCTCGAACACGAAGAGGACCGGTTATTGTCGACGGCGCTTTATAATTTGACCGCTGCAATGGTTTTGTTCGGCGTCGAACCTGATACGATCCGTAATAAAGTTCGACGTTTGCTTGCCAAAAGCCACATCGGGCTCATTTACAGCCAAGAAGTAAATCATCTGCTCGACGTGGTCCACACTTTGGTACGCTATTCAATCGTGTCACTTTTGTTTTTATTTTTTTATTAGCTTAAATAGAGGACGTGTTAACTACTACTCACTTGGACTACTGTAACTACACCGTCAATAGTCGTCACAACATGAATTCAACTGCCAACTGCCAAAGCATTAGGTCAAAAAGGATAGAGAGTCCTCAGCACCACTCATCATCAGATGGTCCATATGAACGTCTGCCTAAAGAACAATATATATATCGTAAAAATATGACTTTAATGTTGTGAAAGGATAGATATAAGAAAATAAAAAAAGCAAGATGGCGAAGACGATTGAGTGAGCGATGTGTAATAAAGCTGACAATTAATATTTAATTATAATAATAGGGAATATTTGGTTTGAGAACAATAAAATTACAATTTAGTGCAGGGGCTCTCAAACTTGTTTTGTCTACTGCCCACTTTGAGAAAAAATTATTTTTCATCGCCTCCGTTTTTTCACCTACTTAAAAACCACTATAGCAAGAGCTCAGACAGTGTCTAAGAGTCATCCTAGATGTTATTACAAATCGCCTCCCAAGCCTCTACACAACGCCCCCATTTTTTTTCTGGGTCTCTTACCGCCCCGCTTTAGGCCTACAGCGCTCACAAGGGGCCGTTATCGCCCACTTTAGGAAAGGCTGATCTAGTAGATCTGTTTTATTTTATTCGCCACGATCCCAATCATGTGAGATTCGATGCCCAGGATTAGTGTTTTGCTACTTGCATATTAACTTGCGTAATCCATGATATCGTAGTACGTTGTATATTAGTGTTGTGCGTATATCCACATACAGCACGGCAACGAGATTTCGCTGAAGCCGTTGGGGTCGCGGCTGGCTAGGCGGGCTACGTTCACAGTACACGAGGCCGACGCGGCCGGCGACCTGCGCTTCATGGAGGTGCGCGACGACGGACTGGTGCTGCGCTCCACACAAGGTCACTGCCCTGGACCACTCTATCTAATTGAATATGCAATTTCGAAAAGGGCACATCTCTGAAAATGTAAAATGTTCAGGAAATGAAAAAAAACTGATTATTTTCTAAAGCAGTGTAAAATTTAAAATATTAGCTTTTGAGATACATTTTAGTGTTAATTAGCAATTGAAAATTACTGGAATTATTACAAAATGGGTGTAGGTAAGCCTCAAAACTACATGTATATGAAAAAACGTCTTTGACAAAATATGCGACATGTGCCCTTTTCGAAATTGCATATTCATTTGGTTACTGGAGGTCGACATTACAAACTGAATGCTGTCGCTTCATTGTTGAACTGAATTAAACAAAAAAATAGTCAATAAGCTTTGTAAATTTGCACAAAAATTCATAATATTAGTACCTTTACCCTAAATAGGTACTTCTTCTGAGTCGGTCCCTTTGTTGCTGAAGGTCATATCTAATTTGAACTGTTGACCACTCGATGCACAATGCTTCCCCACGTCTTCCTGTCCTCGGTGGTCTTTATAGCCTCGGTTATTGGCAGGCCGGTGAGGGTCTTTACTAAATCAGACCAGCGGGTAAGTGAGCGTCCGCGTGATCTTCTCCCGTCAACTTGACCAACTACCATCAGCTTCTCTAAGTTATCGGGGTCTCTACGAGTGATGTAACCGAAATAAGTACATATCTAGTAACGTACTGAGAAACGTTACAATGGTTAATGGAAGGCTACGAAAAAGTTAGTTTTTTAAATTGCGACACCTTAATGCTTTTCCACCATTAAGGCAAGACGAGCAGGTGCGTATCATATACGTACACACCGTTCAACGGTTCTGCATTTACTAACAACGATAATATTAAAGCATATAAGATTGTCAAATTATGACATATCCAATGGATAACTCGAGGGACCTTTGTTTACTTTTAAATTTACTTACAGGAACCATAGTGGAACGTTGGTGGTACGAGCGACTAGTCAACATGACTTACAGCCCGAAAATCCGAGTTCTGTGCCTTTGGAGGAAAAACGGGGGCCAAACTCAACTCCACAAATACTACACTAAAAAGGTAAAAGATACCGCCATAGATGCAATTTGTCGACTAATAGATAATAATAGTACATTACATTTACGCACATGTGCACATGTGAGCATAGTGTAGCACAGAAGTGATTAGCATACCCAATTGTTAGCACGTACGTAAATACTGAGTAATTCTTATTAGAGATTAATTTATCATATGTTTTAAATTTTGGCGTTTAAAATTAAGTTTGCTCCATTCGTCTTCAAATTCTTTAAAACCATCTTGTCGATGAGTCATCCCCATTAGTTTTGAGACAATGAAAATCTGATGAAATTGGATTCTTGTAATTGCTTTTGGAAATATTCAAATTCATCTTGGTTTGGCATCACTGAATTGGTAAAGTAAACAATAAGTGGTGGCTAATCTATACTAATGTTATAAAGCTGAAGAGTTTGTTTGTTTGAACGCGCTAATCTCAGGAACTACTTTTTCGATTTGAAAAATTCTTTCAGTGTTAGATAGCCCATTTATTGAGGAAGGCTTATAGGCTATATAACATCACGCTAAGATAAGAGCACCAATGAATGTTTCAAAATCGATGTTTAAACAGCTCCTCAGCATTCTATAATTCAAAAATATTTTCTTTCTACGTAAATGAAGTGGGGGTAAAATTTAGGGTTATACCAAAGTAACTATTCCACGCGAACGGGGTCGCGGGCAAAAGTTAGTCTCGGATATTGAATCAGTTAATTCAGTGAAGTTTAATTCGATATACACGTATTACGACAGTGCAAGGCATTGTACTACTGCATCAAAGAGGCGATGGAGCGTAGCGGCCGGCGTCAGGATGCAGCTGAGCTCGGCGGGGAGTTCCCCGTGCAGGACTGTGCTACCGGCGAGGGCGGGCTCATACAGGTGCTCTGCCTTCATATTTGTACACAGACTGTAAAGTGTGCCGCAATGTAAAGCGTACAAATAATTTATCAGTACAATAATTTATTTTATTTGTTATGTATTTGTTATCTACGTATTTTGTATGTATTTGTATTTATGTATCTATGTATTTGTTTTGGCAATGTAATTAAAATCTACTGTTCATTTTACTCATGTCTACTGTAATTCTTTAAATTATCGCCATGTATTAACTTCATCACAGCTACGCACTTTTAAATCTTTCACTTCATCAACGAGAGTTAGCTGGAAGAGAATGCTTGCTTGGCGTTAAGTTCACCTTTGTACGAAATTTTTGTGTAATAAAGAATTTTCATTCATTCATTCATACAAAGTTCAGCTGGCAGAAACATACTGAAATACCATCACACTTCAACTATCACTACATAATATTAAATGGTACCTTAATTTTGATTAGGCATATTTATAAGGACTTTTTGCTATAACTAATTTTGTTTTTGTTTTATAACGCAGAATAACATAATCTTTTCGGATTCCGGAGAGACTACTTTTCCCTGTACATATGAAATTAGTGAAAATTGCAAAATCTTGAATATCTCTCGTGTACTGATGGAAAAAAAACAGCGATAAAATGATTTTCTGCCGCTTAAATAAGACTTAATTAATAACGTTGATAGAGTTAACGATTCACTAACACTTGTTTGGACAGGGAGTGATGTCGAGTTTAATACACAGAAATCACAAAAAATCTCACAGCTCATCTGATGTTACCAAAGACATAAAACGTTCACGTAAATTATATAATAACTTTGTTTTGAGATCTTTAAGAAATCATATAAATATCTAGTAGGTACATTCCTGAAGCAGTTGCCCTTGAGCTATTAGGTCTCCTTCAGAGGCGCTCAGGCAGCTGTTAGCAAATCCTACCCCTCCTGGCTGAACGCGTGCTCGCCCACGTGTCCTGGTGAAACTGGGAAGGCCTTAAGTCCACCAGTAATCCTTCCTAAATAATTAATACCTTCTTATTCAGAACTTTGCCTGATATTTCAATAAACGAATAATAGTTATACAAATAAAAAAAAAACATTTTATTATTGTTGTTTTCAAGGTGTGCATGGAAGGTGTCGGACTCCTCTTCCATCATAGCAAGGTATGTAGCTTGGGCTTATTCGTGTTCGTAACTTTTTTGTCAGCTTCTTTTCTCGTAAAATTAACTTATTAATAACTATAGTGTATGTACCAAATGTACCAAAACGGAGATAAATTCATAATAAAGAGGGTAGCGAGCTTCAATGAATACTTTTGGTATGTTCATTAGAATATGGCGTCAGGTAAGTTGTTTCAGTGTATACGCTTAATTTGGGAAAATTCGATTCGTCTGAGTGAAATATTCGTAGAAGGTCGTACAAGCAGTTGTATGACAATCTATTTACAACAGCGTCTGCGTTGTGCAGTGCTTCTTTGTCTCATTGTCAGTATTGTATCAGTGCCGTTAGCGCATTGTTATTATTCTAAAATTTACTTGAAGATTCAAATAGACCAGTATTAAAAAACAGCATTACATAGGTTTAGGTCTTCTCTTAATAGTGCTATTTAAAGAATAGTTAAGAAGTATTTATTAGTGTTCTAGTTCCCAAATGTTTTAATCGACGTATTCTATTCAGATAAAAGTATATCTACCGGACGCAAGGACCTCTCAAAGTTTCCTATTTTTATTTATATATTTTATATCACATTTGATTCTAATGTATCAATAATTTTGATATTGTTATATCTTATATTCATGGTAATCCGGTAATTTTTCATCTAATTACATCTATTATAATATTATGAATGATGGCTTATTACCGCAGATGATGACCCAGTATATTTTGCCGTTGATTAATTAATTACCTTTCTCTATTAATGATTCGATGTAATAGTTTAGTTTTTTTTTACATTTTAAGATTAACTGTTGCCCATCTGATTTACGTATACTGGATACAATTTGTGCATGTGCTATTTGTCTGCAATCCCTCGTATCCGCTGAGTGCGTGGGCGCCAGAGCCGCAGCGTTCGCTCCGTAGGAACTTTTGAGATGGTCCTTGACACGCGCTCGGCNACCTTTCTCTATTAATGATTCGATGTAATAGTTTAGTTTTTTTTTACATTTTAAGATTAACTGTTGCCCATCTGATTTACGTATACTGGATACAATTTGTGCATGTGCTATTTGTCTGCAATCCCTCGTATCCGCTGAGTGCGTGGGCGCCAGAGCCGCAGCGTTCGCTCCGTAGGAACTTTTGAGATGGTCCTTGACACGCGCTCGGCCGCCCTCAACTAACTCTTATTTTTGTCTGTTTTACTCTCTCTGGACCGCCGACCCGCGCCGCTGCGCTGCAGGATTTCGAGGTACTCAGTGGTTCATTCACTAGTAATGGCTGGCTCTTACGATGATCGACCTTTTCGACCTTTATTGACCGAGCCACGTTAATCGTGCTCCGCCATTTTAGCGATGATCGTTCGAGGTCGTAGGGCTTTACTTGTAGTTTTGAGGCTTTCAGATTGTTTTTAGCCGTTGTTAGCGTTGTATTAGTTTTCCCGAGTGCGGCGAGCGCCAAAGCGCGCGGTCGTGCATGCACATAGATGCCCTTTGTTTATTATCTGTTTACGTCACCGCACCCGACAGCTTGCATTCTTTACGTGGATCGTCCGGCGAACGATCTTGTTATATTGTTGAGGCACGTATTGCCGATGTTCAATCGGTTCGTCCCCCGCGACCCGGAACCCGAACGGCGCGGCGTCACGTTAACGCAGTAGCGTAGCGGACGTAGCGCGTCACGAGGTCAGTCGTAGAGCATCGCCATCTCACAAGTTCTGGTGCGGCCGGCTGCCGCGTCCCGCCCCGCACGCCTGACCTCGCTAGCAGCACCCCCGTCCCCGCTTCACTATCCCAACACTATACGCTGCTACCATAGATTATACACTTAAGCTGCTACTGTTGCTCCGCAAACGCGCGTGGACGTTTCTGGTTCATTATACAGGTAATTTCATTAAAAGGAATTACTAAAATTTTATATTTCACATAAAGTAGATTCTAATTAATTTTACATAGGTACTAATAAAATAACTAGTGCGCCAGAAAGTCCACGATCGGATAGCATGATTTTAAAGCATTGAATGTTTAAATATAGTTTTTAATTACATAATAATAATATGTAATTAACGATATATTAGGCATTAGATGTGAAAAATTGCATCCGAATTCACTTTTTTTTTATATCGCGTGCATGTGTTGCTATTTGCATCTATGAAACGTTAACCTAAATTATGTGTAAATGAGTTTATAGTGTAATAAAAACAACGAGCTGCTAGTTAGCTTTTTTTAGTAAGGATAATTGACTAAAAATGTTTGGTTAAAACTGCAATTTTATTATCCTAGTAGCAATAAAATTAACAATACAAGTAAGTTAACACTAGTCAATTGCCCTTAAATAATCAAAGAACAGTATACATGTTATTAGTAGATATCTTGTTTAGATTTATAAAGTGTACTACTCCGTCCGTCGTCCGTGACGACGAAAACTATAAAGTATTCGAAACGTTGAAAATAATTACAATAATATACGCAATATTAAACCGTAAATGTAGGTCTCGTTATGACTATGACTCGCACAAACTCAAGAAAATACTATGAGTGTTAATTATTATTATTATTTTTTTTCTTTTTCTTTTTGGACCCAACCCCAAGTGTTATTTGCCACTTTCAAAATAAAGGTTAGGAAGCAAAAGCAAATCAGAAAATATAAGTATGTTAATTATTATCAAACGTCAATTCATCGTAAAGTATTGCCAACTTTACAAATATTGTCCTTATATTTTTTTTTAAATAAAACTTTATTTTGCTTAAAAATTTAAAATACAAATATTTCCATGCTTAGAATTTTAACAGTGATTGTAGAACAATCCATATCTAAGGTATATAGAGTGTAAGCTTATAAGTTAATCGATACCGAAAAGAGAATAACGTACCTACTACTATAATATAAACGATAGGGAGTATGCGTTTGTTAAGCTTTGTAGCATATATGTATATATTTGTAGTTTTAGTCTAGTCTAAGTTTAGTACAAGTTCACATTTTATAAACCCGCAAACTAAATCGAAATCAATTTGCGGAAGCTCTCCCCCGCACCAAACGGTTGACCCCGTACTTTAGCTAGTTTTGACTGTGTTAGAATGGCTGTCGTTAAACAAATCCAAATGCATTCTACAGCTAATATATCACGAATCACTAGTAGGTACCATCAACTTTCTTTGTATTTTTATTTAAGCACCGATGCATGTCAATGTCGTTTCGTAAGAAGATAAAAATATAGTTTTTTTTTTAAACAATGAGAAAATAATATTTGTTATTAAAGAAATGAAAATAACGTAATTGAGATTAAAATTTAAAACATTTTTAAATTTTCAGTTCTTTGTACGGCTGGATCATATTAGAAAATGCTTCACTCAAAATGGCGGCATTTTCGTTTTAGAAGAATTCAGTAAGTTTAAATTTATTTTGTAGTCGTTTTTGATATGATTATAATGATACTAAAACAATCTGTTTTGATTTTACAGATCCAAAGACGAGACAAATAATTCAACGAAAATATAAATCTATAATGGCAAGTATTTTAATTTGAGACAGTTTTCTATAAGTATTCGTTTTAGCTCGAAATATCTATGCGAGTCCATTTGTGGGATAACAGTGTTTTTACAATATTTCCTATAAGGAATAAATTAAAATGAATTGTAGCCGAAATTATAACCAGTAAACTGAAGTTATTTTTGATTTTATTTTGATTTTGATTTGATTATTATAGATAATAGTGTCTGATTTATTAATTGTAATGTTAACAGGTATACATACAAAACTTATGTTGCACTTGAATTTTCATTTTCACTTAATGCTATGTAAATTATACCAGGTGATTTTTTTTAAATGTTTTATTTTTGTATAATTGTTATTTAATATTGCCTTTACAAAAATTGACAAGATGAATTAGTTGCCTTATAGAAAAATACATTTTATTTTGTTTTATTGATTTGTATTATTGTGTTGTAGGCAGAGAAAGTAGTGTTTGATCTGCACCGTTTCTTCTCAATATGGTTGTCTCAATATTTAATCGAAGCCGAATCTGAGCTCGAAATCACCACTTAAGTTTATACGATTCATAGTCGTGTATGTACCTACAATGTTTTTTTTTTTTATTCTTGCTTTTTTCATAACTCTTATGGTTGCTTATCCCGTAATTCCGTTTGCGCTTATTTTACTAACAAAACTAATTCAATTGTACTAAAATTACCTAAACTTAAAGCTATGTTACACTAATTTTTAAATACAAACGAAATTTATAATATGCCTGAACTACTTTTAACCAAGTAAAACTAATTAAAATGTGAAAGACACGGTGTTAGATAGATATTCCCGAAGCTGATACAAAATAGCTGTGATAATTTAATACCTTTTATCCTAAAAAGAAAGCTAAGATGTTAATCATCAAATAGATACATATAGTATTATTTTCTTGGCAGAATTTGATGAGGAATTAAAATCCATTTATACATTTTCTATTATATCTTTTAATCATGGCAAGAATTACCGGCAGCCCTTTTATAATGCAGTTTCGGGAAAGAGGTTTAATTTTTTAACGTTTATAAATAAAATTTAATTAAGGTTGTACACCTCTTTGGATTGTTAAGTACGCTTTTGAATTTTATATAATAATATGTTTTATGACACTGACATTGTTCGAAAATGAAACGCAACTAACCTGCAACAAAAAGCATCGTTTCATTCTCATTTTGTTAACATTTTCAAGTCATTTCACTAATGTTACAACACTTAAATACATTTCATTTACCTGTACTGCGGCTTTTCAGAAAAACAGCAATTTTCTTAAGAACTAGTTAAAAATTAAGATATCATCGAATGATGAATTTAATAAACTGAGACCAGTTATTGCTCAGGTAGTAAACTATACTAAATACTACCGATGATTATGAAAGAAAGAGAATGAGAAATAATCGTTTTAAAAATTTGGCTATATGGTCTTATTGACCATATGAGTGACAGAGCTTCAACCCGATGTTAAGTAGTTATCGGAGCACACATAATAATGTATAACATTGAAATCGCTCGCCCTCGTTGAGGCATGAGGTCGAGGTCTCAATAGCATTATGTAATAACTTTCCCACTCTTGACGTACGCATAGACAGAACCGAATTGTTTCGCCGCAGCAATTAAGGATGTTTTTATTTCTAAATTCAAAATTTGCCAATTTTAGTAATTTTTTTATGTTTCCATGAGCCAAAACCGTGGAATAGTAAAGGCAAAAATGTACATCCTTGATACGTTACAAAGTAAACTTGCAAACAGCATGTTGACGTCATGTTTGCAAGTTTGACCCCGGAAGCCGCTCGTGAACTTTCCACAATCCAATTGATGTATAGTGATTTGCTAAAGTCAACAGATAACCGATGTATATAAAAATTATTAATAAATATTTTTTGTTTCTCAGGCGGATCAGATTTGTTACGCGGTGCTTTGTGTGTTCTCTTACTTCGCGGCCGGACAAGAACAAAAGAAAGCTATTCTAGAACAAGCAGCTCGCGTGCCTACTACGCCTAGCCCGGCGCCTGTTAGTCCACAGGTCAATTCAATAACAGTACACACACTTGATTTATACTTTTTAGTAACATACATAAGACTACCTAATAATACGGTTTATAATAATAATAATAATACTAATATAACACTTTATTTAACACCATATGTACAGAGTAAGCATATAAAACAAATAATAGTCGGTGACATAAATTGGCGGCTTTATCGCTGAAGGCGATCTCTTCCAGGCAACCTTTCAGGGAGAGGAATAAGCAAACTGGACGGTGCTATATCTTAATAAACTTACATAAAAATATATACTTATATACACATTATTGGGTTGGGGTTTATTGGGTTTTATTAATTTAAGCTGTAATCTATTTCAATTGTTTTAGCGCAATCTGAGTGATTTAATGTGTGCAAATTTTAAAATTTATTTTCGTGAAATCGTAATAGGCTGAAAAGAATGTTGTCCGGAGCACCGAGCCCCGCGCGGCAAGTGAAGGAAACACCCCAGAGCGGCGGCCAAGAGCCTCCCCCGCGCGCTCCCCCCGCGACATAGAGCGACCTCCCGACATTCAACCAGCACATGAAGTATCGCAACCCGCTGCTAAGTAAATACTTGATCTTATTACCAAGATTCAATGAGCAATGTAGATTATGTCGCACCTTTAGAATAATATAGATCCAACCCAAAAAATGTATTTTTTGGAAAACATCATATAAAGTTTTCAAACCGAAAAGTCGAAGAGGAAGGGGCGGAGTGAAAGAGACCGATGGATAAGTTTGTCCCTGTTTACGTTTTTTTTTATTGACCTTGTAGGCAGACGAGCATACGGCCCACCTGCTGATGAGTGGTTACCGTCGCCCATGGACTTCAGCAATGCCAGGGGCTGAGCCAAACCGCTGCCTACCGCTTAATACTCTCCACAAGCCTCGTGTGAAGAAGGAAATGTCATAGCACTCGGGAAACACCGTGGAGGGGAGCTCATTCCATAGTCGGATGTTACGTGGCAAAAAAGACCTCTGGAAACGCAGTGTGGATGACCGCAGTGGCTCCGGCGACAGGACCGGCGAGTTACTTTTGGTTGATTTGATTTGATTTTTTTGATTGGTTTGATTATTGAAATTCGATGAAAGGGGTAGTTCTTGGTCCATTTTTTAATTCAAGTCGTAATTCGAAAACTTTCGAAATGTATCTCTATAATTCTAAAGGTGCGATGTGGTATAAGGAAAATCATTAGAAATTAGTTTTCGGAAATCCTTTACAAAACACACTTACTATGAGCAATACGAAAGTGGCACGCATATAGCATGTAAATTGTTTTAAGAAAACATTTTTAGTTTAGGAATCGTATAGTCCAGACCTTCGATCAATTATTGATCGAAGGTCCAGACGCATTCTTATATTGGTAAAAATTTGTAAAATACTATTTTATTTTTTAAATAACGTTAACACGCCTACAGAACGGCATCGTCCTCGTCTCCTCCAGAAGGAGGGGGCATGCGTCGTACCGGGAGCATGCCCCCCCGCCGTCCCCCGCCCCCCAGCCCTCCGCGTCTAGCACGCGCTCACTCTCATGCTGCACCGCCGCAGGTAATCTATGTACTCTAACGTTAATTTGTAGTTATTTATATACGTGTAAAAGTTATCTTTACCGAAGTTGAAACTGTAAGAAAATCAATATAAATCAATGTACGTCCTTACGGATCTATCAGATCTAATAACTCTTACATTAGACATCTTTTTGATGTGAAACATCTATAGCCGCACGTAAAACCGATTTCTGGCATGGCGACGCATGCCGTGGCGACGCGTCGCCATGCGCAATCGACTGTGCGATTCTCTCCCACTCGATCCGGCGTTAAGCCATCTCTCTCGCTACACTGAGCTGATACCTATAGTGTATACTCCGTAGTGTATACAGTGTTGTTTACTACAGTACATATAACCTGTGTTTTACTTGGAAACAAGTTATTTTTTCGTAATATTTTATTTTATCATTATGACATATTTAGTTCCTATCACAATCTGTTCTTTTCTGCATATTACTTTTACAAAATAATGTCGATGTTTCACATCTGCCAGGCGTCCCGTGACGGCTCACTTTTTTTATTAGAAATTATAATTTTTCGGGTTTGATTTTTATTACACGATGTTATACTTTCACCGTGGAAGTCAATCGTGAACATTTGTTAAGTACGTATTTCATTAGAAAAATAGGTACCCGCCTGCGGGATTCGAACACCGGTGCATCGGTACATACGAATGCACCGGACGTCTTATCCTTTAGGCCACGACGACTTCAAAACCTTCAGTTCTAAGACTAGGAGCAGGCTGAGGGATCCCGGTAACCGTACTCGTCGATGTCAGCAAAGAGGTCGACGTGCAACCTAACCCATGCATCAGCCCGCTGAGTTTCTCGCCGGGTCTTCTCAGCATGTCGCGTTTCCGATCCGGTAGTAGATTCATTCGCGAGGCAGCTACTGTTGAGTTGTTAGGTCTTCTTCAGAGGCGCTCGGGCAGCTGTTAGCAAATCCCACCCCTCCTAGCTGAGCCTTGCTCGCCCACCTGTCCTGGTGAAAGGATATTTGAATCACGATTTTGTCCTGTAATCATGTCAAAAAATACCAGGGACAGCGTTTGTCTTTGTATTCAGGATTAGTAAAAAAAAAAGTAAACCAAGAAAAAGCATAGAAGTGTGCGATAGACAATTTAAAACAAAATAGAAAAACGACACGTTGTTTGGTGACTATAAATTATTCGGATTTTTATTTTATTGTTTTGTTTGCTTTGTTTGAGCATCACAGAAATGTTAGTTTAACTTCGGACCTTTTCCAACCGTTTAACTAGGTCCTTACCCATAAAACATAATGTTCTGCAGTAAATTTGGCCTAGATGGCGTTTTGCCTAGATGGCGGTCGCGAATCTCAGATATACTAAGTAAGTTGCAACTATTGATTGGTATTAATATGAAAATATGTTATATGCAAAACTTGCAATATCACGACTAGACATTTATGTTTAGGCTAGCAGTAAATCTTACAGACAATTATCGTTTACTTCAGATTCCGCCTCGCTCGACAGCGGCCAACCCACGAGCGCCGCGGCCGCCTCCCGCTTTACCGCCGCGACAACTATCCGCAGCAGCAGATTTAAACGTCAGCCCTAGGTAATTAATTGCTACTGCTAATCGCTATAATATTTATATATCGAATACTTTTAGTGAACGCTGTCCCGATTGCTCTTGTAGTCCATTTTTATTCTTTTATTTTTAATTATGGCAATTGCCTTCTTTCGATGCCATTGTTGACAGTGTCGAATTATAAATATCTTCTGTTATTTAATCATATCAGTATTCAATTGGCATGAAATTAAATGAGACGAGATGAGATAAGATGAAATAAAGTCTCAGTAAAATGGTGGTCGAAGATTTCAGTGAAATTTTGGAAGATCTCAAGAAGACACGTACAGCGACTTTTTTTCATTTTCTTACATTTGTGCACTTTTACAGATGGTGAACAGTTAATAAACCACCATTAATAATAAACCGCACGTTTAACACTTTAATACCAAAATAAAACAAATCGCACTACTTCGTTCCTCGCGTTCCCGCCAAAAAGTCTGCAGTGTATTCACATCACAGATTAAATTAGTTACATTCGTTTCAGAAGTACGGGCGTTGGTTCGGACGCGGGGTCGGTACGTCGCGCGGCGCCGGCTACGTTCGCGACCACGAACCCTTTCGCCCCACGGAACACCGAGTTCGTCATTCCACAGCGGAACAATATGAGACGTTCGTCGACCACCGATAGAAATTAAACTTAATTTATATTAAGACTAATTTTTGTTGTTTGCGTTAATAAAGCACCTACCTTTTTTAAATGTGAATCCATCTTCTTATTATAAATATCATGATTTGACGACGTAGTATTTTTTCATAATAATTATTAAGATACGTAGAAATGATCTAAAAATACTCTTTTTTAATTTTTCTTTATCTGAATATAATTAATTACTTTTATATAACCAACAACCACCGCCCTTCCTATTTCTGTAGCAGAACAACCACGCATTCGTAATAAGTAGTATGGTACATAGTAATTGGGATCTTGCAGCGAATGTAATTTGTGGTTTCTATAATCACCAGGAACAGCTAAACACGGGTGATGTCGTATGCCCATCTAGACTAATCTGTATGTACTACCACTTAAAACTCTTTTATGGAAAAAAGTCAAAGCCAAGCCATTCACCATCTTTGGATCGATAAAGTAGCTCGATAAATGTCAAATAAACATTAAGCCGGTAGCACAAGAAAATCAAGTACATACCTAGCTTAGAGCGCAGTTAGGTACCTAAATCTGAAACAAATTTTTTGTTCTTGTCTGATACAGACCATGAAAGGCGAATTCTCAATTTAAATACGGGATGTAGTTATAGTTTGAACAGATTTAAAATGTATTGTTTTCGATTAGTTTAAAAAATATTGTACATACATTTATTGATCTATTACAAATAGGCATACTATAGTAGCATAACAATGCATTTTATTCTACCCCGGCTCGGTACTCCACGAACTTTCAGCCTGGTAGGAGAAAAAATAGTACGTGCACCGCGAGAGAAAAGTTGGACATTTCCTCCTTTCAAAATTGCCACCCGAGCAACACGCGGGAGGAAATGTCCAACTTTTCTCCCTTGGTGCACAATGTACTATTAAATACCCACTGGAAAGGCTTACGTTACCTAAATTACTTTTTCACTTTTTTGAAAGAATATAAATTAATAACGATTTAGCATTAAACAAGCTTGAATGTAAATGTAGTAAAAGTATGTATGTGTTAGTGTTGCCATACTGAGAGCATAGTTATGGAAAATATGCAAATGCAGATGATGATATATATATGTTGGTGATAGAATCGTCACTTAGCTGATGTGTTATTTTATTTTAAAAGTATACACTAGAAAAATAAAATACAATTGGATTTTGCAAGTACATAGAGGTAAAAACGTAGGTTTGTGTCGATAATAAGTAGACTCTTAGAGATTTTATCAAACAACTAGTGATATAAAAATATCAAATAATATTTATAATTTACCGTATGTACCTATTAATGTACCTACCTACTTAAATCCTAATTTATTATGATCAAGCTATTAACGAAAACGTATTGTGTTTATTATGAAATACTATTGCTATAGCTTAATGTCCTATTAAAATGTTTAAAAATATGTCAGGGTTAATAAAGTTTAGAAATATTAAATTATTTTATGGCAATTTAATAAATTAGTTACCCATAAACTGTTTTTATTTATTTACCGCGTATTTGTTTATTAACTTTATGAAACATAGTTGCCAATGTCATAAGGGATGCTTAATCAGGTAAGAATATTTTCCAAGTACATAGGTGCTGTTTTTAATTCGTGTTGCGGTAGCAATTCTTTATAATACGAGCGTCCAATATTACTTTAGTAAAACTATTAATACAGACTTTCAATTATTGTGGTCTTTAGCTTCAGGTAAGTTGCTCGTTTTTAACCGTCTTAAAAAAAGTAGACGGTTATTATTATCGCACTATACCCAATTCGTTATGACTTTGGAAAGTGTGTAATTTAGTATGTAAATTAAAATGAAATAATTTTATTTGTTTTACATTTATTTATTTATTACAACCGTGCGTTTCAAAGTACTTATACTGCTTTTATAATTGGACTTTTAACATAATATCACAGATATAAACTAGTTTTAGATACATAGTACATCCTAAATATACTTTATATTTCTGATGGTATCGCTTTCAGGAGTATGTCCAAGTTTAAAAAATCAAAAATCATTTTAATCTTAGTTCACGTTAGGTTTAATCTACCTTATTATTAAAAAACATAGTTATCAAACTAAAATTAAACTTAGCTACATTATACAATCAAAATTAACATCACTATCGAACGAATCACATATGAACATAGCGGTAGGCAGCGGCTTGGCTCTGCCCCTGGCATTGCTGAAGTCCATGGGCGACGGTAACCACTCACCACCAGGTGGGCCGTATGCTCGTCTGCCTACAAGGGCAATAAAAAAAATGAACTAAAACATCAAAAAACTACTAACAATAAAATAACTATTTGAAAATATATTTTTAAATATATATTTTTTTCTTATTATAATCAGTCCGTATTAAGTGAACGTGAATCAATTAAAGCAGTACAAAATCTTTAAAACGTAGGTACTTTAACCTAAGTTAAAAAGTATTAATTTTTTTTTTCAACGCGAAGTACTTCACTTAATCGTACACTTATATAAACTTACGTTCTCATTATTCTATTTTAGAATAAAAGGAATATATTTATACATTAAACAATATTATATCCTATTTATATCTTACATTAATACTATTATATTCAGGTGGGGTACTCGTATGAGCTTGCTTACAATCTAATAACTCTACAGGCCTTTAAACACACGTAACACTGACAACAAAACTGTAGCCTTAAACAGTTTGGTTCGAGTTGATCGTTTGACTGATTTGCTGGCAGACGTTCGCATCAATGTCATCCAGTGGCGGATTAAAGGTCCAGAGCGCCCTAGGCAATCACTTTATCGGCGCCCCTATACCGGCCATAAATGGCCATCATAATACTATACATTTTAACTAGTTGTTTTTGCAATTACGATGACGTTGTATCATCAAACCCTAGACTTTAGTAGACCAGGGCCCTTGTACTTACGCTAATGCGCGAATGAAATATGACGTTATAACTGTGAAGAAATCAAGAGGGACGACAGAAGATTTAGATTATAGATCAGCATCTAGTTCTTAATCGTAGATATGTTATTTTCTTTATTTATTTAAAAAATTTGAGCTCGCGCGCGCCTTGTAACTACACGCGCCTACGCACGTACCTAGTTTACCTAGTTTGCCTTACGGATAATCCGCCTCTGATGTCACCTGAACAAACTTACCCATTCGGTCAACATTGACATTGATTAAGTGACATTTCAAAAAGATTCAAATGGAATGTTTCACATTTATAACTGTAACCCAAATTATTTTGGGTCAAACTTACCTGAATCAGGCGTTTCTAAGAAGAGGCTATACCTACCCGAATGTTTCAAATAATAATGTGTACAAATACGAATGGTCATTTCTTTGTTAAGTTCTTTGCGTTCGCGCGTCTTTTACATTCAAGTTGAGGCTATGTTTTATACATTTATGGTTGGCACTTCAGGGAGGTTGATGCAGTATTCTGAATCGTAACATATTGTTGACATTTTCAACATGAGCTGACATATTTACAAGTTCCGATTAACAAAATTCGGTACAACAAACACAGTTCTGGTAAATCAAACCAGTTCCAGCCGTAATGTAAGTTTAAAGATAAAGAACGTTCATGTATTAATTTTTTTTTAACATTAAATTCGAATTCCTTTTCTTTTGTGGCCTGGTATAAAGATTTTTAAGCTGACCAAATTCAAATAGATAACAGAAGTTCGTGTAACTCTTTGGACGCAAAACATTACAGTCTACTTAAAAAATTACTACTAGGTATTACTTTAAAAAATCTACTTCAAGTCTATCACCTCGTTTCATGAATTGCCAAAACTAATAATGGAAACAATGTTTCGAGCAACTCATCTTTCAGAATAAACTCCGGAAGTTTTCCTTAGATTTCCAGGTAGATTCTACTAACTTATTCTACTATCTAATTCTTCCTCTCAAGTATATAGAAGAACCACAACACATCACCCCTGTCATACGTCAAGGTCAAGGTCAAGGTAGCTGTTACTGTCATAATGGCACATTCCACTTTAGTTTCGTATACTAACTAGCCGATATATCTACTGCATCTTAATCTTAAGTTCATTAACCTGACGTGCAAGTAGCCTCGGGGAGGTACAATCGATCAAGGAAACGATAACTATTAGAACGATATCTGTTGCCCAAAAAACCCAGTTTCTGGGCGCTAGAGTACCTCACATAGCATCTACAAGAATATCTCAGATCAAGAAGTTTTTGCTCTATTCTCAGTGCAGTACTGCAGGCATAGGTTTATCCGTGTCTATCACTCAAAAGCATTCAAGGACAAGGAACTGCTTTATCGTCTTTAGGCCTCATCGTAACTAGAAAATTTCGCGTTTGATGGGCCCACTGAAGGACAATGGTAGTCAAAATTTACAATCTCAATAGACTGCAAGAATCGGTATCTCTCCTCAAAACCTCCACTTGCAGTTAAAATTGTAAATTAAGTTGAAAAAGTTCCTCTCCCCAACTCGATCTTTCATGTAATTTAATTCGATTCAATTACGCCCAGGGCCAATGTCTTGACCAATTGTTTGGCCAATGAATTTTTTTTTTATTTCAATTGACAAGAATAAACCGCAGACTCTAGAGCCTGCTATTTTAGAGATTATTATTTTCCAGGTGAACTGAACGAAGTAAGTAGTAAGTAGTCAGATTCGGAGAAGCATCTACTGAAATACGTGTCTGGAGTTAGTTTACTTTAGGTTTTCATTATACAATAATCAAATTCAGCTAAAACGATGCAATGTATCTGAGTGATTAGTTTCATTTCACATTTAGATCAAGCAGCCAGATTTCAGTCGTCAGAAAAGCTGAATCCATTGGCAACGGGGTCATCATTGCGTATATATGGTATTTGTGGTAGGTTTCCTATTTATACATATGTATTTATTACTATAAACATATTTATTCGTCTTCAGCCATGGATTTAATCACTTTTAGCTTTTCAGTTAATGATTCCGTTAAATTTGTATCGGTTAGTGACGATAATATTTCCTCTTTTTTCATCATCGTTGCATTCCACATTGTTGTACCTTCTTTTCGAGCATCTGACTTTTTATTTCTAAATCGTTTATGAAATCTGACATCTGAAATAAATAAACGTCGGTACGTTGAAGGTTGAGTAAGATTTCAAAGGAAAAAATAGCATTAGACTTCAAGTTGATTTTTAACTTTAAATTATAATTAATAGGCAAATCTGATTTAAATAAGGTTGAAAATCCACAGTTTCAAGTCTTCAAATTACGATTGATCCAAATGTATTCATGATTTAGACTTTTCTCAAAAATCGCTTTCATACGGATTCGTGGGTAGTTTTGCCGCTTTCTCCGGAATTTGTTATGAGACACCGCGCAGATTAAGTTCAAAATATTTTAATGCTCCAAATTATCTCCAATTATTATTTTTGATATAAATTCCCTTGATCATAGATTGCAGTTTATTTGTTGCCTGATCAAATGAAATACAAAATATACTTACGTGGCAAATTTTATCAACTGTATACCTAATCGAAAACTTACCTCTTTAGAAGTATTTAAATTTGCACTGGAACTAAAGTCGTTACTATTCGATGACTCTTCAAGTAACTCTTGGGATTTAATTACTTCAAATTTGTTTTTAATACTTTTCCTTATTATATTCTAAAAATTGAAATTATAAAGATTTTATATTCTGACATACTTAAATGTATATAAATTTACATAAATTTATATTTATGTCTGACAGACAAACAATATTATTATTATAAACAAAATTATAGTTTATTAAGAAAAAAACAATTTATTTGTTTACATTTTCAGTATATCATATTCTCAAATATATATCTAAGATATCTGAAGCTTTTTGGGACGGAGTCACCATTCCACACCTTTCCGAGCACAATTACACACTTACTGGTGGTAGAAAGTGATGTGAGACCGCACGGATAGATACTACCACCCTGCCTATTTCCGCCGAGAAGCAGTAATACGTTTCGTTTTGAAGGGTGGGGCAGCCGTTGTACTATATTGAGACCTTAGAACTCATATCTCAAAGTGGGTGGCAGCCTTTATGTTGTAGATGTCTATGGGCTCCGGTAAGCATTTAACACTAGGTGGACAGTGAGCTCTTCCACCCATCTTAGCAGGTAGTTAGGTAGTTAGCAGTGGTAGGAGCTCTTGTGAGTCCGCACGGGTAGGTTTGAAGGGCGGGGCAGCCGTTGTAACTGTACTGAGACCTTAGAACTTGTATCTCAAGATGCGTGGCGCATTTACGTTGTAAATGTCTATGGGCTCCAGTAACCACTTAACACCAGGAGGGCTGTGAGTACGTCCACTCATCTAAGCAATAAAAAAAAATAAAAAAATGATTTGTGTGCTTCTAACATCCTACACGTAGTCTTGAGTTTACTCATGATTAAAACGCTTGCAACAGGGCCAAAATCGGGAGTCCATTACAATAAAAAACCGTGACAAGAACCCGTTAAATATTGTTTATAATGTACACAGCCGTGAAAGTCTAAAACGATTCGTAATTAAATTTAGTTTAGCACTACGTTCCTGGTGCCCTAAGCATTTTAACAAAGCATTCCACATCTTAACGTCATTAATTAAAATATTTAATTTGACATTATTATGAACGAACTTTTCATCCGATCAGTTTTTTATTTTATTTTATGTAATATTTAAAACAGTAAACACATGGCTCGTTAAGGACCTAGTGGTTGAAGCAGCAGAATCTGCTAATAAGAAAGTAGTCGTTCTTGCTTTTAGCACAGACAACACATCTCTATAAGCAACTTCGATAAAATTCTTAACTTCAATTCCAACAACATAAAAAATTCAACCGCAAACGTGATTATAACAATATCTTAACTCGTAAAAACATCCGATAACACCAAAAATAAAATCCAAATCCAAAATCCAATGTAAATTAAACTCCTTACCTTAGTTGATTTAAAATTACTAATTTCCAAAGGTTCACTATCAAGTTCATTTTCCGATTCCAGTACCTGCCATTCGAAAACGAAATTTTTGGGAACTTGAATTAAGCCACACAGCACTCTGCAAAACATTATTCAATTAAATATGGTGACATGCATCATTCTGAAAGAAGCAAGCGATAAATAGGATGGACAGGTGAATCGCGAAACCGTATTAATGTTGTATTATTATACACGAGGATAACAAATATGGCAAGCTTTCAGGACCGGTAGTTTTAGAACCAACTAGTACCTAAACAACACTAACATTAGTAATTGATAAGACGATAAATTTGAGCACCTATAGTAGAATTATTTTGTCCGTGCATTTTCTCTTTTAATATTGGCAGTAGTTATTTTTCTATAATTATTTGAAAAATTCTTCGTTTTTCACGCTGATAAAATCATCAGTAGCACAAAGAGAGTGGTAGCGTTGCCTCAAAAAAAATTAACCTGTACTACACACACTTTCATGCTTCGATCTTCATATCCGTTCATTTCATAAATTATTCCTATTTATACTACGAACTAAGTACAATATCTCAAAAAGCATGTTCGGATTATTATACAGTATATTAACAGATAAATTTTAAATGCTAAAATCATGATTATCTTCATTCTTTGCTTTGAAATTATACAATTGTTAAAGCATACTAAAATTAACATTTGAGTCTAAGAGTATATAAAAATATAGACTAAAGTATCGGTTTGAATAGAGCCATTGATGACGTCATTTGAGGATAAACAAAGGTCAAATACGAAATTGGTAAATAAAGAATAAAAAGAAATTTGTAAATAAAGATTGTTGTTCATACAAAAATATTCTGTAATCAGCTAGCCTGTTCACCGAAACGGTTTCTCAAAGAAAATAAATAAAATAAGTCAGTGCCCATTAGCTGATACTCGTAGCGAAACTAGCGAAACGTGACCGGAATGTACTAAATATTAAATAATATACATACCCATTGATTTTAGTGAAGACTTCCGACTCTCGATAATAACTTGTGGGGTAAAATCCTGGAAATTGCAAGCTTATAAGATTTTCACTATTTCTTGTTCCTTTTATCCAACCAAAGTTTAACACATTACTGCACTGTATCCAAACTTCTGTTATTTTCTCACAGTCATTCTCAGGATCATTAATAAGACTTTTTGAATCACCATCATCGTCATCATCATCGGAAATTATAAGAACATCCTCTGACATATTAATATCAAGTGGTTTTATATCATCCTTAATATTTTTTATCTCTTCGTAGACTTCTGGATTTCTGTTCAAGACCTTGCTTAGGGTATTGGATAATAGTAATTTATTATTGATTTGTTCAGGTTTTAAAACAAACATCCCCCTTTGCGGGAACTTAAATGCTGGAACTGTAGAAGAAAGTGTTTTTGGATGTGAATCTGATTTTTGACTCATCGGAGTATTGTTTGAACTATCATTATTTTCTATTGAAGATTCGCTGGACACAGAACTCGCGGTTGGCTTATTATTATCAACAAGTAAATGGGGATTCCAATTTGTCACCGTTTTAATGTTACCATTAGAACCGATGTGATAGAAATCATTAGTTCTCTTTATATTTATGGTGGGTAATTTTTTTGTGTTCTTTTCAGGTGAAAGCTCAGTATCGCTTAAAGTTTTTTTATCAAGTACTGTTACCTTGATTCTGCCTGCTTTTTTAATATCGATTGGTTCTGTACTGTGAGAACTACTATAATTTTGCAGTGGCAACATTTCACTGCAACCGTCTTTCAGGTTAGGAATGAATGACATAGGATTATGTATAAGCTTATGATTATCAATTTTGTCTGTAGTTATCCAAATACCTCGGGTTTTGTTTTGTTTTCGTAGATGTAAAATTGTTTTAATAGTTTGTATACCCAACGATTCATTGGGTTCATATGGCCCTATGAATACACAATATTCATTAGAATCCGGAATGGCATATAAACCGTATTGGGGGCCACTGTTTTTTGGAGCACACTTTTGTGACGATAATCTAACAGCTTTACCAGAGATACGGGCAACATTGATCGCTTTTACAATTTTGTCATAAGTAACAAAAAATCCACCATTGTTGAAGCGGATTTCACTAAAATCATTTTCTACAGTCATCATGAACCACTTTGAACAACCTTCTTTGTTTTTATTGAAAGTTGAACAATTTTTGGAAGGAACGTTTTCTTGATTTGCATTAATTGTAATTGTTGACGATGTTGTACTTTCACTCATCGACTGTTTTAAAGAAGATTTTGGTTCTGAAATAAGTGCACCTGGTTCATTAGACAACACCATTTGGTCAGTATCTTCATCATCGTCAGGAACTAAATAGGACCATGTATCAGAATCTTCGTCTGACTTTGCAAAATTAGAAGTTTCATCACCAGATGAGAAGCGTGGTTTGGGTGATTTTAAGCTACTAGTCTGGTTATCGATGGTTTTTTCACCCTTACTCCTTATTTTTGAGACTGTACCGATTAACTCCCACCAATCCGAAAAACCGTACAAAATGCAATAATTCTCTTCTAGATCAGTTGCATTAGTTAGTAGGTTTTTTATAGTTAAGGGATATTTTTGGAGGTCCACAAATCTTATTTTGTCAATGTTGATGCAGTCATTAAAGAAGGGATTTTTCAAATTAACGGATAGAAATATTCGGAACGGTTCAGTTTTAGAAACCATAAAAAAATTCTTCCTTTCTCTATATCTGCTAAGAATAAATTCCCATGGGTGCAACGCTAATTTTCCTATTCTTGGAGCTTCTAAGCATATCTTGAAACCTTCCTTAACTTTGTTTTTGTAAAGCTTATACGATGATTCAAACCATCGTACTAAATTTTTTTTGTATTTTGCACTTCTAATATAATTGGGACCCTTATTTTTATTCCATAAATTGTTAATAATTTCAACTAAATTTAGAGGTTCTGAAGAATTTACTTCGTTAATGTCCCTCAGTTCACCAAGATCATTTTCATAGTTATCATCTATAATTTCAAATTTAATGTTTTTATCTTCCGGCTCTATTACAGAGCAATCATCGTGTTCCTTATTTTCTGAAATATTTTGTAACTTTATCATTCTTTTCGCTAATTGCCGATCGTTTTTCTCCATATTGATAATTTTACCTTGTACTTCTTTATAGTAATTTTCGTCATGATTTCTACCTTGGTAAGGATTAATCCTGGCACAAGTACTAAGTTCATTAAGCTCAAAGCTGTCAAGGATTTCAGGTTGTTCGTCTCTTTTTTTATCCTTTAAATAGTTTGTGTGGATTTTGTCAATATCGTCAATTTTTATTAGTTGTTTCAACGATTGATCATTGTTTAACGCCTCTGATTTGCTTGGAAAACTTTTATTCACAAACTTCTCGTCACCATCCAAACATTGTAAATTAGTTGTAAATCTACCTTTACAGAAACATTTATACAAATTATGAACCATGCACCAAGGTTCTATATTGGTACAATTTAATTTGTGAGCCACAACGATAATTTCTGGGCCGGCTTCAGGGTCTCTTTTAAACCGTTTCATATTCGCATGATACTCAGCATATTTTTGTGTTATTTTGCAATTTCTTTTTCTTGCTTTCAACACGATACTTTTTTCACCAGCCATTACAACAGTTTGTTTAAACTTTTTTTCTTCTTTAGCCAATTTTAAATTGATTTCATTATTAAAGTTGATCAACCCAGGTATTAATTCTTGGCAATCATTTGGCAGACACTCTGTAGTTCTATAATCTGAAAAGTCACATTTGCATTCGAACATACATTCTATAAGACCGCAATGATTTTTTAAATTATAACTGCATTCTAAAGATTTACATATACACCCAAGTGAACAATGTGATTTATTGCATATTTGTTTTTCATGAATTTTCTTTTCCGGTAATCGAATAACTGTAACATCAAGTCTGTCTAATTCACAATATCTCTTTTTGTTCTTTCCTTTCGCTAAATTAGTAGAGTCATCATAAATAACCTCTCGAGGTTCATCTGCTCCTGTGAAAAACGTATCTTGTTCAATACTTATTTCAACTGAATTTAAAATTTTATCCATTATACTACGAACTTCAGCTGCTACAGAAACGGCGCAACTTTGATCATCTAAAGAAATTTGCGATTCAGTTTTTTTATTTTCAGCTGGGAAAAAATCAGTTTTATTAATGACATCTCGTCGCATCAAAATTCTTCTCTGATTTAGTCTATAGTCTATGTTAAATGTAACAGCTCGATCATCATTTTGAATTGGATTACAGTCTTTTAGTGTTCCTAAAGCTGTCACAGCAAATTCGGCCCAGTTTTGAGTCAAAGTTCCGTCTTTATCGCGTAAATTATTTAAAAAATTTGTCACATTAGAATCCAGCGTCACACCGTAAGCAGGACTTACAGAAAGGCCGAGTTTAGGAAGATTTACCAATTCAGTATTACCGACATTATATTTTTGGTGAGAATCATCTAGATATTTTTTCTTTTGGAGCGGCCCTGGTTTAAATTTTACTATTAAGGAATTTTGTAATAATCCTTTTTTTCTATGATTCTTTTTCATAGCAATAGTTGTCTTCTTTATTGATATTTTCTCATTTATCTGATCAATGATTTTCTGTTCTCCTCCTTTGCTCCCATTAACCAAAATGTGTTTGTTGTCTAATAACACATATTGCTTAGGATTTTTGTGTCCATCTGGATTAATAGTTGACAACATTTGCCAGGCAGATCTGCTTATAGGTGTATCAGATTTCAAAATACTTTTTGCAAGTTTTCGTGTACATTCGTCATTAGCAAGCCCAGATTTTATTTTTCTCAATAAAGTAGCTGCCTGCTTCTCGACCTCAACAGAAAATAAGTTATACATGTCTATCTCAAATAAGTTTCTGATATCTCTGACAGTTTTTACTTTTTGTTTGGATTTTTTCTTCGATAGATAGAATTTGTCTGTTTTCGGTTTAAAATCACATGTTTCTAGTTCTTTTGTTTCTATTACAAGAGGAGCAACGGGAGAAGTATTAATAAGTTCGTATAGATTATTTTTTGGTATACAGGCGGTCCTCGTGATATTGGATTTAAAAACTTTGTTGTGAATCTCCATGTTTTATTGTTGCTGACAACGCTGTAAATAAGACAACATCTAATTAATAATTATTTCGGATATTATGAAAAATAACTAATTTCATTATGTATAAGGTTCACAGTCTCTAAGTTATTTCTATAGTGTATGAATTTTAGAAGGAGAGTTTGAAAATATTTGAATACTATTTCATAATTAAGAAGTTCTATCATACACATTAAGCTAGTATTTATTTATTTATTTTTATATTTTACAGACGCGTGACGAGTTGTCGGCCTACGGACGGCCTTACGTGGTTACCAGAGTCGATATAGGTACATCACAATATGAATGCTGCCACCTTGATAGCTGAAGTCGTATTGCACTTAAATTGGGAACTAGACAGGTCGTGCCTTGCAGTTTTAAAAGACTCCTTACCATCAGTAATTATGCAAATTAATATTTGTTGGACTTAATTTTACTACAGAATGTTATTTCTTCATAGTAGAAGTCAATCGTGAACATGAATTAAGAATGCATTTCGTTAAAAAAAATGGTATTTTATTGCGATATTTAAACTCAAACGCGCCGTTCGGTAAAAGTACATCAAGCGCCTTATTCTTTAGGGCACGACTTCAAAAGTGAGTTAAGTACGAAGTACGCTAACTCCGACATTTGCCACAAATAACTTTAATCTTAATTTCAAATTTAACTCATTAATTTTTTGCTCTCATAAACCAAAACTTATCAAAGGTTCCAGAATGTATCCGATTATGTGACAAATTTAGTCAATTTGTATTTCAAATTGCCTCATGAATCGCTCCCGCTGCCCTAAGCCGTAAGTGGTAAGATGGAAATTTCCTCCTAACTCAACTACAATTATGTTTCTTATTTCGGGGATAGGTTTATATTTAATTTTTTATCGACGTCTACATTTAGGGCAAAATAAATTATGTTCCAAACCTTCAATTACTGATCACGGCAATACCCGTGATCAATAATTTCTCAGATTTACAAGATATTTTTTTCATATTTTTTTAAACTAAAGTATGCAATGCAGGTGTCAAAATATGTTATTTTTCTTCTTCTTATAAAACCTTCTGCTATCGATGATTGACAAACGTTATGGCCATGTTCACTTTAGACATTACAGCGCGCAAAAGCGAGCGAGTGTCTCGTCTAACCACTGTTATAAATTGTTGAGTAGGGATATGCACCCAAGCTTCTCTGTTCCTGGATGTGCACGTGCATATAAGTTGCAAGAGGTAATGTTCATAATCATCCATAATGTGTCCAAAATGTTGACCTTGTGCACTTTTATAGGCCTAAGAATTTCTATGTTTTTAAATTGACGCCTCGAAGATTTCGTTTCAACTAGGATTATTCTTATAGATGAGCAGTTTGGTTTCCACTCTAAAACAATGGTACGTCCAACAAGTGTACCGCCTCGCGGAGTTCTTGGTGTTCATGGATTTCATGTTCTCGTAGGACTTAACCGACCCAAACTACTCAATACAGGAACCCTCTTCTTCAACATCGCAAAGGCGTTTCATAAAGTAAGACAAAACGGTTTGTTTTCAAACTGTTCAACTCGGTCGTGCCAGACAGTATCATGCTTATCTTTCGAGACATCTTGTTCAACCGATCATTTTGGTATCTAATTAAGGGAATTCGTTCTTCCCTCGCCTTATTACGACTGGAGTCCTGCAAGGCTCGGTGCTCTCTTCGTTCGTTTTTAGGTTATCAATTTATAAGATTCCCGGGTAGCCGCCGACCTAGCTAGCCCTCTTCACCAATGAGACGGCTGTTTACTACTCGAATAGAGACAAGTCCCTAATCGCGAATAAACCCCAGACCGCAGGTGTAACCTTTGGGTAGCAGTTCCGGAAATGGCGCATCGATATTGACTCAGCAAGAAGCACAGTCGCGTTCCTTCAAATAGGGAACTCAAGGCTGATTTTTTAACTAAACCCGCATTAGAAATAAGAATCTTACACTCCCAATCACACTATTCAGTCAATCAATAGCCTATTGTGTATCCTCGGCAAATTATACCCTATTATCTGCAATCTGTAAAACTTCCCTTCGTAATAAAGTGACAAAACATGCATACGGCCTATAATGACCAATTCTAGTATGGTATTCGTTCACGTGGCCTGTTCCCACATGTTCTTGTTTTTGCAGGATAGCCATCAGAGCACTGTGGTTCGTGTGGAACGTCAATCTTCACAGCCATCTGGGCCTCGAATCCATCAAAAGACACATGAAGTCGGTATCGGAACGTTACTTTGATAAGGCTATGTGTCATGATAATCGCCTTATCGTTGCCGCCGCTGACTACTCTCTGACTCTGGCCCATGCAGGAACCAGTCACCATCGACGCCTTAGACACATTCTTACGAATTCATCTGATCCACTAACGTTGTCATTAGGCGCCTGCAGTTCTAGAATTAGGAGCAGATATAGGGTTCCTGGTAACCGTGGTGGTCGAGCTCATTAAAGTTCAATCTGAAACCTAAATCATACATCGACCCGCTGAGTGAGGCTGAGCCCATCGCACACCTGTCCTGGTGAAACTAAAAAGGCCACCGGACCACAAGTAACACCGACTTCAAAAAAAAGGGTTTAATTAGTTTCTAGAGCATAACGATATTATAAAAATTAAATTCTTTATCGAAACTCAGAGATAAATAAGATGCGCATGCCTATCTTCTCGTTTTGCTGTTGATCATTGTAATATGCAAGTATTATATTATTATAGTATATATTATAATTTAAAAAAAATCGATACCAAAGAGGCAGTACAGAATGCCTTTGAAAAGTTTATTGGCTTTCGTACACCTGACTTCTTCAAGAAGGGCATTGAAAAATTACCACTGCGCTGGCAGAGATGCATCGACACCATGGGTGCATAATTTGATTGATAGAAATAAAGATGCAGATAAACACTGCAACTTCATAGGTAAGGACATATTCTTATACTTATCTGTCAAGAAGGTACCGGGAAACGATCAATAATACACAATATGTTACTTATTCATCCAAATTTATTTTATCACCTTCAAAGCATACTGCTTCAGAAACGACACGCTTGCGCCAACGAAGATTCCAATTATCAAAACATTTTTTAAACCCTTTTTCTGGAAATTAGTTCAGTTATCGTCGCGGATTTTTCTTTCATGTCTTCTACCAAATAAAAACGGGTGCCATAAAATGGTAACTTGAGTTTAGGAAAAAGAAATGTCTGCTGGAGCCATATTTGAATAAGATAATGGGTCCATGGTACTTGTATCGGTTTTTAGTCAAAAATTTGTTCATGTTCGTGGTGGAAAATCAAGAATTTTCTTTCATTTTTGCTGATGATATTCTATCAGAGTAAGGCAAATCTTCCATCCTATCTCGACCGTTTTAGAAAGCTTTATAGTACTTGTAAGCACGTGTTTTTAATAAAATCGATTCACTGTAAGCCTTCTGTAAAATTTCCAGTGCCTACGAACACGAAATTCCATTGGCGATGTAAAATTTAAAACAAACTTTGTTCCATGTTTTTTCATTGAAATTTGCAATTAATAGATAGCTCAAGCTCCACGTCGAAACAGTTGTTCGCATAACTGTTTTCTATAACCAGTGTCTAATAACCACAAAAAAAAGGTAATTAATTTTTTTAAGAACTGCGTTTCTTTTGACGGACTTTGCAATAAATGGAATAAGTACTCTGTAAAATCAACTAATAAAACACACTTAAATTTTCATGTACCTATGTACTTTACATATGTACTTTTTGAATTTTAGGATATTTTGGTCTCATTTGACACTTAGAATCCATGTCTCAAGATGGGCGGCGGCATTGACGTCATCAACCGTATCAAAATAACTTTAGTAGCCGAAGTAACCTTAGTAACCGAAGTACCGAAGTCGTTCACCCATCTAAGCAAAAAATAAACATACCTGCATAGGTATGATTATTTTTGACTACTAATGGACATTTTTTTAAATTGCCTTAAAAAAAACTAATGATATTTGACAAGAAAATCAACGAAAATAAAATATTAATTATCATAAAGTAGGTAGGTCTTTTAATGTCTTAAATGGATCTCGTTGAATTCGTCAAATGTGGCGAAGAAATCGACGTGCAACTTAACCCTACACAGACAATCCATTGAGTTTCTCGCCGGTTATTATTCCTTACACACTAACTCGTTATATTTATCTTCAATATTTTTTCAATCAAATCTTTGTACATAGTTTTAATTAAGAATACAGTAATGAATTACTCAATTATGGTAAAATTGTTTTTTTTACACGTGGCTTCGCGTCAATGAAATTAATCGAATAACGGCAGACAGGCGTGACAGCTAATTTTGAGGTTATTTTTGTCACATGTTGTTACTATGATCATTACTCTGCCTAATTGTTGGTTGTTGATATTCTCTTCTCTTCTCGGAAGGGCGTCTCAATAACAGTGAAATATTTAATTTAAACATAAAAACATCTTTTGAACGAATTATGATATTTTAAGTAGGCATGTTCTGAATTAGTAGTTACGGAATAAAATATTCAGGAAATGGCCACTGCGGCTCTGACGACAAGCCTTTCCAATTTTCATCAAAATTTCGAAGACCTCTTCACGAAGATGTCGCTATATCTCACCGATGACGCGTTGGGTTTCGGAATTTCGCTTCGTTTATGGTTTATTTGCATAAGCCCGAGATTTCAACAGCCCCAAATAAACCAAGCCTACGGCGTTAAATGGCGTGACCATGGTAGGCAGTTGACATCAGAATTCGTCTGTCAATTTGGTCTGGAAATCGTTGCTACAATGAATCAATTGTTCCATGCGCGGTGTGGCAAGTGCCGCTGCGCTGAAACTACATTTCGTCCCGAGCCATGCCGTCCAATTCAAATCACAAGAACTCCGATATGACGCTGCTGTAACGAATATTGCGAATTTTATGAGCGATCTTAAGTTAACTTCCTCATTTTTGTAATTGGTTTTCACAATATTAACGCCTTCTTCTCTTGGGCAGTCATTCTTCTGAATCCATTTTTAAATAGGCACACACAAAGCTGACAGCTGTCAAAATACACAGATGCTACTTGCACGGAAAATAAATACACAATTTCAAGTTTACTCTCTTTGAAACGTCTAAGGCATACTATTTTTAATCAGACACAACTGACTAGAGGGTTTTTTCTTATCTAAGCTAGATACATAATTGTTCATAAAATTACGAAATTCTGTTATTTTCTAACATCTACCTATGTATTTTGCATTTTTACTAATAGCAACTCACTACAGATTATGATTATAATGTTTAGACGATATGTAGATGCATATCTATTTGATATGTTACTTATTATTTATTCTCATATATCAATTGTTCTAATTGATACATACCTACTCCTTAGAATGAACTTATCTATTTTTTGTTAATTTATACTAAACAAACACCCGTAGCAGTTGTTCACAACTAATCACATAGTTCACAATCACAAATGTTTTTTTAGATCCAAGGAACTAAAAAAATCATTGTCAACGTGTCTCAATATGAATCAAAATATCAACAAACATTATAACCTACGAAATGCAATTAATCTATTTTTGTTTTTTAATGATTTATTGTTGAAATTAAACACTTCTCACGTACACAACTAAGAATTTAATAACGTAATTTGAACTTGTTTTAAAATTAAGGTAATTTAATTTTAGCCCATTTGTTTAACAGAAGCTGTCTTTTATACTTTGCGTAATCAAAATGGCTGCCGATCTTTTACACGTTGGCGTAAAGGAAGCCATTATAATCATAGATAACTTTTAATGTTTTATTTAACTTTTATAATACGTATTCACTTACTATCCAATTTTTCAAGATGATAACTATATTTCGTTGAACCACTTTGCTTTGATTCAAATAAACCGGCTTGTCAATATTGTCGTCGCGACATTTTGTAAACATTACTAATAAGACAGAGTATCAAACAATAGTCTATAATCTATGAAGCCCATCATACAATCGTAAAGATGTTTAATTATTTTATACGTACATACCTCATCAATGAAAAAAACAAAGCGTTTCGTTATATCGTTCTACATAATTTAACAAAACAACCAGAACTAATATAAATGGCTTAAAAAAATATATATTCTGGATTTTTTCTCATATTTATTTAAGCACTTGATGAATTTTAAGTTTCTTTCTAGCGATGGTTAAATGTTCTTTAGAAATACGGTCTGACTGAAGTGAGCCGCAAAAGATCGCGCAGGTTGTAGGTGCTAAAGTATTACCCTGTGCAATAAATAGTACTTTTGCAACAATTCCAATATTTCTTCAACTGACTCATCTGTTTATTTAATTACATTAATTATGATAGTGTAGCCATGTGTTCCTATTGTAAAAAATATTATATTCTAAATAGCTTTTGGTTGTTTGCATAAACGAGCTGAGACGCATTTAAGTTTGGCGCGAATTCCATATGTTCTAGAAAAAAAGATGTCGATGAGGAACCATCTCTTGAAATTTGATGTTTTCATTCTCTCCTGGGCGTAATAAACGTATGCAAATAACTAATACATATAATATTACATACACACATTTCATTTTTTAACACTGCAGACTTTTCAAACAGATAAGTAAGGTTATAATTTTTAATATTCATGTGCTAACTTACTTAACTTACACGACCCGTAGTTTCTACTAGTGGGTGTATCGAATTGTTGCTTTATTTGATGAATTGGAACTTATTATGGTACTCGCAATACGCATAGGTGGCCTGATACCGTATATGTTCTAGGCATGCTTGTTTCAAAGCTCTCTAATGCTTGCCAAAAAGTTAAATTCATAAGTATAAAATATTTAATCCTTTTTTAAACGTATATGTAATCTAATATACGCGCCTTATTCATTTGTACTTAACGTTTTTAATTTATAAACTGCTTTTCTCGGTCATGTGTTTAAGAACAAAAATATAAGATCGTTAACATTCGCCTGGAGTTTCCTTCTTGTTTCATAAAAACAAAGAACTGGAAGAGTAAAACAATGATTTGATAAAAATATTTATTTCATCGCTTAATTTTATACAATTATGTCTTTAGATAATTCAATATTGTCAGCGAAGGTTGGCTTTTCTCCAATTGTCCAACGATTGCATATCATGGCAGGCAGCTTCTATCTTCTTATCTTGGATTCATTAGTGCGCCTAGTATAATAACAGTTAAGGAAATTGTTCAAATTCTCGTTTCAATGAATCGATTAATCAAATTAGCTTTTGTTAATTGTACCAAAAATAAAAGAAATAGTTATTTTATTTTAGGTTACTTATTTGTTAAGACTTATTTCTGCTAGGGCGAAAACTTCAATACCTACGCAGATAAAATAACGTATAAAAATAATGCAATTTACAGAATTTTCTATTGCTGCAAAAAAATTTACGAAAATAATAATTAATGAGCATATTAAGTTTCAATACACTTTCAAATATAATTGTCTATAAATAGAATAACAGGAGCTTCGTCAGTTTTCAGTTACAAGTTCAAGAGATAAAATCGAAACGGACACAAATAAATAATAAGTAAAAATGCTTTTTTATGGAAACCGGTCATAAGCAGGGACGTCTTAAACTAGGATGGGGCCCTTGGGCACACAAGAACTTGAGGCCCTTTTGGAAAGTAAAAAAAGCGAATTATAATAACATTTTTTTACTGAGTATGACAATTTATTATAGGTAATCAAATACAGTATGATATAATATGTCATTAATGATATTAATGTTTTTTGGTTACGATTGCGATAACGGTTTCTTTCGGGATTTCTGTTGAGCAAAATCTTCTATTATAGGCATAGTATATTCCTTGTAAATTCTGATTACTGATTTCTGAAAAAAGTATAATGTGCCCGACAAAAATGTTCTAAGAATAAACGTGTGAGAGAAATAGTCGGTCTTTCGGGGGCCCCTGAGAATGGGGGCTCAGGGCACGGGCCCCGTGTGCCCTTATGGTAAAGACGGTATTGGTCATAAGTTTACTATTTTAAAGTGCGTCTATAGTCTTTTAAAAGACTATAGACGCACGTACATAGATCGAGTTAGACATCAACTTGCCTCTGTAATGTGGTGACCGCTTTGAATCAGATGTATACTCGCCAAGGGTCTGACTAACGCATTATACGTAGAGCTAGATTTTTGAGGTTTGATGCATCACTTATAATAAATGTAGAGGTTCTTCAGCTCAACAAACCGTTTTAACACGATACAACCTAGTTAGATGGTGTCATTATCCTCGATATTTTCCAGAGCTAATCCTCTAATTTTTAATTGTCGTTGCAAAAAATCCTCGGGTATTTTTACCTACCTGTTTAAAACATACCCATAGACTGTGATTTCCAGAACTTCAAAGCTCTACAGCCAAAAGTATGAATAAAACTAATGACAACAGACCAATACTTTCACCCTGAATATCTTAAGGAGCCTTATAAGCAGATCGTCTTACATTAACATTACAGATGTTCAATTTATCAGTTTTATCAACTACGGCCCATCTGATGGTGAGGAGTTACCATCACTCAAGAATGTTAGTTATGTTCGAGGCACAGCCAAACCACTGAGTACTTACCGCAAAACTCGTTTGCAAAAAGATATGTGAAAGGAAACACCGAGGAATGAATTGTCAGTTTCCCTATTTCCAAATGTACCCCTGTTCTGCTGGTTACTTTACGAGAATGTACTTCAATCACATCATTCGCCATGGGAGTATAATAATATCTTCAAATTTCGCAGTATTTATTAGATACCGCTAACATGACTTGTGTCCTTGTGCAGGGGCAAACACTTACCCATCAATCTGAGTACCCGCTCATTAGGGCAATTGCGATAGTCATATATTCCACATTCTTTGGGCTTTACACGCAAGCAATGCATATCTAACATGACTTTTTACCTTGATATTGATATTTTCTGTATATTTTTACAGTATATGTATACTTATAACCTATCTTTTACCGATTATGTACGACTTAACCTTAACCTATTTTCAAAAGGGCTCCAAATAAACGCTGTTTCATATTAACTTGGACTGCTAATCATTTTTCTATAAAGGAGTTTCTTAATTTGGGTCGCATAAAAACTATTTTTCCAAATTTTATTCCTTCTTCGTTCTTACTCTCATGCATATATCATTAGTTTCTCAATCCGATTAGTTTTTCTACATTAAATTGGGCACTTTTATCGTATGCCGCGTGTGATGATCGTGGCTTGCAATGTATTTTACGAAATTCCTAACGTGATATTTTAATAATAAGTAGCCATAATGGCGGCCTGTCTGTATAAGCCATTAACTACATCTATCAATTCTCCAGTTTATTCTGTACTTCAGATATTATTCTTTTAATATTTATTTTGTTCTTTGAAAAGGATATTGTTTATCTCTGGCTTCTTCGTGGGAACGGTCACGGAATGGTGATTTCTCCTGCACAAAAGAAAGTGTCAATCGTAATTTTTTATATTCAAAGCATTTTATAATCCTCCGTTTAACTAATGTTTCCCTGTTGTGAATTCTTGGAAATCTTTATTAGAATTAGTAAAAATGGGTTCCCAAAATATCGTGAAAGCGGTATAAGCGGTATATACTCTTGGGGCGAGTGATTGAGTTCCCGTGGCAACACCCAAAAGAAATGGTGGACAGAATTGTTTTAGTCTTCAGTCTACCAATGATCATTTCATTTGCAACAGCACGGTAATATCGAGATATCTTAATATTTATAAACGCCAATGTTTTCATAATGTTTTTGATACTGTTGCGAACGGTACAACGGATAGATCTATTTACATACACTAAACGGTTTTCTTTCAGTACCGTATAAAGCATTTAAGATTGATGATCCTGATAATCTCTTATAAGATGGGATCAGAAGTGTCACATCTTTGTATGGTTTCATTTATTGGGATATTGATAGGGTTTTTTTCAAATATACTTTCAATTTACGTGTAATATTCTCATTTCTCAATTTTGTTCTGACCACATTTTATACAAAAATCTAATCCCAAATCAGGTATGAAAATTGTATGTTATTTCTTAATTTAACGCTGCTGACGTCACTTCATGTATTCGTAAACCATACAGCTTAGTGAAGTTTGACGAGTGCTTATGATTGTCCCCCCACATTAACAATGTCTGACGAGCGATTTCGCCAACGTAAGTCAATAAATAAAAGCTGCGTACTATTATTGAAAAGAATTCAATACAGCAGTATTTTTTATGAGCCGTGGACTGAGAACTCGTTTGCCAATCTGACCTAGTTAAAAATACAAAGTAATACAAAACGAGGATGACGTTTCTTGTTAATTATTTTCAACGAAATTTACCCTTTTGTATTTGTCGTAATGGTGATCTTCTTGAGAACCATTCTGATGACCGCTCATCTTGATTGCTCCTGTAAATTACAACAAAAGGTTGTAAATAATATAAGCAATAGATACAACGATTATTTTCACTCAAAGATACGGAAAAGATTTCATACTAGGTTAGGTATAATAACAGTTTTTTTTTATTAACTTACGCTGCCAGAGACCAAACTCTTTAGTGAATAGATTTTAAAAGAGGCGATCGTCTTAGTCTAAGAACGGCCGTTTCCAAGCCGTCCGTGTGACACGGTTTGTTGTCATTATCTGGTTTCTAATGAGATGACTTGGTATTATTTTTCAACACTAAAAAGTATCGCTTCAGAAAGAAAAAAAAGTTCAGAAGTCGATTATCGCTTAACTTTATTGAAATGTATTTCTTAAACATCATTATACATTAAGGACAAGCTAGATGAAAGCTCAATTCTTTACTTCCGGAATAAATTCTCCATTCTCCAGGAGATATTCTGATGGCTTTTTTTGTCCCAGACTTATACCTTTTTTACTTATATTAGTTTTTTTTTTTCATTTGAGGAAATTGATTATTAGATTCTGCCAGTCTAATCCCAAAATTTTCGTTATAATCTATATTAAAAAATTGAATCTATATATTTTGTACCTTTTTGTTCGTCTCGGCGTCTCTTTTGTTCTAAAATTGTAGATTCCTCAGCTCTGTCCTAAAAACGTGAAAATTTTATTTCACGCGGTCAACTACGTTAAGGTAAATAAATATCATTTAACGAATCGAATATTACATTTTTTTCGAAGTAATCAAATTTTTAAAACGAGATGATATATCTCATGTACGATTACTTACAAATTACAAATGAAGATCTAGTTACTCTTCTTTGTAAAAAAAAAAAACATTTAGTTATTTTTTATGACTTTATAACAGTTTATAAATATCGTGTAATGCAGTGCAGTAACTCACCCTCTTGCGGTTCATCTTACGCTCTTTGCGTTCATCACCTCTAACTTTAGTCTTCCTTTTTTCCTTTTCAGGAGATCGCTCTTCTAATTCTTTGCTAGCCTGCTTACGTAGAAAAATGTTTAAATCTCTGAGCAAAGTGTCAAATAACATAATTCGTGTCAACGATTCCAAAATAAATACATCTACGGACCGTAAGACAAAAGGCTCACCGAATGAAGACCAACATCAAGAAATTACTCATTTAAAAAAAATCGTCTTCAATGTAACTTAAATTTCAGTTTTTTAGTTCTTCGGGTTCCATTTCCAATGTGATGTCTCTTGCCTCGTACTTTCTTCTTTTGAAGGAGTAACTTCAACTTTATCATGTTTCAATACTTTTCTTCAGCTGCAATTTTTTCTCATCTGTCCGTTATTCATTAGAATTGTTTAGACAAGCTCTTCGTTATTATTTTGTAGTATGAAAGATATTTCAAATAATAGAGGACTACAGAATATCTTTGTTTGTTTGATCTGTGTTTTCTTAATTTTGAAATGTACATTTTTATTTTCACTGTGTTGATAATTATTGTTTTACAGCTCATTTTGTGTTTGTTTTTTTCATTGCTCCGTTTTGTTGTTTTATGTTTCTTCGTTCTTGCATACTTCAACATCTTCATTGATCTATTTTTAAAGGTGATGGTTCTCCAATAGTTGGTAATTTATTGTTTAAATAATATTACTTGAAAGTTGGATTAGTGAGAATTTTTGTTTAACGTTGGTTAGTAGACGAAAGTTTACAGTATTATTAGTTTCTTCGGAAATTGGTATATGGAGCTTTGGTCTTGTTGAAACAACCTGAAGCTTGCACGATCTTGCAGATATAACTGTCCGCGTTGCTTGACTGAAACTGGACTTACGAACCGCCTGCCTATTGCAAGTTTCTTCATTAATATCGTTTGAATATTCTATTACTGCTTGTGGTTAATTTGTTTCGATAACTCTTCAGCAGATTTCGTCGAATTCACCGTTATTTTATTTTCACCAATTTGTTCCTCATTTATTTGAAGAATGAGTAAGTTTATTGGCAACGTTACGCAAAGTTGTACTTAATTCAGTGAACCTTTTGACTTACGCAGATGTCGTCTGATGAATACCTCATCATGATGCAGGGACTGGGCTTAATGGACTTACGACTCACAACTTTACGGCTTCACTTTGTATTTGAATTGTTCATTAGCGATTGTCCGGGTGTTAGTTTATTCACACTGGTGAGTTTCTCTTGAATTCTTTGAATCACACGGGTCCATCGAGGTAGCCACGCTGCCGCTCGAGTTGTCTTCGATGCCTCAAACCGTTCCAAGCAACGCTTCGGTGCTGTGTAGCTAGCTGACTGCGTGTTGTCACCATTATTAACAATTTGACGATAAATGACGAGCAAACTTGACGATAATTTCATTTATTTTTCGCTTTGAATTCTTCAAGCTGCCAAAATATTAATTGTAGGCAGAGTATTATGTAATTCAGTTTCATCACAATTGCTTGTTTCCGCTATTTAGAAATTCTTCGTTTTTCAAGAGATTTATTTTGTTTAGTTTTTAAATCGATTTCTAATATTTAATTTGGTTGTTTTATTATTATACTGTGCACTTTAAAAGTCTTAAATTTATCACTTGTTTCTCCATTAATTTTGACTGTCTTGAATTGTTATTGATTGTTGTTAGATAATTTCAGTCTGGTTTGTGGTCGAGGTCCAGCCCAATCCTCAGTCCGGGACGTGCACGATGCAAGGCCGGTTTATTATCACAATACTCACCTTGCCGTTACTGCTGTTTTCAACTTTACGTCGCTTTATATCTGAAATAAAATGAATTCGTTTAGAAACACTTTGATCAATTATACTTTGTACCTAAATAATTTATTATTAGAAAAGAAAATTAAATATAAATAAAAGATAACCCATTTTTATTTATTTATATAAAAATTAAATACCTCGTTCGACATCATCTGAAGTGCTGCGATGTTCGTGTGGCGGTGAGATTGCTTCTAAATAATTGCTTTCCTGTTGATGTACGAAACTTAATTTAAGCTTTATAATCTTACGTGTTCGTCCTACTAGTTAAAAGAGGCAACTTCTGCGCCTAAAATACGGATAACGGCTACCAAAAAAAAAACGATTTACCCACTTAACCGAAGAAATTATCACAGTAATTCAAAAGAAATAACATATTGTGTAAACTATACATTAAAAACATTCCATTATATTATTTAATGTTATAGATGTATAAACTTACCCTCTGTAAACGTTCTTTGGGCGATCTATCTTTAATTCGGGTTTCTTCTTTGGACCTTTCCTTTGTGGAGCTGCAAAAACGTTATATTATAAATGCACGAACAGAAATAGCCACACTATTAAATGATCTGACTCAGTAACAACAAGCATCAAGGAACCTAAACCATGGTATCGACATTTACAAGTCAACATGTTTATATACATAGTGTCGAACAACATTCGGATCGACGATCTATTGATTTATTCGAGTGATTATTTCGCATTGTTTTAAGTCTACCTCTTTAGTAATGGCTATACTTAAACCGGTCTGACTGTAATCATGCTCATCGGTGACAAGTATTAGCAAAAGGCAGTAGTGTATTAGTTACTCGTAAAAGTAAACACCGAATTATGAAAAACAAAACTTTTTTATCCACCAGAAAACATATGTTTTTCGACAGACGTCAATGTATTCGGAACGAAATAAAAGTTTAACAAGATCCTCAAACCGCGGAGAAAAAAAAGTATTGAAGGTAGTGTACGTACGTTTTTGATTCTCTTTTGGAATCTTTATCCCGGTCCGCTTCGTCTCGGCGGCGGTCGCTATTGCGCGAGTCCCGTTTTTCACTTTCTGTAAATAAATTTAACTAATATAACAAATTGATAATCAGTCTTGAAATCAGTAACAATTTATACCTAAACGTGTACATAAAACACAATCTTAATTTATAAATAGATGTTTTGATTTACCCACAAAGAAACATGATAATTTTGAAGGCGCAATAAATTTTTCTTTACTTATGTACTCCTCAAATTATCTTACGAAGCAAAGTTTTTGTGAACATTACCGTTATTTATTTTTCTGTCAGTCACAACATCTATAAGCCGCGCCAATAAAGAAACGTATCGAAAATGGCGTTTATGTATCTGCATTGACAGATAGTAGGGTAAACAAATAACAAGAAAGATAGAAAGAAAAAGTTTTTTATTGTAAAAAATATAAAAAAACAAATGAGAATTTACTTTACTTTATTTTTATTTTACTTTACTTTACATTACTGTGAATGACTTTCCTCATTTGTGAAAGGCCATATTATTTACCACACGTGGCACAAAAAAACGATAACAATGACAAATTTAATAAAAACAACAAAATAACAACGAAATAACGAACAAATGCAACAAATAACAACAGAAAAAAAATAGAGCGCGTCGGGACAGTGTGAGAAAAAGTTAGAACTGATTTTTTTATTTGCATGCAGTACGCGGCCTGTGCGACTAAAGACAGCAATAGTTTAGAGTGAGAGCGCATGATCGCCGCCGCCATTTTAGATTCGTTTCTTTATTGGCGCGGCTAATGGGTATATTTGACAATCATTGTCAAGCTAGCTACACGATCTGCAGATATAAGTCTGTGGGAGTGTGTAAAGACCTTGTGGTGGGGGCGCAGGGGCGGGGGTGGGTTCAGGATCTGCGACCACTTCTTCTTTGGGAGGCGCAGCGCTGGCGGCCGCGGTGCTCGCCGCTTTGTGCTTGTCGCTCATCTAAAACATACCGTACACGTTATATTGCTATATCAACTATGCCTTTATTATTTCGTATGGCAATCAAATTCAAATGGTTTAAAATTTTCGAGTTAAAAATTCGGTACCTTTGACAATTACATTTTGAAATTATTTTACGTTTAAACAAAAAAAAACGAAATTAACGCTCGAATTGTCGCCACAAATTCGACAGGTTCTTGAATAGCATAAAGTACGAACTAAAGTTGCTTGATTAATAAAGAGTTTCTATGAAACAAACAAAAATATTATCATTATGCCATTTCCGTTCTATCATTAATGTGCACACGGAGTATACTGGTCGACCTCAACTGTACCGAGGGTAAGCACTAGCTGTAAAGCGCTTCCACACGGTCTTTCGAGTCACACGGTCTGTCCCCATTTCGCTATCGAGAACCTGTCTTTGTACAAATCCGCCTATAGATGATAGCAAAATGTTACCTGATGGAAATCAGCTTCATTCATCATATTCGAGGACTTGTTCCGTAGCTGTCCACTGTAGACCGTTGCTAACACATAAAGATCTTGTCTTTGTATTTTCTCTTGTTCCTTAACCTGCAAAAAAATCAATGTTATAGATTCACTTTGTCTTGTTGGAAATTTGGTTAAATGTACGATACCAAACAATACCTTATCAATTTTCTTTTCGATTATTTGACTTAGCTTAGCCAGAACAGGAAAATGAGGTAAGACTCTTATTAGAACTATGAGGGCGTTACGTATTTGCACGTAGTCGCCTGAATCCAAGCAAACAACCATTGCTTTGGTTATTTTATAATGCCATTTGTGGCACACGTGCCTGAAAACCGATTACATGATTAGTGAACATTCAAAGTATCAATTACGAGTTATCGATTTATTTACGAACTAATTTGTAGTAGTCAAAGAGTGAAAGATAATAGTTTAAATCAACATATTAGATCACCAAAAGAAATATTAGACTTTCGGTTGCTTTTTCGAAAGCTTTCATGATTTTGTGACTAAGATTTTATCAATTCAGACTTAAACATTTTCATGCAATATTAAACATGCAGTAAGATCAGATTACAGTATTGCAGAAATGTAGTCCACCTGTAGTTTTCATATCCGACATGGTCATTAGCTTCAGTGAACTGCTTGGAGACGCGGTACTTGGTGACGAAGCCGGGGTAGTGCGCGCACTCTCGGTGGAAGGCATCCTTGTCGGCGTGCCAGCGCATGGCGGTCGTCAGCACCTTGCAGAGGAACGTGCCGTACCGCGCCGCCTCCGCCTCCGTGCAAGACATCACCGAATACGTGATGTCACAAAACAACTGCGGGCAAATTCATTTTTCAGTCAACTATGTCTTCGCAATCCGCACGGGTAGGTACCACCACCCTGCCTATTTCTGCCGTGAAGCAGTAATGCGTTCCTGTTTGAACGGCGGGGCAGCCGTTGTAACTATACTGAGACTTTAGAACTGATATCTCAGGGTGGGTGGCGCATTTACGTCGTAGATGTATATAGGCTCCAGTAACCACTTAACACCAGGTGGGCTGTGAGCTCGTTCACCCATCTAAGCAACAAAAAAAACTCTTATAATTAAAATAGAAAAATTTAGCAATCGTAATAAAAAAAAAATAATCTCTTGATAAATGTCTTAATATTTATTAATAATAAATCTCGACAACGCTTTGCCGCACGTTTCCCACTTGCTCCAAAAGCTTCTATCGCCATCTATGGTCGATTGATCGTAATTTGTACATAAATATTGTAAATAAACGTTCCGAAATGCATCGCACAAGATGACGAATAATTTACAATTTGCCAAAGTTAGTATTGTATGCTATCTAATAATTTGACTTGTATGTAACAAGATTTAGAAATTGAAGTACTTTGCATGAATGTAGTGTTTTCTTTAAAATGAATTTAAACTCACTTCTAATTTTATATTTTATCATCATGAACTTGAGAGATGCGGAGTCGATGATGAACCTGAAGGGTAACAAACCTCTTGAAACACTATTAATAAATTCATTGAGTACCTAATTAAACTCTTTCGCAAAACGTTGTATATATTAGTTCCTTACATATGAAATTATCGTTTTTTCGTATTGATCACTTTGATCTGAAATATCTCCTCTTTGGTTAAGAATTCCAAATTCAAATTTATAAATTCATTTAGTTGGTACATGTAGGTTTCGAAAACAGTCATTCATTTGTTTTTTCCTCATTAATTTTTTTTTTGTTTGGCGACGCATATTACCGCACAATGGAAAACATGAAATATCGGTATATTTACGAGTACGAGTTCTACCGTGGCACCAGTGCTGCAGAAACAGCTCGAAGGATTAATGATGTGTACGGCGCTGGTGTCGCAAACTATTGTTTACAAATAAAAAAACGGTTTGTATGATTTTAAATGTGCAAAAATAAAAATAATTTCTTCGCAGTCTACTCACCCTATCATAACACAGAAGAGTGGAGAAATTGGGAGTCTTCAGAGAGTGCACGGTATGCACGAACTCGGCGCAGTAGAGCGCATCGGCCGCCGTGAACACGCAGCGCGGGAATATGCACAGCTGCATGAGCCGCGTCACGGTCTCGTTCTTGGCGGAGCGGACCGCCCGCGCCGGGAACCAGTCCTCGCACTCGCGCGCCAGCCGCGCCCGCACCGCCGCCACGTGCGCGGCCTGTCGGCGCCGCTCCTCCTGCAGACCAACGCTTACTGACACTTCCGCATCTAGTCTAAGGTGCACGACAGCACCACGTGGAACTTGTTTTAAGTATTGAGGCAAAAATTTCTGGGAGAGTATTAACGCATGTCACGGGCCAACTACGGACAATGCTGAATACCATAGACTTTGCGAAATAACTGTAAAAAAAAAAATCTGCCTGTGGCTAGAATATATCATGATACACAGCATAAATCGGATTTTTTTTTGGCAACGTTAAATGTTTATACAAAACAATTATCGTCGAGGCCAAAAATGAAAAAGAAATGCAATTAGAAACATTGGAATATTCGGTGCAGGATTTCATTTGAATTGCACTTAACTATTTCTTCTGAATTTGGATTTTTTATATAAAATCAGTAAGTTGATCATTTATGAATTTCCTTGAATGATATTGTTTGTTAGTTTTTATTGAGATAATAATACATTACTGTTTATATCTTACCTGTAGTTTTTCGATGAGCGTATTGAAACGTTCCTGTTCTTTCTTAACTTTGGTTCCTTGAGACGAATCCTTGCTGACGTTAGCTGCTGCTGTTTTTAAACGTTCTATTTCCCTCTCGTAACTTTCGACCGGCACTCGAAGATCGTACATGGATAATGACCTAACAAAATTATTTTAACTTAAAAACTGAGATGTCTCTAATCGTACTAAATGTTATTTATTAACTTTTCTACAAACCAGAATGTAACGTAAAACTCAGGCGAAATGTCTTCTAAAACCCTCGCAGGCAGCATCGGTTGTATTGACGATACAATAGGTTCCAAGGCTTCCTTTGATGCCACATTGTATCTTTCTATAATCTTCTCTATTGAATCCGATTTGCTGTCCGATGCTTTACGTAAAGATTCCAACTTGGCGGATATCTTTTGGTTTATAACTGGACGATGCAAAAAGAATGCGACGTCTGCATCTACGTGGTAATCACGCAGCAGTTCCTAAGTAGAATTAACCAAATTTAAATAAACTAAAATTAACAAAAAGTTTACAACTGCCTCGTAGTATTGACTCTTCTGAGCGTTACTATAATACTAACTCTCTGTCTTACTCATGGCCGACGAGCTCACAAGGCACCCGGTACAAAGTAGTTACAACCGAAGCCCGTTAAGCACAATATCAATGCCTTCACCAACTTGAGATATAGTCTTAATTGTATTGTATGTAACGGCTGCACTACCCTTCTGCAAGACCGTCGCAATGGGAAGGATGGTGACACTTCACTATGCTCCCTAATAGCAGTAACTACTCATTAACTTTATTAGGAATTTAATTAATTACCTGTAACGATGGCAGCCTCGCCGCATATTCATCGGGAGCATGTGACGATGCTAAGAATGTACCAAGCTGAACCAGAGCATCCTGACATTGGTCTGCCAATCTACCCACCACCTTTAGCTGGGACCCTGGAGGTTCGCCACTTATTTGAACGTCATCTTCGTATTCTGGGAATTACAATACATTTTATATACTTATTATTCACTTAAAATCACTGTATTATTAAAATTTCATGTATTTATTTACCTTTCCAAACGCAACAATGTCGCTGTTGCGCCGCCAATATACAAAGCGATATGTCTAAGTTGTTTCCGACTATGGCATCTTTGAGTCGCGCAGAAGAGCGTCTCGTGTTACGCACTTGTGAAAAGTAACCAGCCTGTACAAATGTGTGATTTGAATAACTGAACAAAAATATCAGATTTGACTTCAACTTAATATTTTTTTACCTCTCCTTTAAGTAATTCACCTCCCGCCATAGCCTCTAACTGCTCGGGTGTCATTTCCTCAGCAGCTTCTATACCGGCCATTTTTTGTACTATTTCTTTTAATACTATCAAGTCTTGACTGAAAATATATGAGTTTTATTACATTACGAATCTTCGTTGTTCATACTGTTACGCCGGTAAGAGCATTGCCATCTATCGTTGAATAGCAGAAACGAGTATTAAAGATAGTAAAATCGGGAACGCTCGAGAAGTACAACGCTATCTATTGTCAAATAGCGGAAACACATATTGAAACTACTCGACTTGTCAGGTATGTTCTCGATAATTCTAGATATGTGGTATCGACTATAAAAGCGTTGCAGAGATGACCTGGACTTAGTTAATAATCGAATCTACTCGAAGCGAAACTGCGAACGGATTACCTGAAGTGTAAGTGTTTCAAGTGTTAAATAGAATTTGAATTTGTACTTCGGTGGAAGTTTTATTTATCCCGAACACCAGCGCGTAACAATACTTTGTAACCTTTGCATACCTCTGTTGAGCTTTGAGTCGATTAGCAACAAACTGCAAAAGAGCAGTTAACTCAATGTTGTGTTTCTTGAAGGCTGCCCCGGCGAACGAGGCTAGTGCTTGTAGCCACGCAGGTGGCGTCGAACGTCGAGAGCCTAAAGCCTCAACTAAACAGTATCCCAGAACATCTAAAGATAGAGACGTCAAATATTTCATGGATTCTACTACTGGTCCTATCAGATTGTCGTATGTTTGTATCTGGAACAGAAATGATTATATATATATTATAGTTATAGTTATAGCCCATTCATAAAACATTAAAGGAAGAAGTAAAACTGCTTTATGGACTGAATGCCAATTACCTGCAAGAGCACGTAATCAAACAGAAAGGCCGGGGCGGCGTGCGACAGTTTCCCGATGAGACGACCTTGGGGCTTGATATTCTCTTTGGATACTCGTTTCATTATGTGTTTTATTTTCTGCAATGAGTTCCCCCGGACACGAATGAGAGCAGGTATTCGTTCGCCAGCCTCATTTTTCCAACGCGCATAGAGACAATATCTTAAACAAGTTTGTAAAATAAAATAAACATCAAGATTTATGTAATTTAGCATATTTTATTAGTTATTAATTATTCTTTACCTGCACTGATATGGATATAACTTAAGTAATGTGTACACCTCTTCAGCCATACAACAATTCCCTTCCATCAGTGTAAGAGCCGGTAATATTGCGGTATCCAAAACGGTTAGTGCCTCAAAATGTAATGGATCATCTTTTTGACCGCGAGCAGTTCTAAGTATTCTAATGACCTAATAAAAAAAACAAAATTGAGTGGGTGAGCGTAAACTCAATAAATGGTGATGAATCTCCTTTTAGAATTTTCAAATGGTGCAATTAGAACCTATTAGATGCTAAATGGATAATCATTTCCTTACTTATTATTTAGTTTCCCAATGATAATCTATTTTTTGTGTGACTTTTGAAAGTGATAATTTGTTCTCAGACGGCTACCCCGCATTGTCGTGCATTTATACACTATAATTTGTACAAGATCGCACTTGCCTTCCGACAGTGTTATTATAACTATTTATCGCATATTAACGCATTGTCTCTTATTAGATAGCTTATTCCAAGCTTCAAGCCAATTTGCTTTTATTTGTCTCCAGACAGTGGTTAGGTAGGTAAAGGATATGGATTTTATGGAGTCGGATTAAAAAGTATATTACTTTGTCTATTGGCGTCTACAAACAAACCAATAAGATCCTTAAAACTGATGGAAATTAGACACATATAGATATCAATTGTTGAAAGAATTTCACAATCATTAGCACTAAATTTCAAACAAATTGAACATAGATGAATTCATAGTTAAAATAACTTGAACTTAATAAATATAGATTAAGAAAATAAGACAAAAAAATTGTACGACAATCTCTCTTCATTTATTTACATCAACAAAGATAAGTAATGAGTTTCTCATCGGATTTTCTCAGTGGTTTGCGATTCCTATCAGTGTTATATTTGACAAAGCACTGCTTCTGCTTGGACTAGCGTTAGAAAATTATTTCACAATGTACATGAACACCGTGGGGGAGCTCACTAACCAAGGTGAATCCAGAATAGCCCCTCGAGGGTACTGGCAGATGAAAAAGCAGTCCTTCAATATAGTCAAATCCCATATTGATTAATTTCTTAAAATAATTTTACAAATTATTTTTGAAGTCTTCCTATAAGGGCAATAAAATAAAAAAACTTACTTTGTACATCAAGACAGGGTCATGATGAAGGGCTGGACCAAGCAATATAAGGGCTGGTATAACTGTTTCTTTCATGTCTTCGAATGTTTTACAATTAGGTGGTGCTAAATTTGATTTAAGTGGAGGTACTGGTTTTCCCAGGATTTTTGAAGCTACTCGGCATTGCCTAAAAATTTAATTATTTATTGAAAATAATTATTGTAAATTTTTTCAGAAAAGCCTCTTATAAAATATAGAAAAGATTCATGGTAAAGCTGTACATTATATTCATTGTAGTAATCTCTAATAAATCATTCATAACTAAATAACAGTTTATTACATTGAATTTCTACATCGTATTCATTTCATACATGGAATGTTTTGTTGTATGCTCTATGATATTTTAACATCCCATGTTTAATCATTTTTGCTGTATACCCAAAAGGATAGCCCTTATAATAATATAATACATATTTTTTGGCAGATAAGATTTTGGCTATGGCTTTGGCTGGCCATGTCCATAAGCGACGGGAACTACTTACTGTACTACTGCTTAGTGTTATCACGTCAGCAAGCTTAGGCTATTAGAAAACGTAAAAGAGCATTTTAGGACAACCTTATTGAATTCAAAGGTAAGACTTACTTTCTATACAATGGTTCTACAACAGCATGCAACAACCCACAAAGGGCTATTGCTGGTCTTGGCGGCATCGTAGTAGTGGGAAGACGCGCAAACAGTGAGGCAAACTCTCGCCACGCATTGACTCTCAATAAAGTTTCACATAACACTAGCTTTTGATTGCTCCAATATTCCTAAATAAATAAATAAATTATTCAAGCATTCCAGATTCAAAAGCCTACCTAATAGATACTGTGCTAGAGGTTCCAGAAAAATACAACACAAGAATATAACAATGAACAGACAAAATTCGGAATCGAGCCTGGATCCCAGTGTTAAGTAATTAGGAATAAAGAATCCATCAAAATTAGTAAAATTTATGAAATATTTAATTGTTTGTCTTTTTGACCATTTTTCAAATATCTAAAATATCACATTTATATTAATTACAACACAATATTTTACTAGTTACCTGCGGATCAGCTTTATCTTCTATAAATTCAGTGGGGGCATTTGTTTGTGGTCCTTTGGTAGACACAATGTTAATTTTTCTTATATATTCTTGAACTGCTTTTATTTCTTTATCAGCTTGTTTAGCTATTATCACATCATCTGGGCGAAGCTACCAACAAAATAGTAAGAAACATTTTTCATTAATATTAACATAACTAACATACTTTAATTTTATATATTCATAGAATTATTGTACTCACCCATGGATAGATGTCATCTAATGATATAACCTGATGTTGTAAAAGCAATGCAATTACAGTCATCAACGGTGGAGGTTCTGTATAGTTATCAAGAATTTCCATATTACTCAGTTTGAAACCTAAAACCTCAGAAATTACATGAGGATCTGCCATGTAACTCTTAATAAGCGGTATAAAAAGAGCATCTAATTGTGGTCGGGCTTCAAACGATTCTAGAATTATGTCAAGTACCCTGTTTGGATCCAAATTAAAACAACCTGAAATAAATTGTGTTTAAAAATGAAATAAACATGTAATTCATTACATTTGATTTAGATTTGTTATCATAGCCAGTGGACTGTTACTCAAACCAATAGACACCACAATATGAATTGTGCTGTTGCCCATCTCAATAGATCAGATTAAAGCATTACTACTCAAACACATTAACGGCTTCAGGGCAGAAATAAGCAGGATTAATTAATATTTATTACAATTGTCAGACTATTTGAATTATTATTTTTATTGTGCCAAATTATTTATAGTGTAAATAAAATTTCAGAAAAATATAGGTAATGTCTACAATATACTTTATAAAAATAGTATCTTTATAACATTTAGAGAGTTACAGCTTAATATCTGTGATAATAATCTGTTAATTAATGTGTCTGCATCCCTGACCTCTTGTTAATTCTCTATAAATCATCAATGGTAGCAGCACCCTTATCTGTTTTCCTATCAAAATCCTAATTCCTTAGTATTTATAAAATTTAGCACAGAGGGGTACTAACACCCTGCCAATGCTATCATGCACTATTAAATCAGTTCACCCTATAAACTTGCTGTTCTACCCATTTCATTCACCAACCAGAATCTCAAACAAACAAACAGGAACTAAGAAGAACAAAAACTTTGGCATGCTTTCTGGCTCAATTTGAATTAACTCTTACCAATAAGAGATTGAATTATTTCAAGCAAATTTTTCCATTCTGTATCTTCATTTATTTCTTGGTTCAATTCAACTATTAACTTTGAGTATCCTTCACTTTCTTCTCGAAATAAGTTAAATTTACGTTGTTTGTAGCTAAAAATATAATTATATTAGTACATATAACAATTAATCTATTTCATAGCATATCACTTTTTTTAACATTTATTTCATTAACAACACGAGTGTACATATGTGTTTGGCAGATACATTTAAATTCCCAGGTCAAATAATCATACAAGTCTTTCAAGTGACTTTCAAGATGGGCTGCTCACTTTGAGACATTTCCAATATTGTGTCACTTTTTATTTTAGTAGGAAACAAACATGAGGTATGCAAACTCAACTTCTACTAACTTAAATAGCTCATATGAGTACCAAAATTATTGATTTTAGTATTGAATAATTAACAGAGCATTTTCAATCAGGTCTGTTACATTCATAGAGTGAATTTGTAAAGGAATGAAATGGTATAGTCTATTTGGATCTTTACTTGTATGATGGGATGGTATGTACCATAATAAAAATAAATATTTCTGTAAGCTGTTGTCAAAATTATGCTGTGTATGATGCACAAATTTTATGTAGTGATTTTATGAGTAGTTATTATTAGGGAATTGTTAGTTATAGTATTTCTCATTTGATATTTAGTATTCAAAGTCTAAGTGTACTTCAGCTTATCTTATATGTGTTACCAGTTCCTATAACATTGTTTATTTATATGCTATTGTATATTGTTATGTAATAAAAAGGTTGACTGGAGTGAAAGACATCGAAAATAAGAGTGGTATATGAAGTATACAAAATGATTGCAGACTGAAGAAAAACTACAAACCGTAAAATACACAAACACCCTCTTATTAATACATTTTAATTTGTAGTAAAAAAAAGAGAAACATTCCATTATGCAAATCCAGTAAAATCCAGTAAAAACCTGACTACATATTTGAACACCAAATTTCAGTCAGTGATTCAAGAAATAATCATTTTTTTTTTTTTTTTGTAACAGGAACAAAATAATCAGACAAGAAAAACAGCCCACTCAGAAATCACATTACCATCCTTCAAATAACAAATTTTTGACAAATGTTTTGTAGACTCCAGTAAGATTAATTGGCTAATTTATTTTGCACTTCAGACCATTCTATTTCAAAATATTCAAGATCTCAATGTGGCTGGATTACTCACTGTAAACTTAAATAGCAAAATTCAATTTGCATTTTGACAATATTACTTACTATAATTTAGTCTTGATCTTTATGAATTTGGTGTAGAAGTTTTTGTTCTTTAGGGTACCAGCATCTTGTAATGTATCTATCTCTAATCTTTCTTTTAGTAACTTATCAGAAATAAATGGCTCCAGCTCTCTCACAATGTAGCAGAAATAAGCCCGCTCATCGCTTTGTACATCTAGGCTGGTTTCAGCATCCAAAATTGATATGATATCCAATATTATTGATGGCACATCTGCATGCAAATTCTGAAAATAAGTGTTTATGGATATAATGACAGAGTGCTTCACAGAGATTCAAAATGGTGCATAATAATTTCGTTACTTACAGTTATTTCTCTTAAGAAGGATAAAACGGTATCTTTTTTAAGGTTTCCTTTCAGGCCACAAAGAAGAAAATCATAGACACTTTGAGAAAATCCAGACATTTTCCCAGACTTTGAAAATAGTGGAGTCCTATGTTCATCTTTTGTGAATTGCGTCAAATGTTTCAAGCTGAAAAAATATTGCCTGTTAGAGGACCCGTAGAAAAAGAGACACTGAGAAACAATTGTAGGGTTTGATGATACTTTTTGATTTGAAGATATTAATATATATTTTTTTATGTAGATGAGGGACTTTAATACATTTATTAGATATGTGTTACATTAATAACATTAGCTTATATGCTTATTAATGTAAATAAATCAACATGTGGAAAAAATAATTCGTTTCGCAGACTTTGTTTGAGTTTTATAACTGTTTCTCTACTTACAACAATTCTCGACCAGATTTGTCCCAGTTTTTACAGTAATCAGATACGAATTTTGCGTAGGATCCCATCGTACCAATAAACGGCGATCTATTAATTATAAGTAAATTATTCCAGCGGTACTAGACACGCGACCGCCATTATTTTAACATAATGTCATAGATTGTTTTGCTTCGCTTTTCCAATTAGGAAGGCAAAGGAACGCAAGTCAGTAAAAACTTTTTTATGTATTCTCACACCTGTATAATGGTATTATATTATAAGATGCTAAGCTGTTATCAAGCCTCCAAATAATCTATTAAATACTATACTGGTAAATAAAAACGAAACATTTAATAATTCCATGTTTTTTATATTGAATATTTCAATATTTTTTTTATTTTCTTATTTCCTAAATGAATGTATCCTCTTCCTTGCGTCGTATTCCTCACTGCTGAGGGTCGTTAGTGGCCACCCTTTTGTATCACCTTCACACGCACGATCTTTCTCCATCTATTCTTGTCTCTGACGGTGTGGAGGGCGTTGTGCAATGTGGAAACAAGAGCGGTGCGGATCTGGTCCGACCAATGTATGAATAAATGAATGTATAAAGATACAAATATCAATCGATATTAATTAAGTCTTTTATTGATTTTATTTTAGAATTGAAATCACGGCCACCAATTTAGGTGAGTGGTTCCGGAAGTGGCGCATCGACATCAACCCCATGGAAAACATAATCGTGTTCACCTAAAGGGGGCGCCCTCTTGACACCACTGCTAAAAACTAATCCAGAATTAGGCACGGTAACTCCATTGCCGACATCAAAATGTTTGGTCGGCCCAAGCTGTGGGCTTCAAAAGCTCAGTACCCAGATGCCACCCTCGACGGAGGGATGAAATTTGGTCCTACATTTAAGACAGTACGCGACCGAGCCTCGTTCCTACTCGGCCAACTCTACCCCATGATCTAGAAGCGAAGTAAATTGTTCTTTCGTTAATTTTTTTTCGCATGTAGTTTTCCTACCTTTACCATAAAAACAAAAACAAAAAAATTGGTCCTTCGTAACAAAGTGACAGATACAAAAGTGCATACATACATTACATTCTTATGATAGCCGCCGCTAAGTCTTACTAGTTTTTGGGCAAAATGTGTCACTGAAATGAAAAGACACAAATGTGTCTTTTCATCAGACTGAACTATATCTATCTTCTAAAACTATTGTTGAACGGCATTGTATGAAATTTGGCACAGAGATAGATTATAGTCTGGAATAGAACATCCTAACTAATATTATTAATGTGAAAGTGAGTTTTTTGTTTGTTACTCTTTCACGTAAAAACTATTGAACGGAATTGTAAGAAATTTAGCACAGAGATTATAGACTGGAATAGGATATAGGCTATATATCATCACGCTTTGGTTATGGAGTTACGTAGTATCTATAAACGCGGGCGAAACCGCGGTTGTTAGCTANTCTGGAATAGAACATCCTAACTAATATTATTAATGTGAAAGTGAGTTTTTTGTTTGTTACTCTTTCACGTAAAAACTATTGAACGGAATTGTAAGAAATTTAGCACAGAGATTATAGACTGGAATAGGATATAGGCTATATATCATCACGCTTTGGTTATGGAGTTACGTAGTATCTATAAACGCGGGCGAAACCGCGGGTGCTAGCTAGTTAATTGATAAAACAGCAGTTCACTAAATCATTTACACTCAGAGTAAGTACATAAAAAATAAAATAACCACAGATTTTCCTTTATCTTGATCAGGCTTAGAGCTGACAATCTAGATAACCTCTGTTTTTTTTTTTTAATATTTCGACACGTATTTTATTAAATATTAAAAGTGACGTTAATTTGTTATTGCATTAGTAAAAAATTTGTTTAAAAAAACTACTAACAACACGCTTTATAGAAAATCTACTGAAACTAAAAGGTTAAAAATAATTATCTACATATCAAATAGAACATCATTATGGTATGCAGAACAGAGTGTGACAGTAAATTATCAATCAGCACTGCTCGTGTCTCGTTCGTGAAACACGAACGAGACTTGTGCAGTGCTGATTTTAGTTTGATTGTAACTGAAGTAAAGAATGAAGGACAGAAAATAACTGAAGTACTTCATTTGAAGAATTCATTCGTGAACGACACAGGGCTAGTAGTTACACGACCGCAACGGGGCAACGCAAAGCCGTCGTCGCCTGAAACCTGTTTTGTCGGCTTTGTTTTATTTTCCTCCATTTGTGCACCTTCATATTAGGCAGTTAATAAACCACCGTTATTGCACATTTAAACCTGAAGAAACACTAAATAGACAAAATAAAACAAATCACACAACTTCACCCCTCGCGTTCCCGCCAAAAAGTCACCGGAGTATTTTCATGCAAATAGGATTAGACTGATTTATAAAAAAAGCTGCTGGACGTAACTTCTCGGGATCCTTCAAAAAGTTCACTGAAAAAGTCTCAGTAAATAACCACCATTTTACTAAGATTATATTTCATCCCATATCATTACTGATGGCAGGACCTCTTGTGAGTCCGCGCGGGTAGGTATCTCCACCCTGCCTATTTCTGCCGTGAAGCAGTAATGCGTTTCGGTTTGAAGGACGGGACAGCCGTTGTAACTATACTTGAGACCTTAGGACTTAGATCTCAAGGTGGGTGGCGCATTTACGTTATAGATGTCTATGAGTTACAGTAACCACCTAACAACAGGTGGCCTGTGAGCTCCTCCACCCATCTAAGCAATAAAAAAATTATCTCATCTCATCTCATTTCATATTAAACAATATCATTTCACTTCACTCCATATTATCATTTTTCATATAAATAAAAATAATTTATATAGAAAAGATTAAGCTGTATGGTATGACACCTTTGCCTTTCCAGGTGGAAAAATAAAACTCTACTACTGAAAATACTGCCAAGACTCCCAACTTAAAATTCACTCAATTTGAAATTAATACATCGAAATTTGTCTTCCAGACTTTATATGTAATATTCGTATAAAAATGCCGACATATGAACTTGCTTTATTGTTACGAAACATGCCGAAACCTGAATTAAAAACTTCATTGAAGAGGATCTCACATGCTATATTCGATTGCGGAGGAATCATCAGAAACATAGAAAATTTAGGATTTCGACCAATGCCTTACAAGTCCACTGCACATGGTATGACCCACAAAGAAGCCAACTATTTTATCTTTAAGATAGATACACCCACCAAAGCAGTTATAGACTTGAAAGAGGAATACAAAAGAGACGTTGACATAGTGCGACAAAGATTTTTCAAAATCAAAGAAGAAGAAAGAAAAGCTTGTACTTTAGAGGAGGAACTTCTGCCTCCTGCATATCGTGAAGATGTTCAAAAAATGATACAGATCGGTAAAACACAAGTGAATAGATTTACATATAAGTTTAAATATAATTCTGGTTTAGATTACTATCCTTTCCAAAAGTGAGCAGAAAAGTGTATTGTTTCTTTAATTGTGCAATAAAATAAATTGAAGTCTAGATAGCTATGGAAATCTATGTTTTATTTGAAATATGTTTAGTTTTCATTGTTTTACAGTTTCCAAATTTTAGATATGTCAAAAATGACATACAACATTTGTTAGTTTAATATTGCTTACTTTAGATATGTTTATTTGAAATACAATCTCAATATGTTCATAAATAGATTAACTGTTTCTAATAAACTAAAATTAATTAAGGTTAAATTTTATCCTCAAAAAATTATCATATACAACTACAGCAATGTAAAAAAACATACAGCTTGTAAAATAGCAGATTTGATTAACAGACAAATTCAGACTGAGCAGCAGGTAGCTCAACATTACTTAAGTCTAGCAGTCACCTTTCTCAATGTGAAGTCACTATATCATGGGGCAGGTGGCTTTTTCATGAAAATGTATTTTGAAGAGTTAGATCATATGCAAGGTTTTATAAAATATCAGTTAATCAGAGGAAATATACCAAATATATGTGGAATTGAGAAACCAAATTTACCTGATAACCTTCCATTAATTGAAGCATTTAGATACAGTCTTAAAATGGAAGAACAAGTTAACCAAGTATAGTTTCTTTTATTCTTTGAATTTATTTCTAAAAGTTTTCAAACATTTGTAATTTAATTTTACAATTTTCAGCTTTTAGAAGAGATTGTAACAGAAGCCAATGATATCAAAGATTACCACTGTGCAGATTTTGTTACCTCAGTATATTTGAGTGAACAAATCCAATCAATTAATGAAATTAATCATTATATTATCAAACTTTCATCATTTGGTGATGATATACATGCTATCCACAACTTTGACACAAGCTTAATTAAGCTGTTCCCCTTTAGTAATCGCTTAAATTTATCCAAAACAAAACTATAAATTTAAAAACGTTTTGCTAGAAAGATTTTTATTCACAAGTATGATTAAATTCTGTTAGTTCTGAAAGAACTTTTGTTACATCATCAAGCTTATAGTCTTTTAATAGGGCACACAATTTATTTGATTGATCCACTGTGTTGTTACCATTAACAGATAATGAGCGCCAATCCAAGTACCATTGTACAACAATTTCTGAAATATAAAACTAATCGTTACATAAAATTTGCTATGAAATGACTTTGAAATTAAATGATTTGTACAATAACTATAATAATATAAATAAAAAAACAAATTTAATCAAAATATTACACTGATTGGGCATTTCTGTGATAATATTTACTATGACAGAAATTTCAATGATTACCTATTAGTTCATCAAAATTTGATTGTAATATTTCACTTTCTGAATTTTTCAAAACTGTATAATATTCTTTACATAAAACAGGTTTTTCGGCGTTAATTGCCTTGGTGTCCAGTTCTAGTAAATCTAAAGCCTTCGCCAGAGTAACTTGGTTTTTCTTTTCATATGCAATACTAATGATGTTTTCAATCAATTTGAATGATTTCAAACAACAATCATCAGGAATATCTGAAATGTTTCATAATATTCTATATTAAAGATTAACCACCCGCAGCCTGGAATGAATGTAATTTATATTATTTAACTACTGAAATCATAGAAAACTCGGTACTTAAGTATTAACGCCACCGCGGCAAAAATTTAATGGTTAGTAAGTGTGGACAACTCGAAAAATATGGAAAAGCGAATCAGAGCACCACACTTTTCACCTGGTCTTGTCTGCCCTACCCCTAGAGTGTATATAAAAAAACGGAGGCGCGGAGGGAGAGCAGTCCTCGCCCGCTGTGACGGAGCACGGAAACAGTGTGAGGCGGAGCGACTGAGCGAAGCTGCGAAGCGGAGCACGTGTGACCGTGCTTCGGCACGCAAGGGCGGAAGGGCTGCTCTTCCCGCAGCGCCGGAGATAAGGCGGATTCAAACTTAAGCTCCCTTCGAGTTTGACTAAAATATAATGCAATTTTAATCAAAAAAATTAACCGTGGATATCTTCATAACCATGGGGTTCCGCGGGGTGGGAATGGTGCAGGGGGTAAACCCTTACCCCCTGCCTCCCCTCACCTCCACCCTGACCCAAAATCGACGAACCGTAAAGGAAAGTTTAGCCGAAAATTTCGGTTAAAGTACCGAAAACTCTTCAGTCAGGACACTGAAACAGTTTTTTTTAAATTAACGGTATATAAACTGCCCATTTCAACTGGGAAGTGGTCATTCGTTCCTGTTTTGGGTGGAGCCTGTACAATACAACTGAAACTTCGAGTTGGAGAGGTGGTCGGCGTCATCCACTCTGATCTATATACATGCTCCGGCAACCACATCCACAATCCAAATGGGGTGAATTGAACTTGATTCAATTCAACCCGTTAAAGACACAAGTTTGCGCGTTCACTGCGAAGAAGGACCCCTTTGTCATGGCGCCGCAATTCCAAGGAGTATCCCTGCAACCTTCCGAGAGTATTGGGATACTTGGGGTCGACATTTCGAGCGATGTCCAGTTTCGGAGTCATCTGGAAGGCAAAGCCAAGTTGNATGTTGTATTTGTTATTTTAGTTATGTGTTATTTGTTCTACACACACTTATCACTTTTTATTATTATTCTCATTATCCTCTCGCAGGTCTGCTGGAAGAGATTTCTCAAAGAAATAAGCAGTGCCTTTGTACATAATTTTCCTATTACTCTGTACTGTGTCTTGTTTTCTGTGTGTACATAAATAAATAAATAAAAAAAAAAAAAAAAAAAAAAAATCGTTTATTATTCATGTTCCCGTTATTGGGTGATCTTTTACTACATTCTATTGAAAAACTTTATGTGTCATATTTTGAAAATGTTTTATGTCAATATTTAATTATTTGAGAGTCGTGATAGGATTCTATTCTGAAGTTCGACGTCAGTTTCTTTGACAGGGACCGATTGAGAGTACCCATGTGCTTTTACATTTCAATCTTCTTCTAAAGAACTAATTGAACGTTATAATGTTAAAAATGAGAAAAATCGTTTATTATTCATGTGTCCGTTATTGGGTGATCTTGTACTACATTCTATTGAAAAACTTGATGCCATATTTTGAAAATGTGTTATGGCAAATGTTGAATTTTTTAAGAATCATGATAGGATTCTATTCTGAAGTTCGATGTCAATTTTGTTGACGGGGGACTGTTTGCGAGTACACATGTACTATGAATTTTATTTCTATTTTATGAACGAATTAAACGTAATGAAGCTGAAAATGAGAAAAATCGTTTATTATTCATGTTCCCATTATTGGGTGATCTTTTACTACATTCTATTGAAAAACTTTGTGTCATATTTTGAAAATGTTTTATGTCAATATTTAATTCTTTGAGAGAGTTAGAGATTGGGGCGAAGTATCGAGGTTTTTAAAAAATGCAATATGTGTTTGCAGCTTGAAGATCAAGTGAAGACTGACTTTATGAATACAATAATTCTACAAAGGTAACCCTGTTTATAATGAGGTCTTACAAATAAGGCGAAGCAATAACAATATACACGTATCTCATTACAACGGATACGGTTGTCTTCATTATCTTAATCTAAATACGGAGGTACTTAAGATATCTAATTATGGTTAAGTGACACACTAATGATAGTGTTTACAATTAACCATTACGGAAGCCTCGATTATGCTGACGTAACTCTTCCCCCCCCTAAGAGAAAGGCGTAACGGCGACTGCAACGGCTGCTGGTGGTCTTCCTCAGCTTGTCGTTGTGAAGTTGCTGTTTGCAACTTCTTTCTTGTATACCAGAATTGGTATATGATTATTCCGGTAAACGCCACGGCGATCATGATGTGCAGAATTATAGATGGCCAACTTGGTGTTGTTAGTATGACTGTTTGTAGCTCTGGAATCTTTTGAATCCTTGTTACTTTTTCAATTAGATTATTAATATTGTCTAGTTTTGTATTTTCCAAATTTATATGCAAAGACACAGTATTTGGGATTTGATGAACATGAGGATTTATGGAGGAAGTGGTATTGTTTCTAAAATGTTGATATATTTTATATGGGTTTGTAGTATTTTACCCATCAATTCGACTTTACAGTTGTTATCTAAGGTAAGTAGGTATACACCTTCACTTCTTTAGTGTTGAATGTTGCTGTCACATGAAGTTTTTACCACTTCTTCCTTTTTCATAATTATAATCCAATTATTATCCTGAATTTGTTGGATAATGTTGTTATTAAAGTATGCTACTACATATGTACAATTTTGTGGATCTTGATGTAATAGCTGTGCTATACAAACTTTTGATAATTGAAGATCTTCCCAATTGAGGTGTTTGCATATTACTCTGTCATTTGTAATCTCTGTGCAACGCTCACTTGGATACGCAAATTCATTGTTACCCAAGATAAGGAAGGGATATGTAGGTATTAATATGGTATTATTTTTATTAGGTATGGAATATAGGTGTAACAATTGGTTAGTATTAGGGGAAATCAGACGGATTTCTAATATGAAATTTAGTGTTTCGTACGTAACGTATGCTTTTACTATTATTACTTTTCTCCATAAATGTATATTTTCAATGTTTGGTGAAAATGGAAAATCAAATGAATTGTCTTTTTCAATTAAATTTAACTCTTCTACTAGGAGACTAGGGTCAATGATACTAATTTGAAAATGCAATAGCACTTTCCAAGTTTTCTAATTTATCATATAATTGTTGATATGACCTTGCAATTTCGTTTAAAATATTTATAGATTCTTGAAATGAAGCTTGTGTAGAATAATTTTGAATTTCTTTTTGCAATTTTATTTGATTGTTATGTATTATATTTGAATTATTCTCATAGTCTTTTATGAATTCTTTCATTATTGTCAGTGTTTTTCCCTGATTTTCCGAATTTGAATTTAATGAAAGTTTTATATTTTTAATTTCATTTTCAAAACTAATTGCATCGTCCTGGTCTAAGTTTCCTGTGATTGCTTTTACTATTGAACCTAAGGCATTTATTAAACCTCTTTTTTGTCTGTTATGTATTTTTCTTATTCCTATAGTATCTAATCCTAAATATGAAAGTTTACTTTCTATTGTTTTAATTAAATATTCTCTTTGATTATATATATTCTTATACTCTATGGTTACATTTTCTCTTAACCTAAAGGTATAAAAATTGCTAGATATGTCATAATAAATGTTTTGTAAATAGTTGTATTATAAACTACTACTAAATGATACGTTCCTGTTTGGTACTAAGCTTTCGCTTCAGTAAGTATTAATATTCCATTATGATTATCAATTGGTTCCAGGATCGCTGTTGTCATTGCGACTCCGAGCATAGAGATGCAGGCGAAGGCGTACCTGAAACATTTTCAGGTCGTCTAAGTAAATGAAAATGTACACGAATTGTTTTTGCGTTTACATGTTTACCTACAATTTCCGCTATCTGTTCTGGGTGTATGTATACTATCGTGTATGGTCCTAAGTATTTTGGTTCTAACTTATTACTCCTAGCTGTTTTTGCTACTTGTTTATATACGATATCACCGACTTTAAAGGTTGGAATGTCTGTACCTAAATTGAATTTATTAATAGTCTGTTATTTATTCGCTGTTACTTTTTCATTTACTAATTTTTAAATTTTTAAAACTTTTAAAGCATTTGTGATTCCCTTACCCAAAGTCTCTAATCCGACTCTTCCTACTCATTTCCGTCCCATATCGATTCTCCCTTTTCTGTCCAAGGTGTTGGAGGCCTGTGTACATAACCAACTGTCCCAGTTTGTTCATAAGAATGGTTTAATAAACTCCCTACAGTCTGGCTTCAGACCGGGCCACAGTACCATCTCCGCTCTCCTCAAAGTGACAGGCGATATTAGGGCTGGAATGGAGGATACTAAAGTCACATTGTTGGCTTTGGTCGACTTCTCTAATGCCTTTAATACCGTCAGTCACGAAATCCTTTTATCTATCCTGTCCTATCTTATGATTTCGCCTGAGGTGCTGAAATGGTTTACATCATATCTTCGAGGGCGCCAGCAATCGGTCCGCATTGATGAGTCTTCGTCTTCATGGCGTGATCTAGATACTGGTGTCCCTCAAGGCGGAATTCTTTCCCCTTTGCTTTTCTCTCTCTTTATCAATCTCATAACTCAGTCCCTTCAGTGTTCGTATCACCTGTACGCTGACGACCTACAGCTGTACTCGCAGGCTACTGTGGACTGTGTGTCTGAAGCGGTTCGCAGAGTGAATGGGGATCTAGAGGCTATATGCGATTGGTCTGGTAGGTTTGGTTTGACGGTCAATCCAACCAAATGTCAGGCGATTATTATTGGTAGTCCCCGTTTGTTGGGACGATTAGATTTTAGCTCACTCCCACCCGTAACTTATAATGGAGCAATTATACCTCTGAGCCCATCAGTCAAAAACCTTGGACTGTATATGGATTCTAGACTTGACTGGGCGGTACAGGTGTTGAATGTTAGTCGAAAGGTTACTGGATCTCTGCGTGCCCTTTATCGCTTCAAGAACTTTCTCCCTTTCAAGATAAAGTTGATGCTTGTTCAAGCTTTAATCCTGCCCATAATTGACTATGGCGATGTATGCTATCTTGACCTGAATGCAGACCTTTTGAACAAACTCGACCGCCTTCTCAACAACTGCATTCGTTTCATTTTTAATCTTCGCAAGTATGACCACGTGTCTACTTACCGCTCCGAAATAAATTTTCTTCCTATACGCGAGCGCCGCAATCTACATGCTCTTACTGCGCTTCATTCTATACTAACATGCCCAACTCCTCCCTCCTATCTGACTCAGTACTTTAAATATTTACATTCTTCGCACGATAAGGACTTGCGTTCCTCTAATAATTTACTCCTTCACTGTCCCACGCACAACTCTAGTTTGGTCCGTTCGTCTTTCGTAGTTCAATCTGTTCAACTTTGGAATTCACTTCCTCTTAATGTTAGGATGATCACTGATCGCCTAACTTTCAAAATAAAGGTACGCCAACTTTTTCTGGAGAAACTTAAAAACTTAACAATTTGACCTGCAATTTGTGTTCTGTGCAATATACTATTTTCTTGTACTATATATGTATGTATGTGTGGTTCTATTTCTTTGTTATATTTTTGTTTAAGTGTGTATATGAATATGTATGTGAATATATGATTATATGATAG